TATTGTAATGGAATTCACTAAATATCTAAGTCCACGCTAATATGATTCGCTATACTTGATATTTATTATTTCTTTCCTTCATAAAACAATCAGTAAGATTTATTGAACTATGTATTACTTTTTCCAACTTAGGTTATTGTTACCAATCATATGAATTATTTGATGAGTTCTCATCGGTCGAAACCTGAAATTAGTCTCAGTTGACGCATATACTAGATGTTAAACCCGCATGATATGTGGGGTTTATTCATACACATTTATGGAGAAAAACATTTTCAATTTGAAAATTTTAATTCACCAATGAAAGATAATGGTTTTTAATATGATAAATGTGAGTAAAGAAATTAGACTGTTGTCAAAAATAAAAATGTGGCCAAAGAATAATAATTTTCCTCAATGACTAATAGAGACAATAAAATATTCTTTACATTTGATGTTCATTTTAGTGACTAATGAAATTAACATAAATTGTCTATTTCTCCTAAATGAGTAAAAGAAATGTGGACAGAGAATAAATAAATAATAAACACAGTTCATAAGCAATGTGTTTATTATAATAATATATGAGTAAAAGAAATTAGATTGTTTTCCAGAATAAAAATGTGGCCAAAGAATAATAGTTTTCCTCAGTGACTAATAGAAACAACAAGATATGGTTTACATTTGATGTTCATATAGTGACTAATGAAATTAACATAAATTGTCTACATCTCCTATATATTTTAGAACTCTTACTAACTTTTGAAAATTGTCAACAATGAAATCTCATAAATTGTCTACATCTCATAAATTGTCAACAATAAAATCCCATCCTTCAAGAATATTTTTGAACTCTTAAGAGACCAAATACATAAATTGACTAATACGCCTTATTCACAAGACCAAATATTTTTCTTCCTAATGAAAAGTATGCACACTACTCATATATTATCATATATGAATAAAAGAAATTAGAATGTTGTCCAAAATAAAAATGTGGCCTCGGTGACTAATAGAGACAATAACATATGCTTTACATAAATTGCATACCGACTTTTGAACTCTTAAGTATTTGGTCTTGGGAATAAGGCGTCGGATGTGGAAGAAATATTTTTGAAGGATGGGATTTCATTGTTGAGAATTTGATTTGAGACTTCTACAACCAAAGTAGTCATCTTTCCTCCCTTAATACACACACACACGCACACACACACACACACACACACACACACACACACACACACATATATATATATATATGCTTATTTACTTGGACATGATCATTAAATATATGTAAATTAACTGTATAAGTAGTTTGAATTATGACGTACTCCCTCCGGTCCTTAATATAAGGTAGTCCAAAGTTTTACGTAGTACACATAAAAATATATTTTCACATTCGTTGTGTTCTCTTGTGTCTTAGGAAATATTTTTAAGATTTTTTTGCCAATTAAAAATACGTACTAGATGAAACCTAGGACAAATCAAAATGACTTATATTAAGGACCGGAGGGAGTACTAAGTTTTGATGTCTGTCGTTCATGTTTTAATGAAAGATATGCACATTACATTTATGTTTCATAATAACATATGTTTTAAATATATTATCATATTTTTTTAAATAAATAAAGAATTTCTTTTACTCATATATTTTCATGATAAACATAGTCTAATTTCTTTTACTCATATATTATCATATATTATCCTACATACTTTCAATGTATGTAACCTCAAAAAAAAAGCATAAATAAATAAAAGAAGAAAAAAGAAAAAAAGGAAGAGAATAAAATGTATGTAAATTGGTTTCTAAAGTATCTTATCAAAACCGGAAAGAATGGGTAATCTACCCAAACCTTTCAGGTACCATCAATATTATCCTAAAATATTTTAAATTAGCCAATTTTATCCAAACTATTTGAATTTGTGGCCAGTTTTATATATCGACACAAATTCAATCCAATCTAACAAATCTCTGTTAGTTCTATTAATAAAATAATATATTTATTTACAAAAATTCTCTTACCAAAAATATATAAAAATAACAAAAAGTTCCATTTTTCTTTTTTTCTCCCTTTTTTGTACCTATTTTATTCCTTTTCTCTTAGTATTATGTTAGAACCATAAAAACATGATAGGAACATGTGTTAGATTGGAGAAGAAAAAAGTACGATGAGATTTTCTTTTTTCATTTTGGTTTTAGTTCTCTCGTATTTACTTTTTTTTAATAGTAAAATAGCATTATGGTAAAAATAAAAATAAAAAATGATGCAACTGATAAGAGTGAGAGTTGTTGCATTATGACTAAAAAATATTATGAGATGACTTTTTATCTTCAAAACTAATTAATAGTTAATGTAATGAGTCCACAACTCTTATTATTGATGGTTGCATAGATTACTTCTGGATACCTTTTCTAAATTTTATTATTTATTTTTATTATTAATCTCTCATGCGATCAGAAAATTTTTATTTATTGTATGAAAATTTTAGTTTGAAGGGCATGAAAGAAGGTTGCTATAGTGGTGGTGGTGGGTAAGGGCCTAACAATTTTATTAACGTAGAGAATTATTAGATTATTAATAAAGTAAAAAATTAGTAAATTATCAAAAAATTAATATAATTTATTATAAGTTTTTTTTTTGAAACAAGCGTTATCAATTATTAAAGGTTTAGTAGTTGAAATTGGATTTTGATTTCTCAATTTCAAATTTTAACTTATATAACCATAAGTTTTAAGAAAAACAATCTTCTACATTTTAATATTTCAGTAAATATTCTATTTTTTTTTCATATGGGCTAATTATTAAGTTTTGTTATTGATGGGACCATTTTGTAGGAAAATTATTATTACAAAAAGTTAATTATTTTTAAACTAATGCTTTCGTGAAGGTTTACTTTTGTAGGAGAATCTAATAGTCTTTCTGTAGAGATAGAAGGAATCGTACAAGGTTTAAAGTGGGCGGAGGAACAAGGATATCAAAAAGTCCAGATTCAAACGGATAGCAAGTTGGTGGTTCAACTACTACAAAATGGCAAAAAATATCCGTGGAAATATCATGGCTCATTGAACCAAATTCAAGGTATTTTGACTTGAACTGGTTAGAAAATGCATCATATTTTTTGAGAAATAAATGCATTCGCAGATGAACTGTCGAAACGAGCTTCAAAGGGACAATTTCTAGAACATGACAATCTAGTTAGTCTTCCTAGCTCCTTGAGATGTACTCTATACTTAGATCAAATGTCTTTTCCATACCTACGTATTAGATAGTTAACTAGAATAAAGAGATGTCATAGGATTCTAGAAAATCTTTGTGAGATATGCTCTTAGTTTAAAATTCTAGACTTAGTGAACTACCGTGGGATCCTTGTAAGATCTTTGTAAAGCAGTCTCTTAAATTTTATATCCTAGTTAGTCATATAGAATTGTCAAGAAGTTTTTAGAGAAATCTTTGTAATTAAGACAGTTCTTATCTGTAGTTTTGAATTGAAATCGTCATGAGATTTTAGATAATCTTTGTGAGACGGTTTCTTTTTTTGGATAAGTCTTAAGCACTACCTATGTAATTTTTTTTAATTATTATCAATAAAATCGGGGGGTGCCCGCCAAGTATCAACCTGGTTCTCTTAAAAAAAAAATGTTTACTGTATATTGATAATTAGTTGTGAACTCATGATCTCCTCTTGAGAGTGAGAGTAGTTTTACCACTGAACCAATACTTCATTCATTTTTCCAATTAGTTAATATTTTAATTTTATTTACTTTGGTTTAGTAAGTTTATTTGGTTTAGAAAGTATAAATATGTGAAATCAAATATTTACTTGAAAATATTGACGACCCTTGATTGTATTTTATTTGTTCAAATTTTTAATTAGCTAAGTAAGTTCTTGTCATAATCCAAAAATTTTATTGATAGGGAAAATTTGGATAAGGGATAGTGCACACTAAATAAGTAATAAAGAGGGATATACTTTTGAATAATTTATATTAGGGTCATAACAATTCAACCATACAAAAATGACTTTGGGCTTTTAACTGTTAATAAAAATGTATTGACATCAATTTAAATGCTTCAAAAGTTCGTTTAATTTATTTTTTTTTCTGTAAGCCTGATTCATATAAAAATACTAAAATGGTCAATGACAAAAAAAATACTAAAGATACAAAATTTTTAATATTCTTAAATTTAAAGTTTTTACTAATATGAAATATGGGAGTAATTTACCTAACTCTAGTAAAATGTATATGTTGTATGGCTCATTTAAGTACCAGTTTTTTGGGGAATGAAAACTTTGACAAATGTCAAAGCTATAAAAATTTATTTGAAAAAAAGTTAACATTATATGAAAAAAATCTCCTATCAAAAACTAAGAATTATTAACCTTCATTTTTTTAAGTCAACATAATTATATTTTTTCATCACTTGATATATTACTTTTTCCCTATTGATACTAAAATATTATCCTCATGAAAGATTTAATTTATGTGTTCAAAAATCAAATGAAAAAAACAAGAACATTTTCAAGAGTTAGATTCATGTTTTTGTTGTTGAATTATTGTGTCTCTAGTACAAATTTTTCAAGAGTACTGCGTTCTTTATTAATTATCTATTGTCAGCTGCCTCTAGTTAATCCAAATATTCCATTTAATATATAGAATGGGATTTTATGGCATTGGCCTCTAGAGTTTCCCTTACAGTCGCAGCCGCTCACCGAATGTTCCAAAACTCTTTCCTTTTCGAAAAAAAGGTGTCCAAATTCAAAGAGGATTAGTTCTAATCGATCTTATGAGTACACAGAAACCCCTAATCCAATTTCCCATTCTGATTCGAATCACTGACACGACATAACCTCTTTTCTTCATATATACCTCTTTTTTTCATATATAAAGAACACAACCCCTTTCCAATTTGTTGCTTCCATAACGAAAATTCATCAGAAACAGAAAAAAGTTTCCTAGCGCGCCAGAGCAGGCAGAGGGGTTTCAAGACAGGGGTTTTGAATCTCTCATCAATTAATCCATGGCTTCCACCCTGGAAATCGATGCTCAGGATGTAGTTAAGTTGTTTCTTCAATTTTGCAAAGAGAATTCCCTGCCTCATACTTTTCAGACACTTCAAAACGAGTGTCGGGTTTCTCTAAATTCCGTAGACAACCTTGAAACCTTTATGGCCGATGTTAGTTCTGGTAGATGGGAATCTGTGATACCCCATCTCTCACAACTGAATCTGCCCAGAAATTTATTGGAAGATTTGTACGAACAGATTGTTTTAGAGATGATCGAACTTCAGGAAACAGATACCGCGCGCGCTGTTTTACGACAAACCCAAGTCTTAGCTTTCATGAAACAGGATCAACCCGATCGATACTTGAGACTGGAACGTCTTCTTGTTCGTCCATACTTTGATCCCCGTGAACTCTATCCAGAGCATTCAAGTAAGGAGAAAAGGCGCGGCGAAATCGCCCGAGCTCTCTCAGAATACGTCTCCGTGATTCCGCCTTCGCGGTTGACCGTGGTGATAGGTCAGGCTTTGAAGTGGCAGCAGCATCAGGGATTGATTCCGGCCGGAACACAGTTTGATTTACTTAGAGGAATGGCTGCGATGAGAACAAAAGACTCCGAAGATAAGCATCCCACGACGCTCGTTCGCGTGATTAAGTTCGGGAAGACGAATTATCCTCAGTGTTGTCAGTTCTCGCCTGATGGCCAATTTCTCGTTTCCGGGTCGTCTGACGGATTGATTGAGGTTTGGGATGGATTAACGGGTAAACTGTTGACACAGGATCATTTCCGGTACCAGGCGAACGGAGATTTCATGATTCATAATGATGCTGTCCATTGTCTCGCTTTCAGCAGAGATTCTGAAATGCTGGCTTCGGGTTCGGAAGATGGAAAAGTTAAGATTTGGAGGATAAGAAGCGGACAGTGTTTGAGGCGTCTCGAGCGCGCGCATTCTCAAGGTGTAACCAGTGTTTCGTTCTCCCGCGACGGGACTCAGATACTGAGCGCATCTCCCGACGGCACCGCCAGAATTCACGGTTTGAAGTCCGGAAGAATGCTGAAGGAATTTCGGGGGCACGCATCTTTCGTGAACGACGCGAGATTTGCCGCAGACGGGAATCACATTATCACGGCATCCAGTGATTTTACTGTGAAAGTGTGGGATGTTAGAAATGCCGAGTGCCTGCGGACTTTCAAGCCGCCGCCTCTTTCCTTAAACGGAGGAGGCGACGTGGCCTTGAATTCGGTCCATCATTTCCCGAAGAATCCCGACGACCATATCGTGGTTTGTAACAGGAGCTCGTATGTATATATCATGACATTGAAAGGGCAAGTGGTAAAAAGCTTCTTCTCAGGTAAAAGAGAAGGTGGTGATTTTGTGGCTGCTTGTGTATCACCTAAAGGAGAGTACATTTACTGCGTGGGGGAGGACAATAAAATGTACTGTTTCAATTATCAATTAGGTACATTGGAGTATTTACTGCCGATCCACGAGAAGAAGGAAGTGATGGCAATAGCACATCATCCCCATAGGAATCTTGTGGCTACTTGTAGTAAAGATTGCACCATGAAATTGTGGGAGCCTTGATAGAGGCAAAATATTTCTTCTTTTTTTTCCCCTCTCTTTTTTTCTTCCCTTGTGTTGATGATGTATGGTGATCCAACAACAATCTTTTGTAATTTAAGCATTCAACAAAATGATTTTCAAGTAAGAAATTTGCTTCCTTTACATTGCACTTTAACGTTCTTCTTCTTAGTCAATTTAATGGTCCATTGACAATGTACATAGACTGAACCTCATTTAGGGTACTACCTAGTGTCATTTCAATTCAGGTGACCACTTACTAAGCGGATTCTTATTCTCCTCCGAGTTGATGTACGGACAGTCCAACGACATAATATTTTTCCATTTAAATATAGATCAAATCCGGGTTAGAGATAATTTAACTATAAGAGAATACAATATATCGATAATAGAAACTACGAAATTGCGGATTGGTGGTTTAATTGATCGTTAATAAATCTGCGTAAATGGATAAATTGATTGTTGAATTTATGTCAATTGATTTTACTCGTAAGTTTACTCTTTCTTCTTCACTGAAATTTCTTTAAAAATTGTTTTTCTGTAACCTTTTTGTGCCATTTACCGTGCGAAGATGATATGACAAGCATGAAAGAAATGGAACCGATTCTGCTATAACGAATGCATGATGGAATAAAATAGCTAAAACTACATTCAGCTATCCTTATGGTAAGGCCACGAAAAAAGTTTAGTAGATTTCAGCAGGAGAAATGAACTCAAAACTGAAGCTTGTGAGAATAGTAGATTTTACTTAAAAAGGAAATATGTTCTAGGGTTTGCGACTGGAAGCAAATTTAGGAGTCAGATTATAGTCAAAGAAAAAACTTGTCAAATACTCCCTGTATTGCATTACTATTATCCTCACCGCTTTCAATTAGGGGAAGAACATGCAATCAGGCTACAAGTCTGTATAAATCACGGAATTCTTCACCTGAGGTCAGTTTCATAATAAGTTGTTACTTGAATGCAGGCACATCTCTTCTCTAATTTTTGAAAAGTTAGTCCATACCACATCTGAAATTCATAACCGTTTCCCTCATAGATGTGCTTAACGACTAGGTTGAATTACTTTAGGAGTTTTCATGACTAAAATGATTATCGTCTTACTCATTTATTCCAAAAATTTTATGCACATACGTACACACATAAATATAGGTTCAAATCTCAACCTGGGAAATGAAGTGAAAAAGTTACCGTAAGTTTACAAACAAAGAAAAAGAGAAAAGGTAATAATTCTCAATAAAACAAACCTTGGGCTTCTAAAACAGGGAATTTCCAAAGTTGTGTCTTGTTGTGTGGATGTTGTTGATATCATCAGCAATTGTGTCGTAATCACTAATTTATCACGTTTTTACTTTCTTTTCTCCCAACAAAGTATGTTGTTGCAACAAAAATTCTACCCAAACGGTTCTAGTTTTGCTGGACTAACACTCTAAAATTAGTTTTTTTATGCTAGATTGAATGAAAGGAAAGAAATGAAAATGAGTTTTCTGCTCTTTGTCAACAAATTTACTTCACAACCTTGTTGGATACTTGTATCTTTCACCTGAAATTGATCCATTTACGTCAATGCGGGGAAAAGCGTTCAATCACCCGCTATATATGTTGAGTTTTTCTTTATCTTAGTATCATATTCAAATCATATTTCAAGAGTCAAGTGCCTGCAATAACCGTGTTGACCTGTGGGATATCAAAATTTCTTAGGTTATTTTCATAGATCACGTGATGAGGAGGGTCCATTTGAGTTTGATCCTGGAGATGATTTGATGACCGATGACAACCAAACTAGTTGGCGACAGAATCCTTATCCAGAAGAGCCATCAGCTAGATGGCGAAGTGATGATGGTGCTCTTGATGATGTGCAAACATGGACGAGAAGGTGGCTTTGGATCTACAGGTCCCAGTAGCCTTTGAGGTTTAGTGTTGTCTCCTTTCATCAGATTATTTATCATGAATAAAATCTATTAAAATTTTCAAAGGGCTTGCTCAATTAAATTTAATCGAATTTTCTCCTCTAGAAATCCTGTGCATTTATGCGTTTTATGGATACCACAATGTCAGGAAGATAATTTGGGCATTTATAGTGGAATCATCAGAGATCTACAGATAATACTAGGTAGGAAAAAGGTAGTATTTTTCTTGTTAAAATTTGTGTATCTCACTCACATAGTTGAAATACGACTTGGTTGTGAGCTTCCTTTTTGTGACGTGAACGCTTAGTATTAAAAATTCTATTAGTTTATAAAATAACAATTTTCAAGAATCTCCTCTGTAAACCAAAATTTTATAAATTAATAAATACCTAAAATAATAAATTAGATTTGAAGATTTACTTAGATTTTAATTTAAGTATATTTGTTTATGTATGAAATTTTCATGCTTTTGTTTCATTAAAAAAATTATAATGCTGTGGCAAGGGCTGCAACGGACTTTTCTTGATAAATAAATAATAAATTTTTGTATTTACTTGCTTCTGGGATTGAAAAAAAAAACTCTTTAAATTAATAAATTTTATCAATAAAATAATAATAATAATAAATTAATAAATTTTGGAGGCCCAATTGTACTAATTTATAGAACTTTTATTGTAAATTAATAATTGTATTACGAGTACAATGGTGATTTCTTACTAGGTAATTCCTTGCTAATTACATAATCAAATAATAATTACAATTGCCATTAATGATTTAATAAAGAAACATATTAATAAAATATATTATTCTTTAATTGAGAAATTAATTTTCATATTGTGTAGCAATCAATATATATTAAAGTAAGGATTTTAATTCTTATGTGTCATTCAAGGAGAAAATTTAGGGTATACAGTCATGTTGGGTATGGCCCAATTATTTTATTAATAACCATTGGATTAGTTTAAATCAATCACAACCATAGAATTTACATTAAAGGAATAAAATAGTAAAAAGTGCATATGACGGACAACCCATAAATTATTTATAGTATTATAGTATTTAATTGCGAGTCTTCCTTTGCCTTAATAACTATGCATACATTATTATTTCAATGAAATCCTCCTTCTCTTCTCCTCTAAACAGTAGCTTGGCTTTTCTTTTTTTTTTTAATATTTAGGGGCTTTTGGAGAGGACCACCAGACGAGGAGGCGATAGAAGATATGAAGAATTCGGTGGTGCTAGTATGTCCAAAAAAAAAGTTCATATAAGAGGTGGTGCAGTTTTTTTTTTTGGGGGAGGGTATATTCAATCATGTATTAATCTATGTGAAATTTATAATAACTAGTAAATTGCAATCAATAAAATAAATTGAGTATTATAATAAGTTTTGATACAGTGCAATTATTCTAAGTGAGCGCCCAATATGATTTTCTTAAATGTGCAATATCATGCTCAAAGGTGCGATGTTCGTATATTTATTATAAAAATAAGAAAAAAGAAAATGAGAAATACTTGGTTTTACTGAATTTAGATAATAATAATTTTGAATGGATAAAAAAAACTATCATTTTTTCTCCTTAACTCTTTGTATATAATTGACCTTCAACACTGAAATTCAAACATTTTATCTCTTTTGATTGGAAAACGTATACACCGTGAAAATAAGTAGTGAAATGAGATAATGACTAGCGTAATATGTATTTATTTAACTTCCCTATTATGTTCGTAGTGCCTTTGTCTTTTCACTAGTCACTATCCCGTTTTACTATTTATAGACACTGCCTCTGTCATTTCTCCTTTTAATTATGATGTCATAGCAATCAGTTTCGTTCTCATAGACAATAAAATGATTATCACCTAAATATTCCCATGCACAAAAATATAGTTCGACAAGACAACACAAAATATAGAGGCACTTTATTTTATTATTTGTGTAACAACGTACACACAAATGTGTCATGTTTAAATATATATTATTACGCTAAAAAATTCAAAAAAAAAGTTGCAAATAAAATTTTATTATTCAAAAGTATGTAAATACTCGCTTAGTAAGGTTTATAAGAAAATTTTAAATAAAAAAATTAAATTACTAAAAAAAACTTTTATAAGAAATGGTGCAATGTTTTTTAAGTCAATGGTGCAATTAAGTATAAATATAGTTGCAATTTATAATGAGTAAATGCACAGTCACAAAACTATTTTGCAATGTAAAGATAAAATAAGAAAGTTTAATTAAGAAAATAAGAAAGTTTTTAGTATAATGCAATTATGTGAAAGGGAATGTGCAATGTATTTTTCTTGAATGTGCAATTGCATTCTCAAAAATGAAATGTTTGGATCTCCATTATTAACTTACTAGAAAAATGAAAGAAAATAAAATATGGCATACTTAATTATTAATTAATAGGTGCAATATTTTATAAACTAATGTGCAAATATATGTAAGTATTTATGCAGTACATATAATGAAAAAAGGAAACTTAATTATTAATTAATAATAATTTTGTTATTTTAAATATTGAAACTTTCTGAAATTATTCAATTTTTAAATTTTTTGGTAAGTTTACATGTTTAGCAGGTCACAAAAAATTTTAAAAATTAGGAGAATTTAATGCTATATTTATGTGTCACTTTACTATTGGCTAAATTTTAACAGGACCAAACCCTCATAAAATGCAACAGGACCCTAGAATTTTCCGTAAATTTAAGTCAATTGTGCCACGTGTAATAAATGTATTGGTCTTTCATTAAATAGTTAAAAACATTTATAACTTGGTAAAATCAAATTTATAACTATCGTTGACAGTAAATTTTATTCATACAATCATGGATTCCGATAATGATCAATCTAAATAACGAACAAATATTTTCATTAATTAGTAATTAATAATTGTGTTACGAATTAAAGTAATTCAGTAAATCTGTTCATTCAAAATTTACTTTTTAAATTTTTTTCTTCTTTATTTCTATCGGCTAAATCCTAAAATACGCCTCACTTTCCTGTGACTGGCGTGATTAGTTAGCATATTTTGTGGTATTTTAAAAATTAAAAATAATTAAAAATAATTTTTTAACACATATATACAATGTCTGATTTTTTTTGTTGCTATATATAATGAATATATGATTTATTCAATTATGAGGCATGCTCAATAGTGATCACTTTGTTTATAAGAAAACTTTTTTGCATTATACTATTGATTGAATTAAAATTCGTGTTTATGTATTCTCTGAATATGGTTGATGTAAATTTTAAAACAAATTGATATAACTAAAAATTATACATAATAATATTTACACCTTGCATGCAATGCAACAATGGTAAGCTCTATGTTACTTTTTCAAGAGTGAAATTCAGAAAAGGTCTTAAAGTGCTATATGCAACAGTGAAGGATAAATTCTCAATTGCACCACCAGCTTTGCCTACAAAGAAGTGTTTCAAAGTATATGAAATTGGTTACTTTCATTTTTTTTCCTGTCGAATTCTTTGCCCTTTTTCATTTTTTCTCTGAAAAATTACGTGTACGGTTTTTTGTGGTTTCCATTTGATGATCTTCAATTTATTATCAAAATACACATGTGTTCAATAATAGCAATTGACTTTTTATATTAATATATCTCGAGTGCAACAACTATCATTTACATGTTCAAACAATTATTTCTATATATCAGCTGTGCAACCCACGTGCATAGTGCTAGTATAAATTAACACAAGTTATAATATTCATCCGCCGTCTTGTATTATGTTTTTTTCCTTTTTTTTCTTTTATTTATTTACTTTTCTTTGCATATATTCTTTATATTGACATAAATTAACCTCTATATGTATTGAATGCTACATAACTTACAAACCCTTAGTTCAACTTGCATTATATTTTTCATTTTCTTTTGTTTTTTGTTTTGCATATATTATTTTGATAGAATCTTATAAGTTTATATAGAGTACCACAAATTATAATTTTTTTTTTTTTGGTTTAGTGAATTATAATTAATCTTTTATCTCCATGTAACAAATATGTTACATGAACGATTACTACTAACCTATATTATCATTTTTGCACTTTCTTTATTTTGTGTAGTTTTGTTATTTTTTTCATTAATTCTTTGTGCTTAACCGTGTTACACCAGGCACAATTGAGAATCCTCTCCTACTGTCACTATGCTATAAACGATGTCTTATTGGAGGATTTATTACCTTACTTGAAGATTAGGTGTTGGAGTGATCAGTGATTCACCAGCGGCAATGGAGCTCCTTCCTGAAAGTAGCCCCCGGCACCCTGCTCCTCCTGAACTCAAGGCTGCCTATGATGCTGATTATTGTAAGCAAAAGGGAAAGGATATATCAAACTTGTCTCTGCAGTTTAGCTTATCAAACCAAGACATCTCTACAATTCTTGTTGGAATGAATTGTGTCCTAGAAGTTGAGATGGATCTATCTGGTGTAAAAAAGCTTGAAGCAGTTGGAGTAGATGGAAAAACACGGTTTGGAGTTGAAGATATTTTGAAGCCATGTTAAAAATCTAATATGGCTAACCGACCTTCTACAGGTTTGATATGTTACGTCCAAAGTTCACCTACTAGCTGATGAATACTATTTCCATGTGACACAAAATAATGTGGATATATTCTTATTTTTTTTTATGGGTCAAATGGGTCATGCTCGGTAGAGTTTAGGTGTAGCAAGGTGCTGATTTATGGGCCACTTTCAGTGAGAAGCCCATTGTCAAATATTAAACAATAATCACTGCAACACCTTTATTCTTCAAGTAATTAGGTAATAAATACTCCAATATATTATCATTGAGACATATTGATAGTAGGAGAGGCATACATCAATTACACTAGTCACTCTAGCACAGAGAATGTATGCTGAAATATAACAAAACAAAAACAAAAACAAAGGAAGTGCAAAAAAGATAATGCATGTTAGGAGTAATGGTTTGAAAATATATGTTGTAGAAATTAGTGTGAATGGACTAGAAATTACTCATCTTTTCTTTGCAGATGATGCTTTATTATTTTGTAGCATTGATATTACTCAAATTTAAGTTGAAATTGGTACCTAGAATCCCAAATTGTAAAAATAAAGCGAACCACTCACCACCTATAAGAAACACACACACAAAAAAAAAAGAAGAAGAAGAAAAAAAAAACCTTAGTGGTGAACTTCATATAAACTCCCCCGAGGTACAAAAGCAATATGTCTTATTCCTAAAATTCCATGTCTTAATTATACAAAGGCAAATTTCAGACCTATCTATTGCTGTGATGTCTTAATACATTTCTTGCATTATAACATCTCCAATAAAAACAGTGATTGGTAGCATTGTTGGGGAGGAACAAGGGGCCTTTATTTCAAATAAAAATATAGGCCACAACATCATGATGGGTGAGAAGTTTGTTCATTTATATGGGAGGAAAAATACAAGCCCTAGATGCCAGTAAAGTTGATCATGAAAAGGCTTACGATTCAATGTCATAGAAATTTTTGAATGATATTCTTTATAGATTTGGTTTTCCTTTGAAATGCATTAAATGGATTATGACCTGTGTTACCATGACTCAATTCTCCTTACTTAATGGTTAAGGGATATGTTCCTACCAAGAGAGGTCTACGACAAGGTGATCTTTATGATGGAGTATTTATCCAAGGCCATGAGAAGAATGCCTAACGAGAAGGACTTCAAATTTCACCCAAAGTGCTATAGGACCCAACTGACTCTCTTGGCTTATGCAGATCTCTTCATCTTTTCCAAGGCAGATCATAAATATGTGAGCTTGATCAATCAAAGAGTCCAACATGTTGCTAATACATATGACCTTTTCTAGAGTTAGTGTAACATATTTTTTAATGGATCTTTCCATAATATTAGGCAAGATATAGCCAACTGTTTGGGATTCCAAGAGGGTTGTCTGCTGGTAAAATCCTTGTCCATTTTTAGATTGTCAACTGCTTGTGAAGAGAATCACATAAAGGATTCAAAGCTGGACCACAAGACTTTTATCTTATACTGGGATACTTGCCTTGATTAAAGCTGTTTTGCAGAGCCTTCATAATTATTGGTCTCGAATCTTTGTGCTCCGCAAAAAGATCGTTACAAAAAATTGATGGTCTTTGTAAATCATTTTTTTGGTTGGGTAGCAATGAAAGTAGCAACAGATTGGTAGCTTGACATGATGTGTGTGAGAGACTTAACTCGGGATCTTGGCCTGAAAGACACAGCAATGGTCAATAGCTCTTTATTGATGAAACTAATTTGGGACATTCAATTCACCATAGTGCGGAGAGTGCTAGGATTAAATGGGTGCATAAATACTACATCAAAGATGTATCTTGCTAGAGTTTACAAGTAAAACCGAATACCTGATGGCCAATGAAAAGTTACTCAACCTGAGGCCAATGGCACTTAGATGTGTGAATGTTCTGGGCCACGGCTTGGAATGGATTGGTGGAGGGATGGAGTTTTTGGTGGCCGGTGCATACAAAACCCTTTCTAATCAGAGCATAAGATCCTCTCAAAATCTCTTATCAAATTCATCGTCCCAAAATTTGGTTTTATTACATAGTTAGATTGCTTGGATGGCTTAATTTACTAGAGCTAGAATCTCCAAGTATGATCTAGACGTAGATAGAAGATGCCCACTCTATTTGTTGGTGGTGAATCTATTGATGATCACTTATTCTTCAAATGCCTATTCTCGGTACAAATTAAAAGCATTGGCATTGATTTATATGTATCCTCCGTCCTTTCAATGGTCTAGCCTTGAGGAGATACTATTGGAAAATCATGCTTCTGGATCTGTGCGTGATGGAATTACCATAATTACATATTTGTTCTACTACATTTGGGAAGCCAGGAATGGAGCAATTTTAAAAAAGTAGTACTCTTTTGGAGAGAGATATCTTGAGAAAAAAATCTCGTTGTTTCAAAGATAAACTCTCAACTATTATAAAAATGAGAGGGACACAGAAAAAGAAAAAACTTGGTATGCACAAATAAAGATTTTCTCCGAGTTCACTTGAAGATTTATATATCTTGCTTTTTGTATCTAGTTTTTGATGTATAGCTCACAACATCTTTAGGAATCTTGTTCAGGAATATTGTTCGAACTATGAGGTTGTACTCAAACTTCCATCACTTGGAATGAAAAACAATTTCATCCAAAAAAAAAAAAAAAGAACTTCCATTAATTTGGCCACAAACGAGATTTAATGTATTTGATTCTATTAATTAAGGTAGCTAAAAGCAACAATTTGGGCCCTTTACAAATTAAGCTTAATTTTCATATAAAGAAAAGAGCCACGAATTGTCGTTTGTCAAACTTCTTGGGAGTCAGGTGGGGGAGGAGAACTTGTGCTACTGATAACAATATGACTTGCAACTTTGGGTTCTTCAAATTTGTTCTGTTGCACGAAACTTACTTCTGCTGCCTTGGTTTTCCTTTCTGCAAGCTGACGTTGGGTTGATTTATAGAATATTGCATATAGTAACAACTGAGCAAGTCCAAGTAAAGTTCCAGCTGAATTCGGAACCTAAAATTTCAAATTGAATATATAAGGTGAATGCAATCACAACCTAAAATTTAATGCAGATATTGAAACAAAAAAGCTATTCCAGAAAACGGGAAAAAAAAAAACAAAAAAAAAACAAAAAGGAACAAAGGAAAAACAACAGGAGAGTGGAAGAAAATAGTTACAAAGATATAGATGTCGAATTGGATGAAGGCGTAGGCAGTCCAAGAAACTGCATTGAAGAAAGATGCGAGTGACAAGAGAAACGGCATGTATTCCACACTTTTTGTTGTGATCACCGTTTTCTGCACCACCAATCCACTTTTCTTTGTAACACAAAACGTATACATCATAATTGAATCAAGCGAATCAAACAGTAGGAGAAATAAAATTCCGATATTATCTGTTGAGGATTCTTTTACTTCCTTACCCAATAATGACGGACTCTGATGAATTTGATGAAAGCAATGGGTTTCTACATGATCATCATGCATATCTAAACTCACAGAACCATTAAGTCCTACTCTTCAGCTTTTTAATCCGTAACAATCATACAAAATCCTAGCATTAATATATGTAGTAATTACAGCATAATTCTTAAAGAATAGAAAAAATAACTAAAAGCACACATTAAAAAAAACTGATCCAAACATAAGAACTCGTTAGGAATTACCGTGACTGATAATGGAGCCGCGAACATCATGATATTACCCGCCATGCCAAACGAACCTACAACTGTAGACCGGAGCTTTGGAGTATGAGCCAAAGTGAGAACCAAAACAGCCAGCACCACCACGAATACGAGCCCTAAGCCCACAATCGCCGCGAGCTTGGCCCTCGTCTTGTTGGACTTGCAGAAGGTAATGAAAAGCGCGAGATAGATCACCTCTATCACGATCCCGGTTCCATTAATGGTCATGACTAAAGTACTATTCGGGTGAATGGCCGGGAGGCCATATACGACCCACAAGGAGCAGTTCGCCAAGGTGGCTATGTACGGAGCTGCGGAGTATTGCTCCACAGATTTCTTCTCCCATATTTTTTTGAATGTTGGCCTAAGAGGAAATTTTTAAAATTTTTCAAGTTAGAAAAAAACAGGAGAGGAAATCGACAGTTAAGACGGGGTAGACTGGAGTTATCTGAATCTATATACAAAAAAAAAAAAAGGAAAAAAAAAATTCTGACAGATGAAGAGAGGCACTTACACCGGCGATAGGAAGAGCATGAAGCCGATAATGTTTCCTGTTGAGGAGACGAGAAAATTTAAAAAAGGCGTAACCAAAAAGAACGAAAGAAATTTCAATTCTGGGTTACCCGTTAAAATTATTCACAGATGGCTTTGTTGCTGTGGTGCATGTTTTAGAAAAATAATACTCCCTCCGTCCCATAATTATTGTCCAGTTTAGATTTTCATTTCTAGTTCAAATTGTACTAAAAGAAAAATTTCAAACTGGACAATAATTTTGGGACAGATAGAGTAAAGGGGTGGTAAAAATTATCAAGGAATAACAGATTTAGATTTTTGCTATTTTTCTTTGTGAAGTATTTTTTTTTTTTTTATAATTTGGTAATTCGTAAGTTGGAATGCTGGATTCATGTATTGCTTCTTTTTCCTCAAAAATTTTTTTCCTGAAAGTAAAGATGAAATCAAAATGAGATTATTGGTAGTGTGCATCGTGCATAAGTACAAATTTCAACCCTCTTCCCAACACCACCCCCCGACTAGTGCTATAGCTTCTTTCATCGCAACGAGAAGATGGGATGGTTTGCTTCTTGTTTTACCAGTGATTTTGGGAGGTATTACGGGGAAAAAAAAATTAACAAAGAAAAGAACAAGAAAGGGTTAATCAATTTACCTATTGTTCCAACAACAGTCCTAGCGGTATTACTTGAAACCATGATGATCACTAACTAATTTGTTAAGTGGATTTTAAAAACCAAAGAAGGGAAGAGATCTGAGATAAAGAAGACCACGAGAATGAGCTAGCTCTTTAAGTGAAGAAGCCAAGAATGAAGAGAGCAAGAGAGATGTTAGCATAATTGTAGGGATAAGGTTACTATAATAGTATGATTTGATCTAATCCTGTAACCAATGTTGCAATTTGATTAGATATGATAAGAGCCTATTGTATAAATAGACTTTTCATATGTAATGCGTACTCCATTTGTCTATAGGAAGCTGATAAACTGAATAAATATTTAGCAACTATCCATATTACCTTTTTTTATATAAAATTTCTATATATTTACAATATTTTGGCCCTTCACTATTATCTTTTTCTCCCCTTATGAATAATAATAAGGTATAATTTTTTCACACGTAGTAATTAACATTTTTACGACAAAAAAAAAAAAAAAACAGATTTACATTAGCAATCTTCTGGAGGAAACTCCTGATTACATTTTGATAGAAATTGTTGGTTGTGAATATAAATTTGGGATACACTATTTTTGTGGTGCACATGATTGCTATTTTTTTTTAATGGTGTATGGGACTGTCTTTATAGATTAAAAGAAGTTTGAAAGAAACCAACTTGGTTATAGTTAATTCTTTGCTTTAAAATATAAATATACAAATGTTCTTTGGCAAATTTTTAATATCGTGTATTAATATTTTTCCATTGCGGATCCAATTTAAAAAAGAAGAAGAAGAGATGAATGGAAACTTTGGCATATCACAACAAAGAAAAGAAACGTAATTTCTTATTATGACTTTTGAACACGAAAATTTAATGGACTCATATTGAGTAGGTCAATAAATATTAATTAGTGTGGTGTGAAAATTTTATCTCAAACATAAATAAAGGGAGACAAATAAGGAGGAAAATATGAAAAATCATTAAAATCATAAAAGGGTGACACAAGTATGTGTAGGAAATTTGCTCGCTATCTAACAAAACTATTCTCAATCTATCAATTCTCTGGACCATATTTCTAACATGGTATCACAGCTTAACATCTAGCAACAAATATTTAAATTCGTCACATCCTTATCGTTAACATTTATAAATAAATTGGAAAATGTATACCCAAATTAAAGAAAAGGTAAAGAGTTTTGGAGGAGAAAGTTTAAAAGAGAAATAAAATGTTTTTTTTGTAATTTCATATATCTTAAGGGGTATTTTTTAAATTTTTTAATATTGGACCAATTTTTTATCGAGTGGTTTTTCGGTTCAAAACACTGAACAAAACCCAGAACTTAGGCTGAATTCAAGAAATTCCAATGAATTGAGACTAAATTGACAAAAGAACGATGACTACTTTGAACTAAATCGTCCATGACGACCTTGCCATAATTCACGGTTTGGAATCAAGGATGTTGAAGAAATTCAGCGAATTACTTCATGAATGATGCAAGGTTTAACCGTCATGGGCCTTGCGTTATCACAGCATCCAGTGATTTGACACTCAAAATGCAAAAGAGTGTGGGAATTTTATGAACGCCAAGTGCCTGCGGACTTTTGATCTGCCGCCCCGTTCTGTCCACCTTTTGCAAGAGAGTCGTGACATTGCGAGGGCAGATTGTGGTTGTGCCTACCTTGTAGTTAAGATTGCACCATGATATTGTGGGAACCTTTAAGGGAAATTTTTTCTTTTTTGCTTTCTTTCTCCCCAGTGGCGATGTATAATGATCCAATAAAAAGCTTATATAGTCTAAGCATTCAACAAAATGATTTTTAGGTTAGAAATTAGCCCCCTTTCTTGGCAATGACTGGTAAAAGATGAAGCGAAACATAGTAGAAAGACGCATCCTTGCTCTGCTCAATTAAAAGAATCCGCAGTCTAGATTACAGGTTTGCGTCACTAAGTGATTGGAGGTTCGGTTCTTACCTTCACGGGGAAAAGGAAAGAAAATCTGAAGGCAGCAGCGCACAAAGTACTAATGAGAAGGCCCTGATATTATATTGAACATGTTACAACAATCTTGATCTTGCATACATAATTTTCACATTGCACCAATTTGGCTCAGTTTTAGTTTCCTCCTATTCGATATCAGACAACTTTCTCGGGTTAACTGCCATATAACCCTTGTATCTGATTCGACTCTTTCATGCTTTTCCTTTTCTCATATTTTTGTACTCACGAGTCCATTTTTCTAACTCAGTAGATGTTGGCGCCACATTAATCTAAAAAATAAGAGATATTTGAATCATACATAGCTCAACTGATCCGATTCGCTGGTGGATGCAGCTTCTGCTATCTTGTTGGATTCAGCTGCATCTAGCTTTTTCCGTATTCTCACCAAGTCTTCACCAGCATCACATATGTATGCTGAAGCTTGCCTACCTGATAGTGTGGCTCCTTCCATGCTGTCTATGTAATCCTGAAACGGGCCAAAAACAGTGTTTGATGTTCAAAAATACATCACCCCGCCATGTACTAATGTCTTCTGTTAATGACAGTTAGGAAACTGATGAACTGTTTCAGCCAACTATATCAAGTAAAAAGTTCGGGGAATTCTGCTAATGACACAAAAAAAAAAAAAAAGAAAAACAAAACAAAACCAAAAAAAAAACAAAAATAAAATTGAAAAAAAAAAGACTAAGAAAACAAGTTCCCAATTATGTTGCACTTTTAATATTCTTCTTTTAAAGTATCCATTTATGACATATGGTATTCCTCTTTCAACCAGCACGGTTTTCTATCAATTCGGGTACAGACCACTTAACTCAGATCAGTACTTTTATAAAACAGGTTAACAGAAACTGTGAACGTTGGATACTATACATTTAATCAATTGATAGAGATCATTGCCATTTGAGAGGTGGTAATGGGTCACAGAAATGACAAAAAACTACTAAATCATCAAGATAAGGCCAATACTCACTTGTTTCGTATATGAACCGGCAAGGAAAAAGTTTTTTACTGGAGTCTTCTGATCCGGTCGAAATGGATCTTTACCCGGTCCCTCACGGTATAAGGATTGCCCAATTTTCACAACAGATGACCAAGTAACCTCGAGACCTTGGGAAGAAGGGAATAATGCAAGAACCTGAGATGGAGAGAACATTTTCAGGATCTTTTTCGGGTAAATCAGAACTTTGTTAATGATGTGACAGCTGAATGAGGACAAATGATTGATGATCAACAATTTTATGATTACACCTAAACATACAAGGTCAGCAATGAAATACAACAGATAAGAGAATCGACTTTTATGGAGTAACAAAAGTTTATCAACTTAGCTCGAGAACACTACCAACCTGCTTTGAAACCCTGTTTATAATTTCATCATTTGGTAGAGGCATATAAGGGTCTCCTGGAGTAAGCACGCACCTATAAGACACCAAGAGAGCAGAATCAAAATATATTCCATGTGAAGAATAATGAAGGAAAACTAACCTTATAATACATTAGAACAGCTATTGCTAGAAAACTAACTGTAATTTAAAGATGCATTTCTTACTGGAGCAATGAACCTTGGCCTTCTATGTAATAATCTTCTGGGGATGCAATGGCAAGGTCTGCAAAACAAGAGAAATCTGCATCCGGTGTGTATAGAAGATTATCCAAACCAGCAGCTCGCCTTAGCTGCCTAACAATAAATAACTTTAGATTAATTAAGAAAAATCAAAAACACATCAACATGGCAAACTTCGTACTTTAACTGAAAAAGATTCTGTATGCAGGATTTGTACCTTGATCTTTCCAAATCTTGCAACTCGGTGACCCAACCGTTGTATCTTAGCTGTACAGTAACAACAGGAACTCCAACTAGCTCATAAATATTGTCAAAAAATTCCCACTCCCTCCAATTTCGTGGAAGTAATCTTTTAATTCCCGGGACATCACATGCTGCGGTTGGAAAGCAAAATATTAGAAAGTTTAATGCACAACAGGTAGATTGAATGTAAAATGCTTATATAGAGATAAGGCACAAACCTGCAACGTAGACATCAGCTTTTACAATCTTCCTTTCAGTAGCCTGAACAAAGACACAATGAAATGTTAATGATCATCCTATGGTAATCTACTGCATTCATATAGGTTACTAATGTATTATAGACGTGCCTACAACAGATAATCCTCAAATACTGATTTCAGTAATCTTCATTGAGAAATACAGCACCATTTAATTTACTTGAAGACAGTTTCGTAATTATACCAAAATTTAATAACAAGAAAGAAAACGAAAAGTACTAACGAATTTGAATTCAACTCCTCTGTTTAAAGGATTCACATAAAACCCAGACAGCAGACATCAGCAGCCAGTTCATATTCATACAAGCCCAAGAAGACATTCTTTACCTTGGACATCAGAAGGCCAGTGACATATGTGTCTCCATCAGGAGAGTTTTCATACAGAACCTCTCGGCATCCCCACCTGAGATGAAACCTATTCTAGCAGAGAAATGCAGTAAGGACTAAGAAAGAGAGTTTTGGCCTGGAGACCTCAACAAATGGAAAAGTCCAATTAGTATATTCAAGAAGATCTGTTTCCTCACCTGCCACCTTTGTCCATGATATATTTTTTAATAGGGCCACTTAAATAAACATCTGGAGAACCTTTAAGCATCCGCAAAAGGGATGCCTCAGTCTTGGTGGCAAACAATGCAAATATAGTAAGCATGCAGCGAGCACTGATATTATCACAATCAATGAATCCAAGGGCATATGCAACAGGATCCCACATCCTCTGTATGCTCGTCCGTGTTCCCCCTTTGGACAAGAACCAACTTGAAAAGCTAATCTGTTGAAAAGGTAACTCCGTTGAGAATGAAATCTACTGTTTCCAAATACTCACCAATCATCCAGTAAAGTTGAAACATGAAAGACATAATGAGAGATCCCGTACACTGTCTAAGTCCCTTATGTCCTGGAGTGCCCCATCTGGGTCAACAAGAGCCCTGACAACTGGGCTAAGGGCGAGTGCAACAGCATTTCTTGCTTTGTCGTAAGTCTGCAAGTAATCATCATAAAATGTAAATGTGCATTCAAGTCTGTTAAGGTTAAGGAATAACAAGTGGTCCTTCTCTTCTCCTTTTTGCACCTAAAGACAGGAACAGACTACAAAGTAGATTTCCAAGTCTCTTACACACAAGCTACTGGACCAAATTGGAAAACAATAAGAAAGTAAAACAACAGATACCTTGCAGAATTACCTACTGCTACAAGCTTACAGCTTACAGGTTGATTCTAAACAAGATAACAGATTTGATGGATGATTAAAGGTGGAAAAAGTTCAAGAACTAATTGCTCGAAGAAAATGACAATTTTAAAATCACAGAACTCAGAAAAGTGCATTAAATTAACAAAAACATGTAACTTCCGTTATTTAGCATTGCATGGCAAGCCACAAATTTATGGTACAAGCACATGAATAAGTCAATATAATCAGGAAATCATTCTGAAGAAGATTTAATACCTTCAACTGATTTGTGGTCAAGAATGCATTAATTCCATGTAGAGGAGCCCCAACTGGAAAGCGAAAATCAAGTTCTGCAGATACATTCAGAATACAAGTCAGATATCAGTATGTACTGATAAGATATGAACCATAACTAGAAGGCCACTGTGCCTTGATAAGCCAGTTACAAACAAATTAAAACTATCGCATATGAACCGTTGCAACATATATTTAGTAGAGTTAATGAATTTCGACAAAATGAAACCAATGTCTTACCACCAATTTCACCCCCTTTGTTGACAAAAGTGTGAGTGTGATCCTTCACGAGAAGATTTTTATCAGCGCCAACCTAGCACAAAGACAAGCAGACAACAAATTAAGGTCATATAGCAATCATCTTTTCCATTCAATTTGCATTTTGGAAAAGCAGCATAGCAGAAATTTTCTGTTCTAACAACTGGTTAAGCTTGAAAATAGTGCAGAGCTAAATCGGGGGTAATTTTTTTGTCAAAAGTGATAAATGTAGTCACATTACACAAAGCAAAGAGGTTACATTTAGACAGAAGCAAAATCCTAAGGTTACTATCGCTAAAACGTCAGCATGCAAGTTATCTTACAATATCTAGCACAAACAATGGTGACCATGCCAGAAACAGAAATATTTGTGCCTGTCAGCCGTTAAGAGAAAAGCACTGCTTAAAGATAGTAAAACTATCAAGCTGTACTTATATGTACCGAACACATAATGCTGCGAATGAATCAGTTACCTTCTTCATCAGTCGGAAAAGATTGTTATAGCAGCCGAAGAAGACATGAAGACCCATTTCAATGTGGTTTCCACGTTTATCAACAAAAGAACCCACTTTACCACCTATGAAAGACCGTGATTCATAAATGTCCACCTGTAAAGCACAATAATCAGAATTCAGAAAGCTACCGGGGGCATGATATTTTAAGCAATTATGCACCTGGATGCTTGAGATTTCCACCATAAACTTTTTTAGAAGGTGCATTTAGGTAAGCATCATGAGTCTCCAAGTGTGATGCAATACAATAGTACAAAGAATCAAATAAGTTCAACTGATAAAGGGAGTAATTAGCACAAATAACTTCGCCATAATTAAGGATTTTAGTCCCTTTTCTTTTTTAGTTATGTAGATTCTTCCCCCTTCCTTTTAAGACATGTAAAGAAGAGCAGGAACGAGTATAAGATGTAAAGTCCAAACCTCATGGCCTTGATCCAAAAGCTCCACTGCAGTTGACATGCCAGCAAGTCCTGCTCCAATTATTGCAACTTTTAGCTTTGGTCCACGATAATGTTCAGGTTCAGGTGGAAATAAACCTTTTGGAGCTGCAAAGTAATTGCAGTATCTTAGTATCATTAAATCTACTATATGTATTAACATTACAACAGAATATATCACAAACCACAAAGATCTAATTTGCGTCTCTTCCAGAAAATACCTCAAAAAATCAATAATTAGCCAGAGGGAAAATGTTTAAAAATTCTATCCACCATAGCTCTCACAGAAGGTGCAGCAAGTTCTCCACAAATTTTCACAAGTTTTACTAGCTGTAACGAGGTCATTCAAACATTATCAGAACACCAAGTTTTTTAGACAATGCCGACACCTAGCTAGCTGACAATAAGTCTGAATCATGTAAATACTGAAAAATCTTTCTCTTCTCCCCATCAAGTAAGATGAAAGGGATGTTGTCCTAAAATTAGAAGAGCTTATAACGAAAACAGAATCACTGGTACAATCAACATCAATCTTCATTATCACAGAAGTACACAACAGATCAAAGCAAGCTCAATTACATCCATTTCGGATACAACAGAACTAGCTATAAAGGTTCCACAAGTTGCATACAAGATCCGTCGAGGATCACTGAAGATGATGCAGAATCTGTACAAGAATTGTATTCCATGCAGATGAATAACTAGTGCTAGAAATGCAGAAATCATAAACAGATACAAACTACCCAAACTAAGTATGAAGTTAACTAAGAAACCATCACGGGTGCTCAATATGACGCCACTGAGTTCATGCTTAATTGACACTATGACGGGGACAGATTTGGCTTGTACAAGGCAAATTCAATTCTCATCTCTAACAAAGTACACAAACCCAGAGGTATGATCGCTTAGCAATCAATCCTTTCTGAAGAATTCAGAAATTACAGAAACAAGGATCATCATATTTGGTTCAAAAGCAGCAGTTCGGAAAAATTACTAAAACATGACTACCAAAAGAAACATACGAAACTCAATTCAATACAATCAAAGTTCATTCTAGAACCGAAAAGTACTCAAATAAGAATCACACAGTAACATGGAGGAAAAAATTGTACCATTGTTTCTCATATCAGACACATTTGTGTCCAAGTCAGAGCGAATAACTGCTTTCCTGAACCTCAACTGAGCCAACACCCGCTGCCGCCCCGTCAATAAAACTCCGCCTGGTCCCGACCCCGTCAGAAAGGCCGTCCGATTACCTCCGGCAGCTGATGTTCCCGGATAAGATAGAGAAGCCGATGAACAAGCCATAGACAATCTTTCAATTCCTTCAAATATACGACTCCAATTTCCTCCGAATTGCGCAACCCACCAACCAAAACCGCAAAATTTACAGACCCGACGTGAAAACACAAATTAAAATCACTTCCAAATTCCAAGCCAAAGTCTAAAATTTACTATCTCGTACCAATTTTGAACACATACAGCTCAATTCAACATAACTTCACCCAACCCACAAGTAAAAATACAATCTTGAAAGAATATAAGGGGAAACTGAGGACAGTAGAAGTATATAAGAGCTTTAGAACAAAAGGGTATCTGGGAAAGAGGAAGGAGAAGATGCTGAGAGTTGGTAAATTTGTCAGTTAATATACAAAGATTCCTCACTCTGAAGAAAGGTTAGGAAGATGGTTTCTAAATTTGGAAGTTAATGCATAGGGAATTTAGTGGATAAATTCTGGTGATTGGAGCAAATTCGTTGTTGTTGGTTTGGCATTGGTGATGGTGTTGCCGCCACCACTACAAGAAGAGTTGGGTCATCCTTTTTTTATTTTGCATTTGCAATCCCAATCCAATCCCAGGAAAGCACCAAAACTAGCATTATAGAAATATAAAAATATAAAGAAAGTGTGTACTAGTTAATTTGAGTATTTGATAATATGTTTGGGTGGGAAAAAATAGTGAAAGCGGCAAAATTAGTGGTTCAATATTCATTCCTTCGAGTTTCGATGATGGTCAGATCTCCAAAGACAGGATTATGGTCGACTATTTAGTCAAAGTTATATATTTACTATGAATATTTAGACAGGATTAAGGATTAATATATTTACTATGAATATTGGCTATTGTACAATAAGTAGAGCGGAGTTATGGGAGCTGTTTCAAGGTCTAAATTTGGCGTGGGAGATGGGATTTTGTCAGGTGATAATGGAAATTGATAGTAAGTGTGTTGTGAAGTTGATACATAGTGAGGAAGAAGGTGTTGGGTTTCATGGTAGCTTGATTAAAGCTATCCGAAAGTTGATGAATCGTGATTGGAAAATGATACTCTAATATGAGCTTAGAGAGACAAATTTTGTGGCTGACTTTCTGGTTTCTCTTGCGGTATTAGGGGCAGGTGATTTTCTAAGGTTATATGACCCTCCACGGGGAGTAATTCCTTGGTTGGAACATGACATTGTCGGTGTTTCTTATCAGAGAAGTGTTCTAGTATCGTGATCTAGGCTTTTTGCCTCTTCTATTGTACCAAAAAAAAAGAAGTTATATTTAACAACTTGATAATGTATAGATTTGTACGGTGCATTAGGGCGAGCGGCGATGATGATCTAGGCAGCGGCGGACGGCCTAAAACCTGCAAGACAGAGCTTCGGGTGTCTCCCGATGTTAAACTCTCCAATGCTTAAGTCAATAAAGAAATAGAGAGAGTAGAGAGAGAAGTATGTGTATCGTGTGTAGAAGGTCTAGAAGATGGATAACTTATATTTTAAATTTAAAAAATATATCTTAACAGAATGAAAAACAAAGGGGAAAGGAAAAAAAAAACAGAGGTCTGGTTTAGTTTTAATTACATTTTGGTGAATGTGGTTTAAGTGAGGTGGTAAAGTGGAAAGGTAAATTTATATTACCACGAGATCAAATATTTACCACGCGAAGCTTTGACTTTCACGAATGGGACATGCCTCTTCTTTGACGGAGCAATAAACAGGCAGTTACAATTCTCAGCATCTGGCATTCTGATTTGGAACTCCACAACAGGGTTTATTGGCTGTTTCGCAAGAACTTACAAGGGTTTCTTTCCTGCACCGGTGATTGAAAGCATTGCAACAAGGGAAGCAGATTGGCAACTACAATCGGAATCTCACAATTCACTCTGATAAGAGACTCATCTGTGGTAATAAATCGGCTATAATCTGATGAGACAGATCTATCCGACTGGGGAATAATTGTGGCGGATATCAAAACACGCTTCCAGGAACATTTCTAATTCGAATGTAAGTGGATTAGCCGTAATTTCAATGTTGTCTCTCACTGTTTAGCTCAATATGCAAAAGCTAAACGTGATTTTGAAAAATAATGGGATACTATTCTCGACTTTGTGCCTCATTCCGTGTTAGGCGGTTTCCAGCAAATTAAATGAATTCTCTCTTATTAGTCAAAAAAAAAAAAAGGTTATAGATGATGAGTTGTTGTAGTTTTATCGGACCATTTTATTATTGTAATTAACTAAAAATACTAATATTCTATCATATTTTTGGCAGTCTTTTGTGGAACCTATCAAACAAGTCATTATGCTTCTTTCCTTAAAGAACAACTAGATGCTTGCCCCGGGCAAATGTCCGGGGGCGTCCCACCTAATAAATTGATATGTAAATAATCAAAACTGATTAGGAATGAATTTAGTTTTTGATGAAGATAATTGATTGACCGAAAATTAATTTTTTCGGAAATTCTAATTAAATGGAGAAGGAAAATTCCATACACTGTCAAATTCAAAATTTGAATGAACATGACCATCTGATCTCTTCGTTAATGTTGTAATTATATTTTTTGTTTTTAAAAGGAGGTGACACGTGACAGAATGATTAATGCAATATGGTGCATTTGGAGCCAAAATATTTTAATAAGAAATTGCCACATCAACATCCTGTTTTCTGCTTTAATAGGGTAAAAGGGATAAAAAAAATTAAAAAACAAAGTTATAGTATTCCATTTAGGATTTACCACTTGACTCATGGTTCTCACAAGTTACAACTTCACTTGTTTAGGGGATTCCATTTTAGTATGTTACCACAAACTAAAATTTGGTAGTTTTGTTAGATTGTGGATGCAACGTTGAAGCTTTAGAAGATTGAGACCGTGAATCGCTAATTCTTCGGGAAAAAAATTTGGAGGTAAAAATTACTCCCTCCATTCCAAAATAGATGTCGTTGGAGGAAAACTCATTTTTTTCAAAATATATGTCGTTTTTGCATTTCGAGGCATGTTTTGTCAATTTCTTCCAATATTACCCCTACATGGGAAATTGTAATTGTGTTTAAAGTAAAAGTATATTAGAACTAAATAATATTGAAAATAGGATTCCATTAAAAGTAAATGAGGGTAGATTAGTGTTTTAACCAAGTATTTATTGTGTTCTTAAACTTTGTGCAACTCCCCCAACGACATCTATTTTGGAATGGAGGGAGTATTTTTTTTTTGGGTGTACACTATATAATAGAAAAGGCTTAATGAAATAAATTTAAACATGTACCAGTTACAAATAAGAAAATACAATGACAACTGGTTCCGCGCCTTAAACCGACATTCTTTGGAAACACGCAAACAGCATAATCTTAATCACATCACTAGTAGCATAATTAGTTTCTCAACATATTTCTCAAAACAAATTTTTTTACTATAATAAAAGAGATTAAACCTTGTTTACAAAAACTCAAACTACAACGTATTACGTTGTACTCCCTCCATTCCAAAATAAGTGTCGTTTTAACAAAATAGAGAAGTTTCAAAATAAATGTCGTTTTCAAATTCCAATGTATTTTTTCTCAAAAATTTCCAAACATACCCTCAAAAGAAATAATATTATTAGTGAACATTTATTTTAATGGGGTTGGTTGAGGATATTCTAATAATTTAGCTATCATATTTAATGTTTTCTTAAATTGTGTGAAAACTCTAGAATGACACTTATTTTGGAACGGAGGGAGTATTTCCATCACGGACGTACAACAACCAACATACGATAAAATATCTAGTGTAATAGTCTCGTGAACTAATTGTTGGCACTGTTAAAGCCAAATAATCAATAGGATTATTCGTCTCTCTAATAATTTTATAGTCAAAATCCCTACTTGGTAGTTGCCAATATTACTCCGGCACGAACAATTTGATAACAAGCTGGCATTGATTTTGTCATTTTGATCATCTCAAATTTTGTTGAGCAATGTGTAGTCCAAATATTCACTTAAATTAGGTCAAAAGGAATTTATACTCGCCAATTACCAAAAAGAATAATATGTTCACTTCGTTCTGAAACAATTATTCATTTTTTTAGTACTACTAGTTTTTAATATGATAAACAAAGATAATTATTTTGAAACGGATAAATAAATTTATAGCTTTTACATTTTCTTCAGTTACTTTTTGTGCGTGTGTTTTTATACCAAAAAAAAAAAAAAAAATTTATTAGTGAGTAAGTTCTTAATTGTGTACTAATGTTTTTTCCCTCTATCATTTATGTCATATCAAAAAAAGTGCTATCATTAGTCAACAAACGGATTCTTTTGTGTTATTTAAATAAACTTAAATTATATTTAGCTTACACGGCAAAGAAAATACTCTCTCCATTTCAAAATATAAATCGCTTTAGATATTGCACATAAACTAAGGAAACAATCATTCAATAAAGTTGTAAGAATCTCTCCGAACCTAAAACCACCTACAAATTGAAATGGAGGAAGTATGCACGATCATCGTTTGACCAGCTCTGACCTTTTGATTTATACATACAAGATGGTTTACAGATGAATTTAATTACTTAGTAGCATACAGCTTATGACTTTGGAAATTGAATTTATATTTCAAAAAACAAAAAAAACACTTCATAATTATGCAGTAGATAAGGGAAAGTGATTACTAATTGATGAAGAACTTTGGGAAGCAAAACTACAGCTGGTGACGCTTGGGCTCAGGGCAGTCATTTTTCACTTTCCCGCCAAAATTCTACAGTATATATATGATGAAGACGAACTGAAAAAATTGCAGTAAATCTCTTCTCCTTGGCGTAGTCAAATTTGAAAAGAGACAGCCCTTTTCTTCTTAGATTCCAAGGTAAACAATCTGACCTCTACTATTCATTTCTGAATTTCGATCTGCTTGATTAATCTGTAAAGGCATTTTTTTGTGAAGTTTGATTGCGAGTTTCAGGCTCTTCTTTTTTGCTGTTGTAATAAGGCAAATGTTGTGTTTGACAGAAGGCTCTTGAGAAAAAAATGGTACAAAGAGAAACCCCTTTTGTCGATTTCAAATTTTCTAGAGTAAAGGAACTACGTATTTGGTTTTTGGGTAGATTGTTTTTACAGCTCTGTGATTAAGCGGGGGCAGGGAATTTGAAAATTGACAAGATCAACCGATCTGAATGACTAATAAGAATTTGGATTATGTTTGGCTCATGGATATATTGATATCACAGATTCTATTTGGGTTGTTATTCTTATGATCTGTGTAGCAAAGAAACATTTTCTTTCTCTGAATTTGGCGACCATGGCACTGGCTTGAAGTCTCGGGAAGCTGAGAATTTGTTGCTGTTTTCTGTGTTTCATCTGTTAATGGCATAGAAGTTCTTTTCTTACATATGATCTAATATTTTTATCTGATAAACGAAGGCATGAGTGTTTCTCTTCATTTTCTTTTTTCTCTTTCTGTTTTCTCTTGATAGAATATGCACATTGTGATTTTACCTAATATGAAGACATATCCACTTTGGGTTCATTGTTTTTGTTGCTCCAGAAGGGATTTTTGTTGTGGGTGTATCCTCTAACATTGACGTTCTTGTTGATTGTAAAGGGCTGCTTAAGATGAAGGCAAAAAGGAGAAGGGATGAAACAGCTCAACAGATAAAGAAGCGTATTACGAACTCAGATGATCAAATTCGAACATTTGGTACATCCATTATGGATTTACCGGAACCAATCTTCATAGATATTTTGCTGAGGCTGCCATTGAAGGGAATTCTTGTCTGCAAGAGCATTTGTAAACCTTGGCGCCGCCTGATCTTCAGCTCTCCGTTTGCTAGGCTGCATTTTGCACGGTCCAGAACTAGCTTGATACTTAGAAACTTGGATAAAACATGTGTGCCAAGGTTTCGTCTGAAATCATTACTGGTAGGACTTCCCATGGATGTGATCAAGAAGTTCATGTAGATCTTAATGTGAAATTGAAGGTACCTGTATGCAACCCTGGAGTTTCCCTTGATTTGGAAGACGTGAAGAAGAATCGTCATGTTAAACGGGCTCTTAAAGATCACAAGTTCAAAGTTGTTAATTCTTGCAACGGCTTCCTCTGCTTATCTGAAGTCTCAACAAATGAGTCTGAGGTGGTTTTCAACCCTGTTACGGATGAATTTGTGAACCTTCCAAATGGCAACGAACCTTATGAAGCCTCCGTGGACTGTGGATTTGGATTCTGTCTCACTACCAACCAGTATAAGTTAATCAGAATATTTGATACAGGGGTAAATTTATCAAATGATTGCCCGACCTGTGAGGGAAAAACAAACAGCAGAAATATGGAACAGGTGCACTCACTCGGCACACAATCTTGGAAAAATGTTGGCTATGCACCATTTTATTTTGGTGCGCTATTATCTCCAACCTATCTGAATGGGAATCTTCATTGGGTTTATCCCTCTTTTTGACTTTACGAAGAGAAACAGAGCTTCCAGAATTTCCCAGCACCACCTTCAAGAGACGGTGAGTTTCTTTATAGCAGTAACATGCATATGAGCATGAGTGTACTCAAGAGGGAATCTTTGCTTAAGCCTTGTTGATGATGGTCATGTGGGTGATGGAGAAATATGGTGTTGAAGAATCTTGGACTAAATTGGTTAAGTTGGAGATTACAGAGAATGGTTTCGACTTTGTTTGCCAACCAGTTGACTACCTGAAGTGTGGATCTCTTCCAATGTTTTACTTCCCGAACAATATCTTCATACATTGCAATGTAGAAACTGAGGAATGGGATTGTCTCAAGGTCTGTGGGACTAAATCAATATGTGAAGCAATTCCTTTTGCACCCAGTTTTTTCACCCTCAAAGAAGCTCTACCAGGAGATGGAAAAAGAGTGACGAACATCTCATTGAGGTAAAAATGCTTAAAATTTTAAGTCCCTTTTTTGTCTGGTTGGTAGGAGATGGAACCTCTTTTGATGGTAGATTATATACAAAGAAAAAGATGGCGAAGTCATATATCTTTCACTTCTCTACACTTTCTTCGCACTTCATAGGATTAGTTTTGTACAATTTTGATTTGTTTTAATTTTCATGAATCTAGCTACTGATCCTGTCTCTTTATTAAGGACTCATGATAAGTAAGAGTCAGAATTCCTCATTCCCTAAATGAATTTACTCTGACTGTTATAATCTAACATCCACTGTCCAAAATATTAGTCCTCTGAACTATAAGAGTTTAACAAACATTACAAAGTACCACCTTGGGACAAAGGCTCTAGATAGTTTTACCTTTACACTCAAGTTGATAGATAGCTACATTGTAAATTGTCAAGGAGAAAGAATAACTTGCGTGATGGATAGAAGACAAAATGATTACACTTCCTTATCAGTTTTTCCAAATTTCAGAATCAGAAGTTTCTGTCTGCAAAGCCTTAGATTACTGAGTTACATCTGTGTAAAGTCTTGCATTTGAGCTATGCTGTAGGATTCTGATTACATAATATGCATGAATGACAGCCTTAAAATTAGCCACTCTCTGAATCTTTCATAAAGACCTCTCTAATCAGCAAGGAATGTCAAAAAGTATGACAGCAGATGTCTTTGAAGACTGAAGTTCAAAGTATGATAGTCTTTTTTGTGCAGGTTCATCATGTCTTGTATATAAATTTTATTACTATACTTTAATTCAAAAAGTATAAGTAGTGAAGTATGTTAAAATGCAATTTTTTCACAGTAACTGGGACAGAATCTCATTGTGACTGATCTATTTTGTATTTCCCTCTTTTCCTTTGTATTTCCCTCATTGTGACTGATGTATTCCATCTTCTTGACGGATATGCTCGTTCGCCATATTCCTTCTGCCAAAGCTGCATCAGCTAACTAGATTGAACACATATACACAGGACTTAAAGGCTCAAAAGCCTCAAAAGATTCTGTTGTATACCAGGCTATGGCAGATTGTGATCAGAATGGTCCGTTAATCGTGAAAGTGACCAAGCTTTATCCTAAATCGGATTGCAGTATTTTCAATGCATTCGGCCGTGTCTATAGCGGAAAATTGATGACTGGTCAGACATTAAGAGTTCTGGGAGAAGGCTATTCACCTGATGATGAGGAGGACATGGCAGTTGAAGAAGCAACAAAGCTTTGGGTCTATCAAGCTCGTTACAGGATACCGATTAGCGAGGCTCATCCTGGTTCTTGGGTGCTAATTGAGGGTGTGGATGCATCCATAATGAAGACTGCTACACTCTGTAATCAGGATTATGATGATGAAGATGTGTACATATTTCGGCCTCTCCGATTTAATACCCTCTCTGTGGTGAAAACAGCAACTGAACTACTGAACCCAAGTGAGCTACCTAAAATGGTAGAGGGTCTTAGAAAGATTTCAAAAAGTTACCCTTTGGCAATAACAAAAGTGGAGGAATCAGGGAAGCATACAATTCAGGGCACTGGAGAACTTGAGCTGGATTCGATTATGAAATACTTGAGAGAACTCTACTCAGAGGTGGAAGTAAAGGTTGCTGATCCTGCTGTGTCATTCCGAGAAACCGTGGTGGAGACGTCTTCAATGAAGTGTTTTGCTGAAACACCCCACAAGAAAAATAAGATCACCATGATTGCTGAACCCCTGGAGAGAGGACTTGCGGAGGATATCGAAAATGGTGTTGTCAGCTTGGATTGGCCTAAGAAGCAACTCGGGGATTTCATGCAGAAAAGCTATGAATGGGACTTGTTAGCAGCAAGATCAGTATGGGATTTTGGTCCTGATAAACAAGGTCCTAACGTCATGTTGAATGATACATTACTCCCGGAGGAAGCCGACAAGGAATTACTAAATGCTGTGAAAGATTCCATTGTTCAGGGTTTTCAGTGGGGTGAGGTCCACTCTGTGATGAACCCATCAGAAATGTTAAGTTAAAGATAATTGAAGCAAATATTGCCCCTGAGCCATTAAATCGTGGATCAGGTCAGATAATTCCGACAGCTCGCCGTGTGGCCTATTCATCTTTCCTGATGGCAACTCCCAGGCTCATGGAACCAGTTTATTATGTGGAGATACAAACTCCTATAGACTGTGTCCCTGCCATATATACCGTCTTAGCCCGAAGGCGCGGTCATGTGACTGCAGATGTTCCTGAGCCAGGGACCCCGGCTTACATTGTAAAGGCCTTTTTACCAGTGATCGAATCATTTGGATTCGAGACGGACCTGAGGTATCATACTCAGGGTCAGGCATTCTGTGTCTCGGTTTTCGACCACTGTGCTGTTGTTCCTGGAGATCCTCTTGACAATAACATAGTCCTGAAGCCTCTTGAACCTGCACCGATTCAGCATTTGGCTCGAGAGTTCATGGTTAAGACGCGGCGTCAAAAGGGAATGAGCGAAGATGTCAGCATCAACAAGTTCTTCGATGAAGCTATGGTGATGGAGCTTGCTAAACAGGCTACTGATCTCCATCAACATATGATTTGAAAGCCTTTCTGCTCTTAAGAAGAAGAAGCAAATGATTTGAAAATCTTTTTGTTGTTTTTGAATCTTTCAAGTATGGTTTGATTACTAATTAACCTTTTGGTGTGTATTAAGATCATCTTCTGAATTAGAATGCATTTGTCCAATGTTAGTTAATCAATTTCATTGTTTCCACAGTGAAAAATTGCTCTATAAGAAACAACTTACAGGAGCAGTCAACATAGATATAGTAATAGCGGCCAAAGTCCCCAAAACTGGCAGGAAAAAAATGGACCACAAATAAAAATAAAACATAAAAAGCGAAAGAAAAATGGGCCATATAAAAACATGTCGTTTGAAAGTGCCCAACTTTTCCTAGTGAAAAATATTGACTAATTACATAATTGGGAACAAATTCAATGGCGAGAATCTGTTGCTTCCTGCCGTCCCACAAGATTCTACTTCCTACTGCTGTATGTAAAGTTCAGATCTTTGATGTCTAACTGTATTGTTCTGGCATGATAAATGAATTTTTTTATTTGTTTTCTGATAAAGTAGTTCATTTTTTGTATCACCTTTTTTTTTTCTCCCCTGTAGAGATTTCATGGCGTCCAATGCTGCTCCAGTGACCCCCAGAGCAGCCAGAGGAAACAAGCCCAGACCCCAAAATTCTTGAAGCTTGCTGTCACTGGAGTTACTGAGCTTATAAGACTCTTCTCTCCACATGTTCAAGAAAGGTCAGTTTGGGATTGAATTTGTACTTGGTTATTTATACTACCTCCCTCCCACAAAAATAGACCACATTGAGTTCTTAAATTTGTACTCAAAACTCAATGTGGACTATTTTTTGTGGGACGGAGGGAGTATTATTTTTGTTGAAGATGAGGAGAAAGTGGCTTATGGTCAAAATGGGATCACAGTTATACCTACCAATAGGATTTAAGAAGTTGAAAGATGATAAAAACTGATATTATAGTAAGTGTCTGCAACCGGATTGAATGCAATTGCTTCATTCTGGTTTTGGGTCAGAGTTTGGTGCCTCTGTTCTGTTTGATAATATAGGTAAGCTGAATTCAGATGCTGCTGCTGATTTGTTTGACTTGTGCAGAACATAAATGAATACTTAACCAGCTTTTTGATTGCTGATAAGAGAACTTCGTTTCTGCCCAATATAGTCACCTAGATTTCACCCCTAGTAACAGGATGCAGGATTCACGTCAAACATCAAACTTAGTAGACTTGTTGTCTTTTTTATTCTCCTAATTGCGACTGGCATTAGAAGGCTGATGACCGCAAACCTTTTTGCTGTATATAATCAACTAATGATGAACTATATACATCTGAACTAATCAGAATATGAACTTATCAATTGTAGAATGTTTCCACACAACTTATCAACTGTGGACTGTGCATTTCACTTTTGACATGTTATAAGTTTCTCCTTGAGGAGTGATTTGTATTTTTGCTGTGTTTCTAAAGAACAATGATTTTCAAGACCATAGTTACTAATTAGTATTTGCTTTTGTTACATGAGTTTCTCCTTAGGTATCTATTAAACAACAGTTACTCCGCACTCCTGTTTTCTTTTGTCAATTGCAAATGGTTATTTAAGGATTATTACACTGACTTTGTAAAACTTAACGACTGTATTATAAGCCTAAGAGGATTCGGCATTCAAGTTTGTTGCTGTCAAACTTTTTTGCCGGAACATTCTTGTTTCGTTTAGGTTTCTCTCATCATCTCCGTATAGATTTCCCTGCAACGGATGACAGTATGTAATCGGATATTTTATCTAACTATAATACAGATGACGTATTCAAAATTTGCGATTGTTAGATGCAGGCTTTTTAAAGAAGCTAACCCTGAATTCAATTCCATGAACCATGAAGTCACAGAATCAATTCAATATTCTTCCAAAGTCTAAATATTGCTTCTTTAACTTCTTACTCTATGCAGAATGGATACTGTAAAGGGAAGGGTGGATAGCATTAAGGTTTCTGACATAGATGACATTCTAAGGGTTATCAAGTCTGACTATGAGAAAGCTTACTTTGTAACAGGTGCATGTTGATGCCTTTCTTTCTCTAGCTTCAGTTTTTCCGATGCTTTCTGTAAACAAACATGTAAAAAGGTAGTTAAGGGAGCCAATCCTTCAGAAAGTAGTTAACTATGCGTGATTTTCTATATAAATGACTTAAAAACAATTGGAGAAACTAATTCATACCAATATAGGTACTACATAACTGCTGTTACTATCTCCTGAATGTAAAGGAACGGAATGTAATCCTGAAACAAGTTCTTGTTGTTAGAGTTCTTTCTTCCAAATCTTTGTGTTAAGTAGTGAACCAGAAAAAACTACGAAGGCTTGCAGTTCATCTTAGAAAGAGATCATCAACTTAGTGCGTTCACGGGTTTATTTTATCTTCTGAAGTATACACGCATGGCCATCAATAAGTTCTATGCAATTCTTTTTTCTTTTTCTTTTTTTTTTATTTCTATGCAATTCTTAATTTCATGCATCATTAAAGAAGTATATCAATATAGAGTCACAAGAGATACTTGCGGATAAGCCCCACTATTTTTAACCAATTATTATTTTTTAAATTAACTTATAGAACTTTCTATTGTTTGTAGGAGTCTTCACTGAAGAAATTTATGCAGATAATTGCACTTTTGAAGATCCAACTATCAAATTTCAAGGTAAAAAGAAAAAGGGCCAAGTATGCTTTTCTTTGGGGAATCTTATAGCTTCCATGCTTCATTTCCTTTTGAAATCTGTTTGAGTTCTGTGGTTGCCCTGGGCCATTAGGCTCTATGATTTAACATAGGAATAAAAGAACTCAAACAGAGTAGATGGGTATAAAAGCAAAGCTAGAAAGTCTTATAAACATAATACTCCTCAAATGTTTGACACTCATATCATATGTGGTTTACTGCTAGTTCTTGTTTTTGGTTCTGGTGTTTGGTGAGCTGTGTCATATGAAGCTTTTCATGTTGACACTTTTTACTGTCCATCGGCCAGAAACTGTGCTAAGGCCAGATTTTAATTGTTCCTTGTAACTGGTTCTTAAGGTTTTTGATCCCATTGAAATTGCCTTGCATCATCCAATTCAATGAGGTGGTCATTCTAGAATGCACTTAGCTTCAACTACTTAGATTTCTTAGTCTTGCATTTATTGCAATCTCCTCCGCTCTGGAGAAGTGATCATGTGCACTTAAAGCAGAAAAATTGCCCCTATCTAATGCATCTTTAATATGTTTTAGTTTCTACTAGTTCTTTTACAAAAAAAATAAATAAATAAATAAAAATTCTACTAGTTACTTGTTTCGAATAACTATGTGCCTGTGTCCCGTATCTGTTTGAGTTGTTCCTCCCCCCTTACTTCACTCCCCCACACACACACACCGCAAAACTAGTCGATTGGAGAAACTAGATGCATCTAACATATTCTTGACCTTTATCAGGACGAGATTTGTACTTGCGCAACTTGAAATTGCTTGTACCTTTCTTTGACAATCCATCCATAATCCTGAATAAGATTGAAAAGGTATGTTGTTTCCATTGTGGAATGACGATATAGCACGCTATACACGTCCATTTGGTGATGATTTTTACTGAGAACTAGATGATTTTATCGAGGAAGCTATAATGCCAGTTTCTTTTCTGGGAAGAGGACGGACTCTTTTCTTTGAGCAATGATAGATTCAGAGAAACCATTTACTGCAATAACAATTTGAAAATGAGAAAGGAAAACAAGCTGTTACATTTGTGCCATTTCACAATATGATTTCATTGCGAATGTTATTACCCATTGTTCGAGTATTAATCCATTTTCATCATCCTAATGTGGCGTAAGTAAAACGCTAAGATTTGGCTTCATGTTACGTTATCACATGTAAAGTTTCCCACTAGTTTCCTTTGGTTTGATAACGTTACTTAATAATGAACTTTTCAGTTTTCTTTGAGCAATGATAGATTCAGATAAACCATTTACTGCAATGACAATTTCGAAAAGAAAGGAAAACAAATTGTTATTCCATGTCACAATATGATTTCATTGAGAATGTTGTTGCCCTTTGTTCGAGTATTAATGCATTTTCATCATCCTAGTGTGGCATAAGAAGTAAAAGGTTAAGATTTGGTTTCATGTTACGTTATCACATGTAAATTTTTCCAACTAGTTTCCTTTAGTTTGGTAACATTACTAAATAATGAAGTTTCCAGTTGAGAGACAACTCCACCATTTAAACTGATCATTGACTAAAATGAATAAGTCTGAAATCTTGAAAGGGTTGAGAAAAGTTAAGGGAAGCTACCTAAATCAAACAGATAAAGGAAAAAGAGTCAGTCAGTTCAAAATTTAAACCAAATATGGTTATTGCTTAATCTAGGAAAATCTGTAGGCAGCAAGTTCTTAATCTAAGTGATTCATTTAAAATGACAGGATCTCCCCTTTCAGCCTGTTCGAACATGAATGGAAAAATTGAGTTCGATTTGATTTTTTGTATAAATAGTTCAATCTGGTATTCATTTCCTTTAGTAACCTTCTGATGTAGTAGTTTGTTGTAATTACACCTTGCCTTCAAACTTCCCTGGTTTGAAAGTTCTATAGGGCGGATGGTTAGCTAATTCTAATGACTACAATACTACTGTAAATGCAGGTTCTCACTTCAGATAGAGAGAACATAGTTGCATCATGGAGGCTAAGGTATTTAAATTTGACTTTTTAAGTCACTCAAAATCAATCTTTCTTTTTTTGTCTCGCTGAAGTGTTTTTGTATGATAAAAGTCCTTTCTACTGAAACATCATTTATTAGTCCTTGATGGAATTTCACCTGTTAGAAAAGGATGTTATTTGTAGCTAAACTCACATACATAGAAGTGAGCGCGCCTAAAGAACAACTGCAAAACCAGTCAGATAAGAATTCCCTCAGAAAGATGACTGAGTGTTGAATGTGGAAGTAGTTTGTTACATTGAGCTGTTTTTGTGACACCAATCCACTAAGATATTCTGCACGTTTATGAACCAAAGATGGTTGATATCACAAAAAGGCACCCTTGTAGATGTATCAAGTTCTTTTATCAATCTATCTGGACTGTTAGATAATCATTTTTGTCTAATTTGATAAGCAGAACTTGCCTCAAGCTTCCTTGGAGGCCTATTATTTTGGTAAATGGAAAAACAGTCTACGACATTGATGAAGAGTTAAGGGTAAGTTGAAATCAAATTTCTTGCTTAACCATATAATCAAGTGGAAATTGGAACAATGATGCTTTAAAAATTGACTCACAGGTTATGGGGCATGTTGAGAGCTGGGACATAAGTGCACTTCAAGCTGTTGGACAGATATTTACTCCTGGATTTTTGAGCTCAAGTAGTGAATGAGAAACAGATTGTCTGTACTGCCGCATCAGTCACTGATGACGTCTACTGAATAGTAGTACAGGTTATCTCAGTAACAGTCCAAAAGAAAAACAATAAGAGACTCTTGGTACGAACAAAGCATCCAGCTACTGAAGGAAGAAAACTCAGCAAAACGAGCGAGATGCAGGTTTATCACAATCGTTGATTCAATGCCAGTTCCTACAGTTTTCATGTATAGATTTAAACAAACCTTCCTTACTTTTGGAGTGTTGGATTAAGCAATCTAAAGGATAATTGTGTGACTCGCCAATTTGTCACAAATTTACTTATGTTTCAGCCCTAAGGTGACACGTGCAATGCGCGATCCACAGATGAAACAACTTCCTGACCGAAATATCTTCATCTTTTGGAAATGCTCCAAAATATAGAAGGCAGGGCTTTAGATCATCTTGTAAGTGTTTGTAGCTAAGTTCCAAAGTATTCATGCACTGTTCTGTAACAGATGTCTCGCCCAAATTTAATTCATCCCGGATTCTCTCCCAATCCTCTGGATTTGTACTTGCCAGAACTCCAGCTAAAATGACGATTGTCAGTGGTAAGCCCTTGCAATATATAGCTATTTCCCTTCTAACTGCGGCTGTTAATGCTGGAGTCGATCCACCATTTTCTTCGGACATCTTGCAAAACAGTAAAAACAACTCTCAGCGTCATCGAGTGGTTGGAAAAAATGAGGTTTTTGGTCGAGCAGCATCTCACGAGGAGCTACATCACTATTGATAGAATATATAAATACGAAAACCTTAATTAGGGTTTCCGATAATCACAGCTAACATTATTGTAATATTGTACTATATATATGATGTTGTACACATGTAATAAGATACGAAAAATATTTTTTCATGGTATCAGAGTCCTTTCCTAGGCCGTCAATTTTTAGTTAGGTTTTTTTTCTTCCTGGGCTCTTTCATGTTCTTGACTTCACCAACTACATGCTTTGGAAGGAACTCTTTCTTCCTGTTTTTCGCGGCCATGCCGTCATGGGTCACATTGACGGTTCAAATCCTTGTTCACCGGCGACTCTCGCTGCCTCCGATGGTTCTTCCACTCCCAATCCGGCTTTTCAATCTTGGACCCAAATTGACTCTATTGTGCTCTCGTGGATTCAAGCCACTATTCTACTGAGTCTTGCAGGCTATCGTTAAGCCCAATTCCACCCTCACAGCCCGAGATGCATGGCTTACGATCGAGAAACTATTTCATGACCAACTTGGCTCTCGGCTTCTCCATCTGAAGCTGCAATTCCACAGCTTGAAGAAGGGTGATTCCACAATCAATGATTATGTCACTCAATTGAAGATGTTGGCTGACTCTTTGACCGCTGTCGGTTGTTCCATCTCCAACTCTGATTTGGTTCTGCGAATTCTCGCCGGTCTTCCTACTGATTATCAATCCGTCTCTACCACCATCAGCCACAAAGTCCCTCTTCCTACCTTCGTTGAGGCTCCTTCGATATTGTTCTTGCATGAGGTGCAGCTTCAGAACGTGGCCCCTCCTTCTTCTCCCGCGACAACCACGGCCTTGGTGGCGGCTGCTTCACCTGGTTCTTCTCAGCAGCCGACGTCCGCTTCTCCTCCTATTTCATCCAGTCGTGGCCATGTAAGGGGTCGCGGCTTCCAGAATTCAAGAGGCCGAGGCCGCGGGCGTGGTCGCAATCAATATTTTGGCCAGTCCTCTTCTCCGTTTTATCACTCTTATTCTTCTTATCCGGCTCTCATGTTTACTCCCAGGCAGCGCACTCCCTCTCTTCTTGGACCGCCTCCTTCTTCCTCGTCCAATTCGGGTCCTGTTCGATGTCAATTGTGCCACCAGTTTAATCATTCTGCCCGGGATTGCTATCAATTCCAACAACCCGCTTATTTTGTTGATCAACATAATCGGTTTTCTATCCCCCCGTCTGTTGATTCTTCTTGGTATATGGACACGGATTGTGGTAATACTATGACTTCCAATCAAGGTACTCTTACTAATTCCAAACCCTATCTTGGTTCTACTCGAGTTGTGATTGGTAATGGTTCAAATTTACCTATTAAATCTGTTGGTACACTTCCTTGTTCTCAATTTTGCTTTCCTAGGGTTTATTATGTACCAAAAATCTTGTTTCTGTGCGTCAATTTGTAACTGAAAATCAATGTTCTATTGAGTTTGATCCCTTTGGTTTTTCTGTGAAGGATCTTTGGACGAGGAACCCTCGTCTACGTTGCAATAGTGTTGGTTCCCTTCACACTCTCCCATCCACCCTTTTGGATCAATCTCGCGCACCGTCTTCTTCATCATGTCCGGCGTTCGCTGCTTCCGTCTCTTCTCATGTCTGGCATCAACGTCTTGGTCACCTCAATTCTTCTGTTTTATCTAGATTAGTGTCACATCGCCGCCTTCCTGGTTCGGTGGTTTCCTCAAATAAGTTTAGTCTTTGTCAGGCTTGTCAAATTGGGAAGCATCATAAGCTCCCTTTTATGTCTTCTACTTCGGTTACTTTCAAAGCTTTTGATTTAATCCATACCGATGTTTGGACTTCTCCCTGTCTTTCATTTAGTGGTTTCAAGTATTTTGTCCTTTTTCTTGATGATTTTACTCATTATTTATGGGTGTATCCACTTAAACATAAATCTAAGGTACCTCACTAATTTATCAACTTTTATACTCTTGTCCAAACTCAATTCAATATTTCTATAAAAACTCTTCAATCTGACGGTGCTGCTGAATATGTTCACTCTCATTTTCTTCAATCTTTTCTCAAATCTAAGGGAATTGCCATGCGCATTTCTTGTCCATACACTCCTCACAAAACGGCAAAGTTGAGCGCATGAATAAGACTGTCCTCAATATGGTCTGCACCCTCCTTAATCAAGCTCACTTGCCACCTGAATTCTGGGTAGAGGCCTTAAATACTAGTGTTTATCTGATAAACCGTTTACCTACCAAATCCGAGAACAATTTTGTTCCCTTCTCCCTTCTTTTTGGTACTCTACCTAATTATGGTGTCTTGCGGGTGTTTGGATGTTCTTGCTTTTCTAATCTATCTCATTTAGCTTCCACAAGCTCCAACCTCGGTCCACTCCATGTATCTTCCTCGATTATCCTGAGTCTTACAAAGGTTACTGTTATTTTGATCCTGCTTCCAAGAAAATTTACACTTCCCGTCATGTTATTTTTGATGAAACCTCTTTCCCGTTTCCTCAACTATCTTCGGTTCCACCACTCTCTACTCCCAACACCCGTTTTAAACATCCTTCGTTTCTCATTCCACGGTCCATTCCCACTTCCGTGATACCTTCACCTCCTCAACAAAAAGTGTCAACTGTTCCTTCTGTACATTCAGACCCTACACCTTCTACTTCCTTGTCAACTTATTCGGGTCCTCCTTCTTCAAACCCTCCCACTCATCATATGGTCACCCGCACTCAGGATGGCACCCGTAAACCTAAACAGATCCCCTCTCTTACTACTACTACAACATCTTCACTTCCCCATGAACCAAAATCTTTCACTGAGGCCAATAAATACCCTGAATGGCGAGCTGCTATGAGCGATGAATATAATGCTCTCCTCACTAACCATACATGGGATTTGGTCCCTCCTCCTATTTCTGCTAATATTATTGGCTCAAAATAGATTTTTCGAGTTAAGCTCAAATCCAATGGTTCACTTGATCGATGTAAAGCATGTTTGGTCGCTCAAGGTTACAATCAAAAGCCTGGTATTGATTATGATCAAACATTTAATCCGGTGGTTAAACCAGTGACAATTCGGACTGTATTAAGCATTGCTGCTTCTCGCAAATGGCCCGTCCATCAGTTGGATGTTAAAAATGAATTTTTGCATGGTTATCTCAATGAAATTGTCTACATGAAACAGCCTACTGGTTTTGTTCATCCAGATCATCCTCACTATGTCTGTCGATTGAACAAAGCTCTTTATGGCTTAAAGCAGGCTCCCCAAGCTTGGTTTCACAGATTCACTGCTTTTCTGTTTTCTCATGGTTTTATAGGCAGTCGCTCAGACTCTTCTATGTTTGTGTATTCTGCTGGATCAGACATGGCGGTTTTGTTAATTTATGTTGATGACATTCTCTTGACAACATATAGTAATCGTCTACTCACTACTATTATACAGTCACTGAAGGGTGCTTTTGCCATGACTGATCTTGATCCAATCAGCTATTTTCTTGGTGTTTCTATTGCTCTTTACTCTGGTGGTTGGTTTTTACACCAACGTAAGTATGCTGAGGAATTGTTAGCTCGTAGTCATCTCACTTATGCCAATCCTGTTGCAACTCCCCTTGCTCCCGCTTTTCAGTTTTCTGTTGATGAGTCTCCGCCTTTTCACAATCCAACTCTCTATCGGAGTTTGGTGGGTGCATTACAGTATCTTACCTTCACCAGACAGGACCTTCAGTATGCGGTCAACCTTGTCTGTCAGCATACGCATGATCCCCGGAAACAGCATTTTCAAGATGTCAAGCGTATTCTACGATATATTAAAGGCACACTTCATTATGGCATTCATCTCCGCGTTGGTCCTCTTGAACGCCTAGTTACTTATTCTCATGCTGATTGGGCCGGGTGTCCCACTACTCGCCGTTCTACCACTGGGTTTTGTGTCTTCTTAGGCTCCTCTCTCATTTCCTGGTCCTCCAAGAAACAATCTACAATTTCCAGATCTTCTGCTGAGTCTGAATATCACGCGGTTGCTTCTGCTTTGCCTGAAATGGTTTGGTTAGAGAATCTTCTGTCAGAACTTCATATCAAGCTTCCTCAGCGCCCAGTGATCTTATATGACAATGTCTCTGCTACATACCTAGCTGCCAATCCTATTAATCATGCTCGAACCAAACATATTGGTCTAGACATTCATTTTGTTCGTGAACGTGTCGCTGCTGGTCTTCTTCGAGTTCTTCATATCTCCACCCAGTCTCAACTAGCAGATGTATTCACCAAATCCTTACCTAAGGATAAATTTTATTCATTTAGAACCAATCTGTGCATGATTTCCTCTCCTCCTCCGATTGCGGGGGGATGATAGAATATATAAATACGAAAACTCTAATTAGGGTTTCCGATAATCACGGCTAGGGTTATTGTAATATTGTACTATATATATGATGTTGTACACATGTAATAAGACATGAAAAATATTCTTTCAACTATGACGGCTTGTCAAAAAATTCTACTTTTAACCTTGTCATCAGGGAATGATGCTGCCAAATTTTGCCATGCCTCTTTGTCCCATATGTCATCCAAAAAAATGAGATATCTTTTCCCTTTCAGCCTACGCCAGAGCATTTCTACTAAATCTTGTTCATTTAGCTCCAAACATCCAATTTTAGCATCAACCTGTTTTAAAAGGTCTAATAACACTTTCCTTTTGTCCACTACTCACGAGACTGTACACCATGCACGAACAGAAAAATGATATGCAATAGAATCATCACTGTATATTTTTGTAGCCAATGTAGTTTTACCTAGTCTCGCCATTCCTACAATGGCAAAAACTCTTAAATGATCTGACCCTCTCGTGAGTCCTTCCATAATTGATATGATATCTTCATCGTGACCAACAAACTCCTTTGTTGTCATGAGGGGAGTTTCTTCATATGCCATGTGACTAAAACTCTTGGGGACTTCTTCTTGCTTTATTTCTTGTCTTCTGATTTGGATTTCAAGTCTCATGTCCTAGATTTTGGGCTTAATGTCCCTGATGTCTTTCATGATGGAATCAATTGTTGAAGAAGAATCTTGAAGATTACTAATCAATAGGTGGTCAACAAGACACTCCATCTTGTAAGTCACGTCCAAAACACGATCCCAGAGAGCTTGAAGATCCTCTCTTTGTTGGCGCAACTCAACAACATCCCCCATGAAAGATCTGAGGAAGACAAGTCCGTCATAGATGATATGAACACACTTACGGCTTCCACTTGCTACACTGTTTACACCTCTCAGCTCCATCAGTTTCTCCGATACAAAATCAGCATATCCCAACTGATTATGGGAAATCTGAACATTGGTAGTGGGTCTCTCTCTCCAAATTTTGCTTGAAAATTCTTGACTGTAATGTTCAAAAAATTCTGAATTAGACCAAGATCAACTTCCTCATGTATCTGGTATAAGGAGAAAATCAAGATTCCTGTGTCGCATAAGATAGTTGCCATGTCTCCACTGTTGTTGTCTTCACATTGTTCCATGACAATGATTCTTTTCAAGGATCTGAGTTCTCCATAGAACTCTTCCAGTTGAAGCTTAATGGAAAATACACAACCAGAATTCAGTATGAGAATATCCCAAAACAAGACATATGAGAGAATTGAGAAAATTCTTTGTCGCAATGAAGGTGCCATCATTCATGTCTTCTTGAATGGAAGCACTCAACCTTGATAACTTTGAGTCTCTTAGTGCTTCTGTGTAAGTCTCATAGACCTGAGGATCATTAGGCTTGATCTTCTCCACACAAATTAAAATTCTATCTCTGAACCTCTCCTCGTCCGGCTGGTCATCAAGTGCTTCTCTAGAATACTCTGAAAGTAGATACGCCGTGCTGATAGCAACGCCTTCAGCATGAGCCAACAAATGTTGTGAGGGATTATGAATGAATCTGATGAGGTTTTGCAAGAATACCATCTGATCTCGCAACGCCTCCATTATTTCTTCTAAATTTGCACTGTGAAAATGCCCTGAAGCTAGAGTCTCCAAAATGGAACTGATGATCTCATGGACATCATCTGCGGTAACAAGAGAACTTCTAGACTACCGCAGTATCATCCTGACATACCATTCATCAACGTCAACCACTAAGGATCTAATATCTTTTAAGTACTGTTCGAGGGACAGATAAGTCATATAGATAGCACCAAGATAGAAGAAATTGAATCCATCTTCCAAATTAGAATCTAAAGGACGATCTAGCTCCGAAAGAGTATGAACAGTGGCTTCAATCCTTAACAAGAAAGATGCCAGATTTACATCATGGTTCTCCAATTTTGTGGCTGAAATAATAACAAATGTTTTGAGTATCCTTAACATCCTCTGCAGACTCTAATATTCATGACGAGGGGAAGAAACAAAAATATATGATGTCCACTGGTTCAGAACACGAAAGGCAGAGTCAATACAAGCAGTCATGCGGGTACAGTCCACATATTTCTTGGTGTATTGGGGACAAAACCATAAAAGGATGTGCCTTATCATTGGGACAAAGGAAAAGCAGGAAGAAAGTTGAATAGAGAGAGTGAGGAAACTGAAACAGATGGAAGATGCAAAGATGAGGGTTAATTGAATGGTATGAGAATGGAAAATATATCAGTGGAAGAAGATGAATAGGAGGAAAACGAGTCAGATGATATGTTAACTGCTGAAATAATACAAAGAAACAGATATGACTTAACAAAGGCAGGTTTGAAAATTCAGTGCCAATTACCATCAATGCCTATTCAGGAAAGCTGAGTTTTGGACAGTTAATTGGTATGATCCGCACAAGGTTGAGCTGAGACTTGAATCAGTTAACTCAGTCAATCTAATAAAAAAATTTCTCAATGTATGTTATAAGAAAGACTCCAAAGTTTGAGACTCTTGGTCTTGTTTGATTACTGAAATTCAGGAACTATATAATTGTTGGGCCCGGTGTTCCCCTCAATTTGGCCAACAAAAGGAGAATTAAAACCAAGCCTAGTTAGGCTTTGGTTTTGACCGAGGGAAACAAACCCCTTTTGGGTTTGGTTTTGATTTGGCTTGACCGTGGGCTATAAAAGCCAAGGTCCCTTTGTGCTTTTAGAAGTGTGTTTCCAGCCAAGAGAGAAGCGGCAAATTAGGGCAGCTGCACCTTTGTGCGAGAGAAAAGGGAAAAAAAAAGAAAGAAAGCTAGGGTTTAGATTTCGGTTTAACTCTCTTTTGGTGGAATCCTTCCAATCCTACTTTCTGATAGGTGTGTGTGGAAGAGTATTATTGTAATCCACCTTTGGGTGAAGTCCTGCGTATCAACCGGTTGGTGAAGATTATTTTCCATTATTGTGATAGTGGAGATTTGACTGTTGTTACAGTCCCGTGGTTTTTTCCGGTTTGGGTTTCCACGTAAATTCGTGTGCCTCCTTTATTTTATCAGTTCTTAAATTATTTTGCTTGTTTAGTTGTCCTATTTTATTTGTAGTAGGAAAGGAGATTTTCTTGGGGTTCGCTTTCGTAGTGTGTTGTGTTTATGCCCTTTCCATCACAACAGTGGTATCAGAGTTACGGTTCGGTAGTTGAGATGTTACACCAATAAAATGAAAGAGTCATCGGGTACTGGTACGATGATTAAATGGACTTCATCTAATTATCATATGTGGAAGCCTAGAATGAAAGATTTGTTGTATTGTAAAGATTTGTTTGATCCTGTTGGAGATGAAGGTAGGCCAAGTGATATGACTAATAAAAAGTGGGCTGATATGCACAGAAAAACTGTTGGTAATATTCGACAGTGGATTGATCAAAGTGTGTTTCATCACTTTTCGGGAGAAACAAAAGCTGATGAACTTTGGGAAAAAATCCAAAATATGTACTAGAAGAAGTCCAGCATCAATAAGTCATCTACGCTGAAACAGATTACCAGGTTGAGGTACAAAGATGGTGCTAGCATGAATGAGCACTTGAGTTCGTTTCAGGGTTTGTTGAACCAGGCAATGAATGTAGGTTTAAAGTTGGATGATGAGGTGCAAGCTTTGTTATTGTTTAGTTCTCTTCCAGACAGTTGGGACACTTTGGTAATGTCAATCAGTAATTCAACCCAGGATGGTGTCTCGACCTTAGATCAGGTCAAAGAGGCTTTGATGAATGAAGAAGTTAGAAGAAAAGAGCAGAGTATTGAGTCTGAGTCGCAGGCTCTGGTGACAGAAAAGTCAGATAGAAGAGGGAGAAGTAAAAGCAGAGGGCCACGTGATCGGAATGACAAGTCCATAAGACGGTCTAAATTCAAGAAAGATATCGTGTGCTACCATTGTCAAGGGAATGGGCACTTTAAGAGGGAGTGCAGGGTTCTCAAGAGAGAACTAGCAGCGAGAAAAGGTAAAGGCAAGAAGGATGAATCAAGTGATGATGACACTACTGCAGTAGTAACTACCAGTGATGTATTTGTGTATTGTGATGATGATACAATTAATTTGCAAGTCACGACAGTGATTGGTTCGGTGATTCAGGTGCGTCTTATCATGTGATGCCTCACAGACACTTCTTTACCTCTTACACACTTGGAGATTTTTGTCGTGTAAGAATGGACAATTAAGCCTCATGCGATGTTGTCGGCATGGGAGAGGTATCATTGGTAACGAATACAGGTTCTACCCTTGTCTTGAAGAATGTCAGACATGTTCCGGATATGCGTCTAAACCTTATTTTCGTTGGAAAACTTGATGATGAGGGTTATCATAGCACTGAAGATGGTGGCCGTTGGACAATTACCGGAGGGAATCTTATTATTGCTTGAGGAAAGAAGTTGAACTCTTTTTATGTGTTGAATGCAAAGTTGAAGAATGGAGAGGTGAATGCAACTCACAATGCCTCCATTGATCTCTGGCACAGAAGGCTTAGACACATTAGTGTCAAGGGACTCCAGATTCTTGGTAAGAAGCAATTTCTCCCTGAGGTGAAAGGTACTGCTCTAGAACTTTGTGTTGACTGTATCTATGGTAAACAACATAGGGCTTCCTTTCAAAAATCTCCTCCATCTAGAAAGTCCAGTCCTCTAGAGTAAGTTCATACAGATGTATGTTACATGAAAGATAGGTCGTTGGGTGGAGCATTGTACTTTGTTGCTTTCATTGATGACTGTGCTCAAAAGGTTTGGCGTTTTTCTTTGAAATCTAAAGATCAGGTATTAGATGTGTTCAAAGACTTTCACTTTGGAGTTGAACGAGAGACTGGCAAGAAGTTGAAGTGTGTTCTAGCAGATAATGGTGGTGAGTACAGGGGTCCATTTGAGAAGTATTGCCGAGACCATGGCACTAAACTTCAGAAAAGTGTTCTGAAGACTCCGCAACAGAATGGCGTGGCAGAAAGAATGAACAGAACTATTACCGAAAAGGTTAGATGTATGCTATTGAATGCAAAGCTGCCTAAATCTTTTTGGGGTGAAGCCATGCAGATAGCAGTTGATTTGATCAACCTATCTTCCTTAGTTCCGTTGGATGATGATCTACCACAACGAGTTTGGACAGGGAAAGATGTCTCATTTGGACATTTGGAAATTTTTGGTTGTCGTGCCTTTGTTCATATTCCCAAAGATGAAAGGTCGAAGCTTGATAAAAAATCCAAGCAGTGTATATTCTTGGAGTATAGCAATGATGATTTTGGGTACAGACTTTGGGATCCTATAAAGAAGAAAGTTTTCAGAAGCAGAGATGTGATCTTCTTTGAAGACTAGACCATTGATGATATGGGAAAGGGCGAGATGCCAGAATCTTCACCTGAGATTCCTGTTGATCTAGATCTAGTTCCAACACAATTAGCTGATTCTTCTGAAGGGAGAGCTGAGATAGAGCAGAATGGTGAGTTTGATGATGATCCTATTTCTGAAACAGAGACACCACCGGTTTCATCACCTCCTATCCAGCCAAGGAGGTCCACCAGAGACAAGAAACCTTCCACTAGGTACAGTGCTCATGAGTATTTGTTGCTTACTGACGGGGGAGAGCCGGAGTCGTATGAAGAGGTTCTTAATCATGAGCAGAAAGATCAGTGGTTAGCAGCCTTGCAAGATGAGATCAAATCCTTGCATGAGAATAACACGTATGGCCTGGTGAAGGTGCCTAAGGGCAAGAGAGCACTCAAGAATAAATGGGTGTGCAGACTGAAGACAAGTGAGAACAGCTCACAACCGAGGTATAAAGCTAGATTAAATGTGAAGGGATTCAATCAGAGAAAGGGTGTAGACTTTGATGAGATATTCTCTCATGTTGTAAAGATGTCTTCAATCCGAGTTGTGCTTGGGACAGTGGCCAGTTTGAATCTTGAGATTAAACAACTTGATGTGAAGACAACCTTCTTGCATGGTGATTTGGAAGAAGAGATTTACATGGAGCAACCAGATGGATTCCAGGAGAAAGGGAAAGAAAAGCTTGTATGTTGTCTCAACAAAAGCTTGTATGAGTTGAAGCAAGCTCCGAGGCAGTGGTACAAGAAGTTTGATGCTTTCACGATAGGCCAAGGATACCAAAGGACTACAGACAATCACTGTGTGTTTGTGAAAAAATTATCCGATGGTGATTTTATAATTCTTTTGCTTTATGTCGATGACATGTTGATTGTTGGTCATGATACTGCAAAGATTGCCAGGTTGAAAAAGGAGTTGAATGAGTCCTTTGCGATGAAGGATTTGAGTCCGATTAGACAGATCCTTGGGATGAAGATTTCTCATGACAGACAGAATAGGAAGCTTTAGGTATCTCCAAAGAAGTATATCGAGAAGGTTCTTGATAGGTTTAACATGAGCGGTGCTAAGGAAGTCTCGACTCCACTTACAGGGCATTTTAAGCTAAGCAAAACACAGTGTCCTAAAAGTGAGAAAGATAAGGAAGTCTCGACTCCACTTACAGGGCAGTTGGTAGCCTGATGTATGTGATGGTTTGCACAAGGCCAGACATAGCTCATACAGTGGGTGTTGTTCGTCGGTTTCTCTCCAATCCTGGTAAGGAGCATTAGAATGCTATGAACTGGATTCTCAGGTATCTTAGGGGTACTTCCAGATTGAGTCTTTGCTTTGGCAATGGGAAGACCATGTTGGATGGATATACAGATGTTGACATGGCGGTGACCTTGATGGTCGGAAGTCTACTTCTGGATACTTGATGACTTATCGAGGGAGAGCAGTAATACTCTTTCACACACACCTATCAGAAAGTAGGATTGGAAGGATCTCACCAAAAGAGAGTTAAACCGAAAACTAAATCCTAACTTTCTTTCTTTTTCTCTTTTCTCTCGCACAAAGGAAGTGTGCGGCTTCCCTAATTTGCCACTTCTCTCTTGGCTGGAAACACACTTCTAAAAGCACAAAGGGACCTTGGCTTTTATAGCCCACGGTCACGCCAAATCAAAACCAAACCCAAAAGGGGTTTGTTTCCCTTGGTCAAAACCAAAGCCTAACTAGGCTTGGTTTTAATTCTCCTTTTGTTGGCCCAATTGAGGGGAACACTGGGCCCAACAATCTCCCCCTTCACCTCAATTGGGGAATAAAACCAAACTCACTTCCTCTCTATAAAACAGGAGCTTGTCTCTATTCACAGTCTTCATCAACATATCGGTACCGTTGTTATCTGTATGGATCTTTTCAAGAAACAACGCCTTGGACTCCAACACATCGCGAATCCAATGATATCTCACATCAATATGTTTTGACCGCAAATGAAATGTGGAATTCTTCGCTAAGTGAATAGCGCTCTGGCTATCACAATACACCACATACCTCTCTTACTTCATGCCAAGCTCTTGTAGAAACTTCTACAACCAAAGTGCTTTTGTAGTGTATTGTGTTTATGCCCTTTCCGCCACAACAATAATCAGGCTCAATCAACGGACAATACCAAGAGTTCCAAATCCAAACAAGAGATAAATGATCTAGTGTTGTTTTTTTTCTCTAATATGCAGCTCTTTTTTGAATCTTGGAAGAGAAAAGGAAAAATCATGATGAATGGTACCAGGCTAATTTTCAGATTAACAAAAAAAAAAAAAGAGAAGCAATTATTAGTTTAAAAGAAGAAGAAAAAAAGACCCGGCAATATATCTTGCAGACTTAGGTATATTCTTGAATGAAGACCAAGAATGAGATAACTTGGGAGGGTAGGTGAGTTATCACAATCAATGCCAAATCATGCATCTCAAGTTTAAGATTAAAGAGACAAAATTTCATTATCATCTGCCTGAAAACGGAAGCCCTGGCTGGCCCACGTTGGAGTGTCTGATTACGCAAGCTTTTCAAACAAAAAGGAAAGGTATGGTGATTCAACTTTTGTGCATTCCAACAGTGCACCAGGGGATATGAACTGTATCAAAGAGCTCCTAAACAGGAACATGATAGTGCGACTTAGACATATATTCAGAGAAGAAAAAATTTCTCGGCTGATTGTTTAGCAAAACTAATACCTACCTCTTGGGACTACAGGAAGCTATCGGAACCTCCTTCAAAGGTAGCTTGCTCATGATGTAATTGGGGTGGCTTACCCTCGCTATGTACTAATACAGTCCTAGATTTTATGCTTCCTTCTCTGTACTGAAAAAACAAAAGAAAAAGAAGGATATTGGAATTCAGAGAAAGAGGGGAATTTGCTCTTTCTTTTATATCATGCAGGACGCCAACTTGGTTGCTTTCATCCATCACCAAAAACAATGAAAGTACAAGAAATAGACCCATTTTGGGAGTCTTTTGGTCAGTGTCATGGATTATCCAATTCAAGAAAAGAAAAGATAACAAAACCACACAAAACACCAACAAAAATAGCTATACAACACGAGTTAGGTCTAGCATAGCAGAAACAAATTCAAAGCCTGCTGATACAATTGAAGCATAAATACTAACTACACAATGTGGAAATGTGGAAGTAATATTAACAATGAAAACAACAATGAAGCAAAAGCAGCAACCACAACAACAACTTACGAGGAAAATCTATGTGGAGAGATAAATAATCACCAGACTAAAAGTCCCGGAAAGCCTAGCTGGGAAAATCGTCTCATCGCTTCCTCGATACAAAATCCAATACACCTTACTGTTCTTAACGGAGTCATAATCGGTGTCATGCTTTCAACTTCAAGGTTTATTTAGAATTAGATAAAATGTTTGAGGGTCAGGATTCTAACCTGGAAAAGTTGGAGGGTAGGTTTATTTAGAATTAAATTTAGTGTTCCTGGTTTACTTTCTGGTGCTTCATTTAAAATGACAGGATCACCCCTTTCAGCCTGATTGTTGATTGATTTCTTTGTATTAATAGTTCGTAATCTGGTATTCATTTCCTTTAATAACCTTCTGATTTTGTAATTACACCTTGCCACTCAAACTTCTCTGGTATGAAAGCTCTATTGGGCTTATGGTTAGCTGATTCTAATGACTGCAACACTAATGTAATGCAGGTTTTCACTTCAGATAGAGAGAAAATAGTTGGATCATGGAGGCTAAGGTATTTAAATTTGACTTTCACTCAGAATCAATTTCTCTTTATTCATCTCGCTTAAGTGTTTTTGTGTGATCAAAATCCTTTCTACTGAACCATCATTTATTAGTCCTTGATGGAATTTTACCTGTTAGAAAAGGACGTTGTTTGTAGCTAAACTCACATACATAGAAGTGGACGCGCCTAAAGAACAACTGCAAAACCAGTCAATTCCCTGAGAAAGATGACAAGTGTTCACTGTGAAAGTAGTTTGTTACAATGAACTGTTTTTGTGACACCAATCCACTAAGATATTATACACGTTTTATGAACCAAAGATGGCTGATATCACAAAAACGCACCCAATGCAGATGTATCAAGTTTTTTTTTTTTTTTATCAATCTATTTCAACAGTTAGATTATCAGTTTTGTCTAATTTGTTAATTAAGCAGAACTTGCCTCAAGCTTCCATGGAGGCCTATTAGATTTGGTAAATGGAACCGCAGTCTACGACATTGATGAAGATTTAAGAGTAAGTTGAAATCAAATTTCTTGCTTAACCATATTATGAAGTGGAAATTGAAACAATGATGCTTTAAAAATTGACTCACAGGTTATGAGGCATGTTGAGAGCTGGGACATAAGTGCACTTCAAGCTGTTGGACATATATTTACTCCTGGATTTTTTAGCTCAAGGGAATGAGAAACAGATTGTCTGTGATGTGATTACATCTACTGAATACTAATACAAGTTATCTCAATAACAGTTCAGAAGAAAAAACAATGAGAGACTCTTGGAAGAAAACTTGGCGAAAAGAGTGAGATGCAGGTTTATCACAATATCAATGATTCTTTTTGCGTGAAAATTATGCACCCGAAATTGTGGAAAAAAGGAGAACAAAAATCACCCAAAACACAATTAAATCAGACGATTACGGTTGAGTTCGAACCGGCCTCGGACCAAGAACGAAGACTTAAGGTTATTGGCTTTAGTTTGAGAAAGACGGGTAGGAACTTAGAGAAGTGAGGAAAAGCCGAAGAAACGGCGTTTGACTCATAAAGTGAAAAATCCTAGCCCCGGCAAACTATAGATGGTGCCGATGACATGCTATTATATAGAAAGCAAAGATATTAGCGCCGACTAGACCTTGTCGATGACACACTATGACACATAAGACAGAGACAAGACGGAAGTGCAGAGGATAGTCCGACATATGTAAGTGCTAGAACACCTATTACAGCATAACCGAATTTGTTGGAGAAGAAAACAGTGAACACCTACCTAATTCTATGTAGGAGAAAAAGGCAAATAACTCTATTGCTAAGCTAGGGGCTAAGAAAGCATGATAGAACGTGATGAACTACCATGGGGAAGGTAAAAACATGATAAACGGTAAAAGAAATAAAAAAAGAAAAGGAAAACCAGTTGTATGGTTAATCGGTGATGATTTTCTCTTCTTGACTGCCTCTATTTGTAGTGCTTGGACGAAATCCTCGCTGCCCTCCGATTCCTTGGAGAAAAGGTAGCTTAACATGGTCAATTTCCTTGAAAATAGGGTTCTATTCCGCAGCAGTCTCCCAATCGGTTGATGACTCTTCCAATAATCAGCTCTTAATTTGGTAATAGAATCCTTTCCCAAATATATCTCCTTAATTACTGATAATTTCCTTATTAAAAGGAGCAAGAAATAGGGAACAATCTTCCTTAATAGTCAATTAATCACGCAGCCGATTCTGGTACAATTCTATTCCCACTCAGTTTTTACTTTCCTTTTCCAATTCTGAATCTGCTCACACTCAATCAGCCCATATTGACCCTAAACGAATTTTGGCCCCTTTGGGCAATTTTAGAGCCTTAAAATCTCGGCCATAATCACATAAATTCACCAAAACTCATGGACTATCACCAACATCATCCATCGGCCCAAATATCCAAAAACTGGCCAAACATAATGCCCCCGAACGTTCATATTAAATATGACTTTGATATGAATGTTGATAAGCACATCTCTATCACCAGCCATACGCATTCCATGTCGCACTTAGATCCACATAACACCATCCCACCGGATACATAACGTAATATGGTACCCACGCATAACGTGAATAATATGGATTAAAGAATAGTGCACGCCTACTTTCTTGCGACGGCTGAGACTTCCCCTTAAAGCCACTATCGGTTCTGGAACTGGACTTGGACTCTTGTGATCTTTGCCTTCACGGATAGCTTCTACGATTCTTCTATTCTTGAGACATGTTAATATTGATGCCTGATTTTGGACTGAACCGGCCATCTGGAGTAGGAGAACTATAAGCACTGTTCACCTTTTGCTTCTCGGTGTCTTGAACTTTAACACTAGAAATGGCACCTTTGTTCTTGACCTCCTTTGTGACTGTTGACAAGGATTGACCTTGAGAATTATTCAGAGAAGTAACCATCTTGTTATGCGAAACCTGAAGTTGGCTGCCAAATTGTTTAAGAACTGGATTTACAATGGTAGCACTACTAACTGTACCCGAATCATTCTTCTTACTGCCTTTCTTGTCTTGATCATTAAAAATTAATGGAAAAGTAATCGTCTGGTTGCATCTTACCTCAGACTGATTGCTGAACCGTATGAAAATTGGGTTGGAGATGGTAGGACCACAACCTGTATCAGAACCGATCTGCTTGCGGCTCTCTTCTTTGTTGGTTGCCAATTTCACATTGGTTTCACTTAATGCTGTGTAAACCAGGTGTCTATCCTCACCTTTTAACTGTGACTCGAGCTGCCGTTCTTAATCGGCTTAATGACTTCTATCTCTGCTTCATTATTCTTCAACCGAGTATCTTCATTGCACTCTTTATTCTCATTAACATTTGACTTCATATCGGCATCCTTTTTGGCCACTATATTTTCAACATGAAATGCTCTAACCTTCTTTGGTATAGACCCAAAAAGTTTGGCATAAGCTCGAGTGCAACGCCTTCTCCCTTGACCAGCTAATGATTTCAGAATCCTCTGATCAGCAGTCAACTCAAACTTCCATTCTACAACAACACTATAATCCAGCCACGCAATGTATTTCTCCTCTTGACTCTCATCGGATTCAACATCAACACAAAGAGAACCGGTCCCAGATAAAGAGTTTGTAGAGTTGGCTCTATCGGCGTGACAAAAAGAATGTTGCATGGACTTACCTTTATGCCTTTTGTTGCTGGACCACACGGAGCCTCTCTTGTCGTAAATCCATGCATGATTGGAGCATCTTTTGGCTTGCGAAGAAACAACCGTTTGGTTAACTCGATCGCCACCAGAATCGGTATGCCGAACTTGACTTTTATTACCACCAAACCCTTTTTTTGGGACGCTCTCTTCTTCCGGCAACTTGATCTCGCCCATACTAACCCGTTCATCCTGTTGTGTCTTCAAACGGTCTTGATCCAGTTGATCAAGAGAAACAGAATTGGCCAACAAATCAAGCTGCCAAGCTTGATTACTATTATTGCAAATCAATTCTGCGGATATGATGTAGTCGTGCTTATTTCAGCTTGATCAACACCGAGTGTCATTAGTATGCTTTTATCTTGTTGACTAACTGTGAAGAAACAGAAGCTGATGCGACGGCTGCCCCATACGGGCGACCATTGGAAATTGACCCCTTTGACATGTCATTAGCTGCCGGCAAAGTGTCTTTAGTCTCCTCACTATCAATCATTGTCAATCGCTCCTTTTCTTGGTGACTAAGATTTGAAGAATCTGAAGCTACGTCGACTATACAACCAGACTGTTGAACATGGCTATCATCAGAAGACTCGTTCTTTTGATCTTGAAACACGTTCTTTGAGCTACCTTCAATCGATGAAAACTTCATCTTACTCGTAGCAGCGAAATCAACCTTGGTTGAATTCAAGCAACATTGTTCTTCGTGCTCCAATGGCGAAAAAATCAAAACCTGCTTGGAAGGGCGAGAATGTTGAATGTGATCATGATCATTAACACTCGAATCCACATCTTTCAAACCATCTTCAATTGATGATAGTTTTGTTTCACTTGTTTCAACTACATCGATCTTGAGCATCGTCGAACGGCCTTGACCTTGATGACCCATAATTCTGCTGTCTATAAAGCTGTTATCACTATAGTCTTGAGGTTCTGCATCATATCGGTCTCTGCAATCAATTTCTTTGTCTACCTCCTCACTGCTCGTAGACTCGCTATAATCACATTATAAATCAAAACACTCTTAAAAGCCATAAAGATTCAATGCCAGATCCTACGGGTTTGTCATGTATGGATTGAAGTGGGAAGAAAGGGGACATATATATTACTCAGCAAACCGCACAACTGTTTCTATAGTTAAGATTCCTGGATCTGTGTTTGACATCCAATTTTTTTTTTTTTTAGAAAGAAGTCCGTGCTGTTAGTTTATGAAATGCATACGCACATTTCAAAAGCTTAACTCAAAAAAAGGAAAGCACACAATATCCAAAATTGTAAGATTTGACTCTAACTCAAAAGCGAGAAAATTACATTCAGAAGATGGGCGCTAATATGAGAAGTACTGCAAACCTGAATGGATTAAAAAGAACTCTGTGACAGTATAATACCGTTATTGTTCTTTTTCATATCCTGATTATTGTACTCAAAGCAAAATCCTCTTTGGCTATGTAAGGGGTCATGATCCATCTGGAAATCAACTAGAGCAGTTGTATGATTCATAAACTAATTGCTGTCTTTTAGCATAAATTAATGGTGAGAATTACATAAGCTTCCCTTGCCAATTACTTCCTCCGATTTTTATTATAAGAAATTTTGATTTGTCCTCATTTTTATCTTTTTTTTAATTGAAAAAAAATCTTAAAAGATACATTTTCGTATTCATTATATTCTCCTAATTATTAAGTTTTTTTCTTAATTGAAGAAATATACTAAGTATACACCTATGATAAATTAAAATGTCTTATAATAGAAATGAGAAAAAGTATTCTAATTTTCTCAATCCAAATCTCATTCGGAAAAAAAAAACAAAAAACAAAAAAAAGTAAGAAAAAGAAAGTAAAGGAAGGTGATTCGAGATAATCTCTTTTCCCCAAAATCTAAAGTGGCATTTTTCCCCGTTTTTTTTTTTTTTTTCTGAAGTCGTAAGCCTAAAGTAAAATGTACCCGCTTTCTAAATTCCCATTTTTCTCGTCTTTTCTAAATTCCCTTTATCCCTTCGTGAAGAACCCTTTTACAACCTCAGTTAAATCCCTAAATCCCAAAACCAACCCGAAATTGTCCCAAAAGTCCCTAAAATTCCACGCAGACTCTTGAATCAATAAATTCCGAGCTCGAAAGTGCCTACTTAGATAACGAGGTCGAACCTCTGCGGATTAGGCTTTGGCTTTGAATCATCCAGGTTCTATTCGCCGGAGGTTTACGATTTAAGCTTAGAACATCTTGCTTTGCTCCGCCGGTTCATTACGTGTCAGCTCCGTCGGTTCTCTTGGCCATCGTCTTGCCTCCCATTATTATTCTCCTCAAATTCGGCTGCAAAGGTAAAATTTTATTTATTTACTGTATATATCTCGAGCCTTAATTTTAGAATCCAATTGTTTTTTTTTTTTTCTTTTTTTTTTTCTCTCAAGGAGATATGTGCTCGAGATTGGTAAGAGCCAAAAATTGGTTTGAGTGATCAGATTCTCTTTTCATTTGTTTTTGTTCCCGATTGATTTGTGTGCGGCAAGTTTTCTGCTTATGATATGGTATATTACACTGATATGGCCGAATAAATGTATTTCTCTGATGGCGATCTGTATAGTGTATGCCTAGGACATGTGATGTTTCATTGCTTGTGCTCCGTAGTGTTTTTTTTTTTTTTTTTGGTTTCTTTTTTTTCCGCTTTGAGTAGGGCTTTTAAGGAAGCTCTGCTATCTTCATCAGTTGTGTGACTTTAATGTCTGTCTGAATTTGAATTTTCGGTAATGAAAGAAAAGAATGTATGATAAATTAGAATAATGTACTGGTGAGAACTTGTGGATTTCAGTTTCCAGCTTGGTCTATTTAATATGTTGTGCTTTATTTCAGAAGTCTCGTCTGTTTAATTTGCCATGCTTTAATTTGCTGGTCTGGTTTTGTTGCGTACATGGCGAGGAGTAGAGCAGGAAAGCTTGTTTGAATGGTTTGAATCAAGTTATATAACAGGAGGATTAGCAAAAAATCAGTAACTCGTGATCAGGCAGCATTAGGTATTCTGCCTCTAATAAAGAAATAGCTGAAAATTTGTCTCCCAAATGATCTAGTAAACTCGGAAATTGTTGTAGTTTGATTTTATTTGGATTTGTCCAGTAATGGTTTAGTTCGTTTAGTTAGGTTTGGCATACTTTGCTTAGAATAGAGTAGAGAACCAGATACACTTAAATGAAACTTGAGTAGAAAAGTTGCCAGAATATTGCTGATTGGTGGAGAAGCTATAGAGGACATGCTTCTGTGCAAGGAGTATATACTCCCTATTGCAGGAGTTATGAAATTCAGATCTTCTTTTGAGAATGTTGTTTACTGTAATCTTCACTTTAACTATCGTAAGTGGAGACAATGTTTGAAATCCTGGAGTGACGCTTTACCATGTTTAGACATCTTGCATGCTTATAATGACAGTGATGTGATCATGCGATAAAAGTGGATGCATTTGCAAGTGTTTGTTTAGAATAGAACAGTTATTTTGAGTGTAATCTTCGACATCGTCAGTTAGTGTCATGATTTTTTATATCTTGTCAGTCATCTTTTTCTGATGTTCAGGAAATGTTTTACAACAATGCTATTGGAGATCTTCATCCGTTTCTCCCCTGTTAATGTTTGCGGTTTGGTTGCAGTTTTTCAAGATGCCAAAGGTAAAGACAAACCGTGTGAAATACCCTGAGGGGTGGGAGTTGATTGAGCCTACCCTGAGTGACCTGCAAGCAAAAATGAGAGAAGGTTTTTGATGAATTTTCAGCTTTGATTGATTTCAGGTTCTATATGTGGATTTAATAATTTGGCTAACATTTCCCCTGTTTCTTGCCTCTTTGATTTGTTACAGCTGAGAACGACCCAAATGATAATAAAAGGAAATGTGAGGCATTGTGGCCCATTTTCAAAATAGCCCACCAGAAGAGTCGCTACATTTTCGACCTTTATTACCGGAGAAAAGAGATTTCTAAGGAATTGTTTGAGTTTTGCTTGGACCAAGGCTATGCCGACCGGAATTTGATTGCCAAGTGGAAAAAGGTCTGTACATTTGTGCTGCAATTCAGTTTTTTATGAATTTCCCTTCTGTTTAGGGGTCAAAGTATACACTGATGTTTCCAAAATCATCTCCACGATTCTGCAATGTGACACTTTGAGTAAACTGGAAGGTTTTGTCATAACTTATAGAAGTGTTAAAATAATTAGTCTAGGAACATGCTATGAGTTATGATCATGGAGATAATAGAATAATTGAGAATCGCTGGTTAAAGCATTTCAATAAGATTTTTTAGCTAGAGAGTTTAGGGATTTTCACTGTGGAACTGTGTGTTATCCTTCGTTTGATACTGTTGATATTGGTTTCTGGGAACCAATTGGCTATTGCTTTGTAATCACTGTATCTCATGTTCTGTGCAATTGTGACATGTGACAGCCTGGGTACGAGCGTCTGTGCTGTCTAAGATGTATGCAACCTCGGGATCACAACTTCCAGACAACATGCGTCTGTCGAGTGCCAAAGCATCTGCGGGAGGAAAAGGTCATCGAGTGTGTGCATTGCGGCTGTAAAGGGTGTGCCAGCGGTGATTGAGCATATCTTGGTACTCAATGAATACCCTCTAACTAAATATCATGAAACAGATGCTATCTCTGTACTCTAGTGTTACTGATGTTGTGGGAATGCAAGTGCTTTTAGAGACTAGAAGTTTGAGACAATTGTAGCTAGCTGTATTTAACTAGTGGTAATATGTTTGTCGCCACTAGCCAGTGCCTATGTTCTCGCAGTGCAATATACTGACTTGCAATGATGTGAGGATCACATAACCTGATGATGGGTGACCTGTTTAATTTCATGTTCCGCAGTATCTTAGCTGATTATGTGTATGTAGTGACTATCATTTGTATGATCTTTCTGCCTGAATGGTTGAAAGTGACGGTGTTAAAGTTAAAACATTTGCAACTGGTTCCTGCTTAAGTAACATTAGTTTTTATTATCTCTGTTGCGGAATAATTGTTCAATGTGATTTTTTATTTCTTTTTAAGTTGAAATTACGTTAAAAATAAAAATTCAAGTAAGACACTTTGAGACATGGAGTATTGTTATTGACAATCAAGTTATTTACTCAAATTTAGTTGCGAACTTGAGATTTGTTTTTCTACAAGATTTAAATAAAGTTTCCCACCATTATTCTTTTTGAATAACCACCATTATCCTTGTCAATGGCTTGGAAATTGGAATGTCTGACTTTGTGGTTCAAGGAGTTTCTGCTTAACTTGCGCCTAGCTATATAAATGGAATTCATCGATGTTCTAATTTCTTTGGTCTTCAATCATGGAGGATATTCGCTGTTTTATGTAAAAAAAAACTGTGAATTCCTAGCTTAGCTTAAGTTATTAGTAGAACAGATAATAATATACTCAGTTCTCTTGATTTTTTCACTACAACATCGAAAATAATTAATATGTACAAAAATGTGACCCTATTCTTCGAAAATCATTTGGTCGGAGATGACTTTCAATAATTAATGAAGCTCCTTCAAAAAGGGGAAAAAGAAAAAAAAAATGATCTCATTCGGTGAGTTGGAACTAATTTATCTATAGTATATTATTATACTTGATTAAAGTAGCCAAAAAAATGTCAGCATCACAATAAAAATTTTTCCCCCAAAAGTCATTTTCAGTAAAAAATTATTTTTGACACATAACACTCTAACTAATCAGAAAAAAGGGATGGAATAAATAAATAAATTTCTTAATTATAGCTATATAAAAATCTCTTAATTATAGTTATATACTAATCCTTTAAAACAACAATATTAAGTTCATAAAATCAAATGTCAGAAAATTCCCTTAAATCAAGTGAAATAGCATTGCCAGTAACGTCTCCCCAATCCCCAATCTCAAAGGATCTCTTCCATTCCGATCCTCTCTCAGACCCGGGCCTTCAAATCAACTACTTAAAATATGACATGAATTATCAATCCATCTCTTTCTACAACAGAGGAAAAAGAAGCGGTCATGAAAGGTACATTTGATTTTTTAAGGATGATTTGTTTTTTTTTTTTTTGTTTATTCTTCTGTTGTAGATATTGGTTTACGACTTACTTGGGCATAAGTTACTTTTATAAATTAACTGTTGTAAATCAAGGCATAAGTTTATGTGTAGTAACTCAGTTCTTGAACATTCAATCGATTTTTATTCTTCTGTTTTTTTTATTCTTTTAAGAATAATTTATTTTTTTAAAAAAATTTAATCGATTTAAAGACGGCACCCAAACATTCACCCGAGCAAGCATCTAGTACAACTATTAAATGAGGAAAAAGAAATTGCAAAAAAAAGTCGACAAATTCTCAACTGAAAAAATTTGTGCTGTATCAGATTTTCTAAAACAACCAAAAAAAAAAAAAAAGAATAAAAGAAAAAACCACATGACTGTCAATCTGTCAAACAGTTAACCTTTTCTCCAAGCATACAACAGCAAAGAAAATCCTCCGCCGCTGCCGTATGATCTAGTCGACGAACACGAACTCCTTCCACATTCGCTACTCTCGTCGGCCCATTGCAACACACTTGAACACGACGGAGACGACGGCAGAGAAGATAGCGGCGTCGCCAGCTGCCGGCCACCGCTGGCCGCCGACGACAAGCTTTTCCTCATCAATTTTTTCTCCGCTCCCACCATTTCCGGCCAAATTCCGGCATCCCCGACTTGGAACACAAATACGCCGTGCCCGGAAACATTCCCACCTTTTTTGTTAGTATCGTCAGTCTTATTGTTATTAATCCAGTTAAAAACGTCCCAGTAGAACTCCACTTCTAATCCACCGATGAAGATTTTCTCATTTCCCCTGAATTTCCACGCTAGCCTCTTCACCACCAATCTCAATTCTCCGTCCACTTTCAATTTCAGGGCTCCGCCGCCGCATTCGATCCCGATTTCATGGGTAGATCCGACGAATTGAGCCCGGGTTACGTAAGACCTTTGCCCGAACACATGCTCCCTCTTGGACAACAGATGATTCAACCCGCTATCCAAGTTCCACGAAATATCCGACCGGAACCGACGACCCAAAGCATCCAGCCGATCGCCGAGATAGAATTCCATCCTGGACCCGGAAGCGATTGCGAAGTAGAAACCCGACTCCGGCTCGGCCGAGTTGTTGTTGAATTCGGCATGGATGAAGTCCCAATACAACTTCAACTTGCGTTCGAGGCGGGTTTGGGTTTGGGTATTACTGAAGCAAACGGATTTGGATCCATGTCGGGTACCCCTGAAGAATGAAGAAAGAGTTGACGGGTACAGGGGAATGGTAACGGAGAAAAACTCCGGGGAATGAATGGTTAAAGTATGTGAGAAGATGGTTTTCGACCAGGTGAGAGTGAGATTTGTCTGGGCATTACACAATTGAGTTTGGTAAACGCAGGTGACGAGATTTTGAGGAATTTGGGTCGGGGAAGATGAAGATCCATCTGAATTATTTGACTCTGATGATGCAGAGAAATTTGGTTGGCTGAAACATTTCGGGATCATTGTTATATGCAGTTTCCGTACAGAAATTAACACAGAATGATCATGAAGAAGAAGAAGAAGAAGAAGACGAAGGTGAAGAAAGGAAAGAGAGATTAGTGAAGCACATTGGGAAATGTTAAATTGGATGTTTGTTGTTTTGGGAGTTTTGATGATCATGATTACTTTAACGTGTAGTTGTTTCTCTTTTATGGGGTGTACTCAAGTTTAGGTTGTGTTGCTTTTTAGCTGTATCCGTTTATGGGATTACTTTGAACGTTGAAGAATGACTAAACTGGACCAGCCAGCTTTTGACAAAAATAATACTCTTTCCTATACACGATTAAATATTCTTACATTATAATATTATAATTGTTTTTTTAATAAAATTCATAAAATATAACGCGGATTATTTTGTGGGATTTAGGATATATAGATTCGCTTTCCGTCTTAAATTTATTGCTCATCAGTTTATTACGATGCTCATTTTAGGATGCAAGATCTACATGATTAAGGCTTATTTTGTTTTTTTTCGTTCTTATACGTTTACAATATTATTGCATTTTACATATAGTTATTTGTTGCTAACACAAGAAAATTTCCTCGCTTGTTCTCAACTAAACATAACTAGGACTATCGTTTAATGGTTCGAAAGTTTGTTTGGACTAAAAAAAATTATGTTTGCAAATCACCATTTTGACCGCTGTCGACCGTTAAATCAACGGCCAGTGGCGGGCTGTTGGGATGTTGAATGCAAAGATTGATGTTGAGAAACATGTGATCAGTATTTTTTTGAGAAAAAACTAATGCAAAACTAGAAAGCTTCTTTCACATCTCTTTCTTTAGCAGTTGAAGGGAAGTTTGAGTTTCAATAATGTGGTAGAAAATTATGTTAAATACAAAGAATTCTTGCAAATAGTGTAAAAATAAATCATTAGCTGAAATATTAAAACCGTGACCTCCTTTTTCATTTTTATGCGTATTAATCATGAAGAGGCGAGTTTAGTGCGAGTACAGGTGAGGTGATAAAGAGGGGAAAAAATGCGAGCTTATTCTACTAATTAATGATTGAGGTAGATGTAGTATAGACATCATGAACTAAAATCAAAAGATTCATCTGCAATGATATATGCATGCCAAATTTAACATATTTGTCTTTCAATGGAATGATAGTTTGTCTGAATCCTAATAGTAGACTTTTTCCAGCCTTATTTGTAATACAAATGACATGACAATCATTTTAATAAAATATATCATATATTTTGATAAATTTTAGTTGGATTGATTATCTCTCAAAGTTGAATATAATATAATAATAATCAAAACCATGATTGTAATGCGATGTTAGTGGATAGCAGAAAGCAGGAATTAATCTTATTAATCTTAGCGTAATATAATAAGTTAGCTAATTACGTTTAGGAATTAATCTTCTTCATTGTACCAAAAAAAATGATATAACAAAAAAATATTATGAGACATTTTGTAACAGAAAGCAGGAGTTTCCATTACTTAAAGAAGAATTCTAAGTAAAAAAATAAATAAATAAAATTACGCATTTTTGCACTTTGATATAATGAACCAAAATACACACGTAAACACTTCGTGAGAAAGAATCAACATTCATTTCTACAAAACAAACTAGTCATACATATAATCAACTAATCTATTTTTAAAACAAAAAAAAATCATGTTGAATAGATTAAACCCTAATCTTGAAAATATATTCGGCGAGTATCTTATGTATGATCGTATGGGTAGACTAGTTATTCAGTGTTATTAGGTATAGAAACTATATACGAACGTATGAAATTTCAAACTAATGAAGAAATATCGAGATCAAAGAGGAAGCAAATAGTGACATTTGGATGAAACCGAATAAGTGGAGTAGAAAATATTCATCATTTCTTATAGGCTGAAATGAACTTAAAAATAATGCACAATAAGTCTCTGATGAGTTGGATTCAAAACAAAGCTTGATTGGCGGCATTAACAGGGAAAATACAGATGATTTGGATGCCACATATTACAAATTCCATTTATTTGGAGAGATGAGCTGTGAAGCAAATGGCACAAAATCTGGTATTAATTAGTTAAATTATGTTTGTTTCATTTTTTTAGCGTGTGCTTTTAGGTGTTTTTTGTATTGAAAATATAAAAAAATATATTACGATGAGACAAATATTATTATGTTATTCTGAAAAACCATGAGAAAAAGGAAACAAACAGGATAATCTTTCAAAAGGGGACAAAATAGATTGAGAGAGAAGTCGCAAAGTCAGTTGATCTAGATTTTTCGTTTTTCTTTGAAGAGAATTATTACTTACATTTTAGTCATTGGTTTCTCATTTATGAAAAGAAAAAGATGGGCCAAAACAAGAAGGAAACCAGACTTCCACCGGGCGAATGAAATATAAGTTTGCGTGTTGAACATACTGGTCTCATGTTTTGTGTACCAAAAGTAAAATTTCCCCATTTCCATATATATACCAGGAAATTTATATGCAAAATTATCGGTTCCAATTTGGATGGTAAAATATGTTTGAATTTGGACAAACTAAACTAATATCTTCACTTCTTGAGTTTGCAACAAAACAGCTATGACTGTTATTGGATACTATTCTTTTTCAATTTGAGTCTCCTTTAAAAATGGTTTTTTTAAAAAATTAACTAGTGGCATTTCGCATATTCTTCTTTTACTGGAAACAGCATCATCTTGTTCCCATTTGTTTGGAGCAGTCGTGGCATGCTTGGTCGATTTTTTATTATTATTATTACTTTATTTTTTTTGAAAAGAGGTTAAAGGAATAGACTGCTAAACATGATATTGAATTACCCAAGTATATTATATTACAACTTGTTGCTTACTCGATTTTATTTATCAGCAATACTCTTCGTCCTTTTTTTTCTTTTTAAAAATCAAAATCCACCCTAGTTTAAATGTGAGTAAAACCCTCCTTACAATTCCTGGTGGGAATTGAACTTTAATCTATTACTAGGAAGGGCAACAATCTAATCACTAGACTGTCATCCAATTCCCCAGCAACACTCTTCGTCCATCAATTTTTTTATTGCGACAAAAATTGGTCCAATTCAGTACAATTTTCCTCAATCTGAAAATAAAAGCTTTTTTAATTTTGCAAATAAGAATCATATTTACTAAACTAACTAAATTACTACAAAGGACAAAATTGTTTTTGTTACAATTACTACTGGATGAAAATTAATTCAGATGGCAGTTTTAATTCCATAACCGGAGTGGCGAGTGCAGGAGGCGTAATGCGTGATGGCTAGGTGACTTTACTATGAATATTGGCTTCTGTACGATTATGAGAGCTGCATTATGGAGTCTTTTTCAGGAATTGACGTAAGTGTAAGATATTGGCGGTAGAAAGGTGCGAGTCGAAATTGATAATAAAAGTATTCTCATAATGGTAAAAGGGGAGGATGAGATATTTGGAATGAATGCTGGCATAGTTTAAGGAATTCAGGAGTTGATGAAGAGGGAGTGGAGCTTGATCATATATACCGAGAAGTCAACTTTGCAACTGATTATATGGTTTCATTGGCGGCTCAAGGTTTTGGAGGTTTACAATAACTTGAAGTACTGCCTTTGGGAGTTAAACCATGGTTGGAACATGATATAATAGGGGTCATATGCACTAGAAATGTAATGATATAGGTGATAGCCTCCTTTTTTTTGTAAAAAAAATAAAAAAAGAAAACACTTAGAATAATACTTCATGAATAAATAATTACAATATTATTTTTCAATAGATCATTATTTTTGGTCACGCAACACAAATACATCGACTTTGACACAAATTTATAAACTTTTGAATGATTACAGATTATAGTTAATGTAGACTCCAACTTAAGAAGGATTCATTAAAGAGAATGGAAAAGAAATCAAAAAAGAAGAACTATTTCACCCAATCTTCTATATATCCAGTTGATTTCATTAACACCAAAGAAGAGAAAAACAAAAAAGAATTTATTAATCCTACGTACTCTTTCTAAATTAATAGTAGTAAACAATGAAAATACTCAAATCTAAAATTTATCTAAGCAAGAGATCTTTTGTGTTCAACAGCTTTCATAAGCAAACTATCATCTTGAAGAATGATCGAAACCGGGGAATTACCTATCCCGCGAGCCTTAGCGATCATGATCTCTTTCATCAAACTCTTAAATTCTTCACGATCGATTGCGCCATTTTGATCCGTATCGAATTTCTCGAATAACACGTCGTACAATTTTCCGATCTCTTCTTCCGATTGCAATTCGTATTCCCTTGAAGAAATCATGGATCCGTGGGATCTGATTTGTAATTCCGTTCTTGAAAGCACCCCATCTCCGTCTGCATCTAGCTTGTTGAAATGTTCATCCACACATTGGCTAAATGCTCTTGAATCGTTCACGAAATCTTGCACTGTTGGGCCATCTAAAAACACTACACTCATTCTTGTGAGGGCAAAAAGAAATTGAAATCTTTGTTAAATAAGGGTTCTCAATGATGAGAGGAATTTCGTTTATTGTTTCCCTTTTCTTTTTCTAAAGAAAATTGTGTGTCAAAAATATAAGGAGCCAAAAAAATTTTCTAGTATTGTTTTTTTTTTTTTAACCTCGTTAAATATATAGGCAACAAGTAGCTAGCTAGTATTGACCTTGTCAAAACCAAATAAGGCGATAAAGAACTATTTTTAGACCTCTTTAATGGTGTATTTAACTGCTAAATAAGGGTCAACCACGGGAGATATTTCCATGCTAATGTAAGTTGCAGTGTTGCACCAAGTGAAATGTTAAATTATTTTTTTGAAACTTTTTTATGTTCAAAAAAGTAATACAGTTTGTAACATGATACCAGAAAAAATTAATTAATCAACGACAATGAATATAAAGAATAGGTAATTGACATTTCTAAATGTTATAGTTTAATTGTTCAAAATCACTTCAAGTATTCATCTATACTATATGTAATACTCTTCAGAATTTGACACGTGTATTATTCGTTCTCTGTTAGAGTTTATCAACTTCTTTGTTTGGGGCATTAGGGTCCAATCTGATAGTAAAGGATTAAACTAAATATCGTTATTATAAAGATTTTGAATTAAATTTTAGTAGGGCAATCTATTTTCTTTTATAAAAGAATAATAAAAGTTAACTAGTGTCACTGTAGATTAATTTGTATTCTAAAAGTAGAATGTTTGTCTGGTTATATACACAGTTTTAAAAAAATTGTTACAAAGGAAAATGAAACGTGTCTTATTCTGAAGGATCAAGGTCACATCGTTCGGGCCTTTAGCACTAAATTAAAATTCATATGACTTCCCACATGTAGCCCAATGATTTTGGGCTTTAGCTAGCTTAGAGATACGGGCTATATAGCCAATCCACCATGTGTGCTTCTTTTGCCCATGTAACTCTTTTCCCCGCGTTTTTCTCTTCTCATTAGTAGTGTTGGGGAATCCGGCAACAGATTCCCCGGATTCCCTGTTCAATTTCTTCAATTTTGACTTTTCTAGATTCGAATTTTTAATTCGGTAATTCTTTCAATGAACTTATCAATTGCAGATATTTTGTCAATATTAGCTACTCTGATTTATCACATGAACTTATCAGTTTATCTAATTTATTCTTTTTTTATGCTTTGTATTAAGTTGTACTCTCTCCGTCCTATAATTATTATTCACTTTGTTAAAAAAAATTTTGTCTCAAAATTATTATCCGATTTGACATTTTATGAAGTAAATTACACATTTACCTTTAATCCAAAGTAAGCTCTTACCGAACAACACAAAATTCCTGCGAGACGAATTGCATACTCCGACGCCTTAAAAGCGACGGTGACGACGAGGTGGCCGAGACGAACACCGCAGAAATTTCTTTAGGAGCGAATAGGTTGTCTCTGTTTCCATTATTGAAATCAGGGGCCTATCTCCGGGGGTGAAATGACTTTGAAAGGCCATGATTTAATGTAGTGTTGTACTGATGGATCGGAGAATCTCCGGCAGATTAGTCTTTTCACGTCAAACACCGTATTGACAGCATCCATGGCAGGGCACCATCACCGATGAGATGCTCTGTATCAGAGGCAACATACGACGAAGTTGTCTGGTGGAGAAGAATTGCGCTCTTGAACATCAAATTGAAAGAGAAGGAAGATCTGAAAGTATTCATAAAAAATTTGAAAAATTTGTTTCGTGGTGAAGAACAAAGGAAGGGTGATTAATTTGAATTGGGGATTAGTTTTTGAGCTTCGTTGGGGATTATGTAAGAAAGAAAAAAGGAAGTTGTGTTTATGCATGAGTATATCCGGTTGTTTAAGCTCAAAATATAGTTAAGTTTGATCAAAAATAAAATCTTCTAAGTTAATTAAACTGGACAATAATTATGGGACAGAATGAGTATTTTGAGAATGAGAGATAACTTAAGTCGTAGTTATCGGGACAAAATTTCATGTAATATATTAGTCTGCCCTACTAAGAAGAAAAAGAAGTTTATCGATTTTGTTTGTTTTCTTGTTTTTAAAAAAGGATTTGTCTTTCTATCTTAGCTAACATAAGCTAATATCACATTTCAATTCGAGTAAATGTATAAACAATGTTGTAATGGTTTTTTTTTTTTTTTTTGAAAGGGGGTACGTGTACTAATTAAATAATACATATACTATTACATTGTATTTTTCATATGCTAAATTATGCAGATCACGAACCTTTAATCTGCTGGCTTTAATCAAACAACAGTGTTGAAAACGAGAAATTATAGCACGTAAAAGGCTAATGATCTCTTGTGCCTCAGTTGGCAGGGATCGTAGATCTCTATTTGTGACTAATTTCTCACAATCAGTGTAGACTTGGACACGTGAAATCCCTATGTTTTCGGTCTCTTGTAAGGCTAATAAACATGTCATGGCCTCAGTATGGAAAGGGGATAACAAGCAAGGAAACCGACTTAATTTGCATTAGATGATCAGTCGAAGATATTAATATCTATGCTCCAGCCGCCTACCTTATATAGAATTAAACGAGCCATCAAAAATGATCCTGGCATAATCATGTGGCAGCACATTATGTCATAGACTGGTGGAACAAGACAATATTCTATCCATGTTATGTTGCTGCAAATCTTGTTGAATCAATTGCCACGAGGTTATTGGATCAATACTCTGGCTTCTCTAACGCGTCCACTAAACTGGACGAACGCATTGGATTTGGCGCAGCGGGCTCTCCAACCCAGCCCTTTTCGCTTTGCCCCGCTCCTTTAAATAGCCCGCTACTCCGTCATTTTTTAAGGAAACTGTTCACCCGCTAAAGTAGGTGGACTTTCCCTCATTTTTTGATTTTTTTTTAATTAAAATTTGGGCTAAATCAGAAGACTTGTTTGGACTTTTCATTTGCTTGGGCCAATTTGTTTTATTTTGGATTGTTTTTATTAACCTTTTTTAATAATTTTGATCTTAATTAATTTAGTTATTATAATTTAATTACATATATATTTCATTCTTAATTATTAGTTAAGTTGTAGAACTAAAAATTAATAATCATAATTATCATTTTAATGAGTGAATTTACGTCTTAAGAGTAAATATATGTATTTGTATTTTAACAAGGACTAAAAAACTATGTCGATTTACTATAAAATCGTAAAATACGTATTATTATTAATAAAACGTGTTAAAAAGAAACTACAAACAATCAAAACAAATACATTGTTTTGATTATTTATAAACTTAAATTATTCAATAAAAGAAAAAAAATAAAGTGCATCATTTAAACTTACAAAACCAAATACCAAAAAGACAATAACGATAAATTCGGTTGAATTACTATTGTTATGTTTTTTTTTTCTCTAAAAAATATTCATTTGTATTTTCATGTGTGCGTTATTGCTGAATTAATGTTTGCAATATTTTCTACTTGTATTTGTAATGTCTTTTTAATGATTTTAAATGTAATACTAGTAATGGTGCTTTATTATTATCATCGAGCCAAATGTTTTTGCTATTTTACTATTTTTAATTTTATTTAATTGACACAATATATGGTGAAAAAATTACTATTAATTAATTACATAAAAATTATGCAATTTTAAATTTTAAATTTTATATTACTAATTATTATTTAAATTAATGATCATATGCGTAATTATTATCTCTTAAATGTAATTTATTTTAGTAGTAGAATATAATAAAATACAAATAACAAAAGTTAATTTTACAAAAAAAAAACAAATAATAGAATATTCTAAGAATATTCCTTTTAGAGGGATTTTATAAGAGGGAATGGGTTGGAGATGGTAACACTGTTTAAACTGTAAAAGTAGTAAAATTTCACTGTTTCAACTCTAAATATAGAGTTTAGAAGAGCTTTGGGTCGGAGATTCCCTCAAGAAGGGTTTGGAATTATGCAAAACTCCATACTGCCTATGATATTGGACAATTGAAGAAAAGGTGGAGGTTGTCTTCAACACCTGTGAAGCATCTAGGACATGCAGTGTCTGTTACAACTCTTTTTTGCAATCCTACCTTAGATGGTAGTGCATTTAGGGCTGCTCGCCAAAAAAGAAACTTGTGTTTAGGATGAACTTTTGAATTTCACAATTTTTTCCAAGCTGTTTTTTCCGTTTGTAATTGGTGTTGATTCTGAGTGTGGTCCTGGTGTGAGTCTGCGTTGCTGAGGTTAAGAGCAGTGTGATAGCCTGATTGTACAATATAGTTTCCATGGTCTGTGTGCACCTATTGGATTCTGTCTCTATCCATATGTCGTAAAGGATCAATGAATATTCAACAGATGTAAGGGATGAGATGATCTGAAAAGATGGTTCTGATGAAGGGGAGTTTCCATCGTCCATTGAGCTCGAAAAAATCCTTTACCATCAAATTGTAGTGAGGATTAGAATAATTTGGAATCCAAATCATCAGAGATCTTGATGTCTAAGCCTGAAATAACTTTCCACTTTGTATGATTTTGTAACAGTCTGGCTCCCAATAAAACACTCTTATAACCCCATGTAACATTCCCTGGTGGTTGAGTTTGTGGGAAGGAGTCTGAATTATAATATTTTGCTCTGTAAATCTTTGAGAGAAGTGATTATGATTGAGACATTATCTTCCATGCATGCTTGGCTGGGAGGGCTTGGTTGAATTCAGCTATGGCTCTCAATCCTTATCAGCCATGAAACAAAGATTTAGTGATCTTTTTCCAAGCTCTCCAATGGATGCCCTTTGCCTGATAATCACCTTTCCATATGAAGTGTCTAATTATACTATCAGCTTTTCTTAGGGTGGAAGCTGGAAGTTTAAAAACCCCCCATGGATATACTAACATAGCTGATTGGGTTGTTTTAGCCAAGGTGACTCTTTCAGCAAAGCTTAATACCTTAGTTTTCCAATCCGCAAATTTTCTGGATAGGCGTGCAGTGAAGTCATTAAAGATGACTTTCTTCTTCTCTTGGAAATCCAATGGGAGACCTAAATATTTTCTTTAAAAACTTCCCTGTGGAATCTTGAAAAAAGAATGGATGATTTCCTTCACGTGTTGGGAAGTATTAGTGCTGAACAGGATGGAAGATTTTTGATAGTTAATCCTTTGATAGAGAAAGAAACATAAGCCAATAAGACCTGTCAATGCATGGATAGAGGACTCTCTACATTCTATTCTATGACAAACACTGTCATCTGCATACATCAAATGACTCAATATACATGTATTTCTATTGGTTTTAATTCCCAGCCCTGTGAACAATCTCAACTCAGATTGAATTGCAGAAGATAGCACCTATTGGCATAATATGAAGAGGTATGGGGAAAGGAGACATCCATATCTCAAACCTTTTGTTGGTGCAATGTACGAGAGTCCTTCACCATTTAGCTGAATGGAGTATGTGACTGTAGTGACACAAAACATGATCAGGTTAATCATGGTACCTGGTAAACCTGCCTGGTAAGTACAGCTTGGAAGAAAGGCCAAGAGACTCTATTATAGGCCTTGCTCATATCCAGCTTAATGGCTACAAGACCTAAATTACCTTCTTTTTTCTTGATATGTTCAATAACTTCATGTGCCAGTAGTATAGTTTCACTGATATTTCTTCCAGGAACAAATCCATTCTGGTGATCATCAATAAGATGCGAGATTACCAGTTTTAGTCTGTTTGTAATCATTTTAGTGATGATTTCGTACTTTACATTACATAGACTAATTGGTCTAAAGTCACCTGGAGAAACTGGATTTTGGATTCTTGATATTAAGACAATACTTGTCTGGTTCCATTCCATAGGGAATTGCTGATTGATAGCCTCCAATATTGTAGATTCAAGGTCTAAACCAATGATGTATTTGTAAGACTTGTAAAAGCTTGCTGGCATACCATCAGGGCCTGATGATTTCCAGGGAGACATATTTTTTACTGCTTCCCAAACTTCTATGGTAGAAAATGGCTGTTCCAGGGTTTGAATTTGATTTTGTGTGAGACATTCATCCACATTCTGCAGGATCTGTCTAAAGAAGGGGGAAGAGGTGAGATGCTGAGGGCTAGCTTTTGTAACACCATATATCTCTGCAAAATGGTCCGGGAAGATATTAGCTATGTATGCTTGGTCATGAACCAAATCTCCTATTGATAATATAAGTTCAGTAATCCACTTGTTTCCTTTCTTCTTTGTAGCCCTCTTATAAAAGAGTTCTGAATTTCTGTCTCCATGCATAGGCAAAATGAGTTTGGATCATTGTTGGCAATAATTATGCTGAAATTGGAGAGCATCATCCTACTCTTTTTTCTTTGAGGTGAGTTGTTGAGTAAGGATATCATCAGTGGTATTGGATTCCCAGTGCATTTGTAAGTCAGAGAGCTGGGTGTGAGTTTAGTAAGTAGTTTATCTATGTTACCAAAAGTCTCTCTACTCTAGTTATGTAGACCAATGAGACTAGACTTTAGCTTGTGAGAGTTGTTAATTTATTATCTATATGCGAGTGCTGGTGTTGCCAAGAGGTTTGCACTAGAGAATCTGCTTGTGAACATTTTGTCCAAAACTGTTCAAATTTCTTCTTTGCTCTAGTTTTCTTACTCTTTTCCTTTAGCTGGATTAAGATAGGTGCATGATCAGACATCATTATTGGCAGGTTCCGGATCAATGCTTTTGGGAAATAACTCAACCATTGCTTATTGACAAACGCTCAATCCAATATTTTGAAGATTGCATCTTGATGTTGCCTATTATTAGTCCAGGTGTATCAGCATCCAATATGTTTGAGTTCTTCCAGATCATTTTGGTTGAGGAATTGGTGTATTGGTCTGGTTTTTTGATCTCTTATTGGTCGTCCACCACTTTTATCTTCTTGTGTTAGTACCTGATTAAAATCACCTAAAGTAACAGTAAGATAACTAAAAGGGCTTAAATTGGCATTTAGTTGTGTCCAAAATTTAGTCATGCCTTGACGAGAAGGCAGACCATACAAAAAACAGCAAGCCAAATTGTCCATGTGGGCTATGTAACCCTAGCCACAATTACATAAGCAGTGTGCATCATAATACTAAGTTGCACATCATCTAACCAAAATAAAGAAAGTCCACCACTTAATCCTATTGGATCTACCACAAAAGAGTTTTTAAATGGAGTAGTTTGCTGCTAAACATTCATACTAGTACTAGATGCTCTAGTTTCTATAAGAAATAACATCTTGGGTCTATAATGCTTATATAATCTACCAATATTGTTCTGAGTAGAGGCACTGTTAGCACCTTTGCAATTCCAAGAAAGGATATTCATTGCGGTGAAGGCGGTTGTTGATCTGGTTCAACCACCACAAAACTCTTGAGTTGATTAGTCAGGGCTGTTTCATCCTGGATCATGAGAGTGCTCTAGTCAGCATAACACCTTGAGTAGGAGTTGGAAGAATCTGTTTCTTGGTTGGCCTGATGTTTTCCTCCATTTAAAGAGTTTTTAAATGGAGTAGTTTGCTGCTAAACATTCATACTAGTACTAGATGCTCTAGTTTCTATAAGAAATAACATCTTGGGTCTATAATGCTTATATAATCTACCAATATTGTGCTGAGTAGAGGCACTGTTAGCACCTTTGCAATTCCAAGAAAGGATATTCATTGCGGTGAAGGCGGTTGTTGATCTGGTTCAACCACCACAAAACTCTTGAGTTGATTAGGCAGGGCTGTTTCATCCTGGATCATGAGAGTGCTCTAGTCAGCATTAACACCTTGAGTAGTAGTTGGAAGAATCTGTTTCTTGGTTGGCCTGATGTTTTCCTCCATTTAAAGAGTTTTTAAATGGAGTAGTTTGCTGCTAAACATTCATACTAGTACTAGATGCTCTAGTTTCTATAAGAAATAACATCTTGGGTCTATAATGCTTATATAATCTACTAATATTGTGCTGAGTAGAGGCACTGTTAGCACCTTTGCAATTCCAAGAAAGGATATTCATTGCGGTGAAGGCGGTTGTTGATCTGGTTCAACCACCACAAAACTCTTGAGTTGATTAGTCAGGGCTGTTTCATCCTGGATCATGAGAGTGCTCTAGTCAGCATTAACACCTTGAGTAGGAGTTGGAAGAATCTGTTTCTTGGTTGGCCTGATGTTTTCCTCCAGTGAATCCTCAGAAGCTCTCTTCTTGGAAGTGGTAGATGACTCAGACTCAGACTCCCAAGAGCAATCGCTATCCACCCTCATAATCCATGCTGGTGGAAACTGGCTCTTTGGTGGCAATGGCTGGCCAACTCTTGCACTTCTGGTCTTGAACTTCTTGCTGAATTTCCTGGTCCTTCTTGCAGATTGATAAAAGGCTAGAAGATCAGACTCAGAGACCATCTTTCTAATGGTCATAAACCACCCATCTGTGTCACTTGACAGTTGTTCTAAATCTTCACCTGGAGATAATGAATCTGACAGATCCAAGGATGATCTCTGCTTCCTAGTTTTCTTGAACTTTTTACAGTAAACTCCAAGCCTATTTCTATGGAGCTTTTCCAGACTAACAGACTCATCAAAGGAGGAAATTATGACACGAAAACCTCCTATGGATCTACCTAATCCAACACATTCTCCCCTAGAGAGACTTAAATCATTTTCAGCGGAAGCATCAACAGAACAAATACCATTAAAAACAGAGGTGGGGGAAAATGTTCTGAGTTGGGGGGTGATCAGGTACATTAGGAACAAAAATATCTGGAATAAAATGGGTATCATACAACATATCTTTGGGAGGAGGAGATTCAGAAATGGTATAAAAGGAAGTAGGCAAGTAACAATTGCTTTCATCATCAAAGGCAGAAGAGGCATCAGACATAGAGGCATAAGCTGTTGGAAGGGAATGAAAACTACCTTCAGTTAGACTAATAGATTCTGAGAGATGATCTTCTGATGCCGCTGGAGCCGCCATCCTTTTCGGGTCATAAATGTTTCCATTATTTTGAATTTTATTATGCATGAAAGTTTGAAGAAAAGTAGCATAACCATCATCATGGTAAAAGTTGTTTGCGTTCATATCCACCATGTCTTCAGGCATGACATCATCACCATCTCCACCATGTGAGTCACCACCATTATCATCATCCTCATCATCATCATTTTCAGGATCTGAATCATTGTCATCATCATCATTCTTCTGATTCTGAGTAGAAAACCATGGAAATAGCTCTAGTTCCTCCAACTATGTGATTGTGAAACCATCTTGGACATGGTGATCAGGGACTGATTCATAATAATCCTTCATTGCACGAACTTTGTAGCTTGGTAACCTAGTGCACCGCTTTTTCTTGTGGGCGTGAGCTCTGAGTGAACTTGTATAGAGAGGTTGAGCGACATCAATAAGCATTGGTGTGTTGAATATAGTTGCTTGTGCCGAGAAGAAATTATTCAAAAATTGCTCAAGGGCATTAGGCTCCATCATGTAGCAACGCTGAAAAGGATGTCCCAGACGACCACAACGTTGGTAGTACTTGTGCATGTACTCATATCTGTAACGGATCTTGTCTAATTTTTCATTTCTTTTGTAAAAATGAAAACTTGGAGTGAGAGGGTCACCTGGCTTAATCCAGACTTTAGCCCGGACAAAAGTGGCTTTTCTTAATGAGACACAATCTACTTTGATTCTGGCCATATCTCCAATTCTTCTTGCTAGATCTTCAATACCTTGATAATTCATGGATGTAATTGAGACACCATGCATGTGAACCCAAATAATGAGCCTTTCAATCCTGATACTATCTAAGGCCAGATCTTCATGGTCATAGTACCGCCTGATAATGAGCAGACCCTCATTGACCGCATACGGACCAATGTCGAGAATAGTGAGCATCTCAGATCTGCTGGCGAAATTGATGACAAAAAAATTTCATGTCATAATGAAGAACCCTTGTATATATGGGCCAATTTTACATCATATAGTTTTGCATGGCTCTGACATCGTTTCAATATCATCAATGAGATAGCCCTAAAGAGAAAGTTTGAGATTATCTCTAGACTGCAGAGTATGCGAATCATTGAGTTGCATGCAACGAGAGCGAAGAAAAGGACGAGGAATTGAATGCGAATTTGCATCAACACCATGCCAGAAATCATATTCCTTTTCAGAAAATTCAGATCTTTGGACTGATATAACATTCACCGAGTTCTCGTCAATTGCATGTCTATAACTTATCTTGAGGGAAGCAGGAATAGAAAGAAAATGTGGCAGGTTGTAGGTATGTGGACCAAAAACTAAAATAAAATAAAATAAAATAAAATAAAATAATAATAAATAATAATAATAATAATAACAAAAAAAAATTTAGGAGTAAATAAAAGCATGTAATAGTTGTAGCATGAGAATGTTTTAGGGAAATAAAGTGAACTTCAGATATAAATCCTAGTCGTAATTTTGTAGGACTAAATTACTACTCCCTAGGATTAACATTAATAAAGAATATAGTTAAAGAAATAAATTAGAAGTTATGAGAGAAGTATTTTATTTCATAAAACAATAATAATGCCACCTTAAAACCAATTAAATAAACCCTATAAATAATTTCTTCCTATTCTAGGCACTTCATCACTAGTCATCATCCACGTACAGTACCATAGCCACTCCACCTTATTTTAACTACTTGGAAGCAAAGTAACATCTTGGAGCTAAAACGACCTTGGTGGTGCAAGTTTAGACACTTGAACGGAAGAGTCTAACATAGCGATTGAACCACATAAGGTGTGGAATTGACGGCGATGTTCTAAATGGGTTTTTCTAAACTTTATGTGTATATATAAACAATTTTTCAGATAATTGTGAAAAGCATTCTTGAAAACTTTTCTAAAAGCTCTTGTCTTGTATGAGTCAAATTAATTAAGTTAAGAACATGCGTTTTGGAAATAATTAGAGGAAACCACCCTATTCCAGACTGACCATTTTATTAAACTTTTATGAGTCAAATTAATAAAAAAAAATTGATCTTGAAAACTTTTCTAAAAGCTCTTGTCTTGTATTTTCAAATAACCCCAACAGGGGCATTTTGGTTATTTTTCCTCATAACGTCAAAAAAGAAAAAATAAAAATCAGAGTACCGATTTTAAGTATTTTTGTAATATATTTGAGATGAATCATGGTACTTTTCGAGAATCAATCTGTTGATTCTGCATTACGCTTTTATGGGTTGAGTTTTAAATATGGTTTCCTTAAAATGTGAGTTATTTGAAATATCTAAATTTGTATTTGTGAGTGTATCTTGATTATCGTTCATCATGATCTTGTGATACTCGAATTGTGTGCGTGATCTGGTTGCCCAGAACCTCGTTACTAATTAACTATGATAAGGGTTTTGAATTCGAATCATTGGCTATACTGTAAAGGGGCGGTAGTCTCATAAGATACCAAGTCGTGTTAAGTGCGTGGGTAGATTGGAGCTCGCTGGGTTGTCAACTGCCGTACTTTTGTTCTGACCCTTAGCTGTGTGCAGTGTATCATCGGGGAAAGTTGGTCCTTGGTGTGAATCATGTTAGCTTGAACTCATGGTCCCGCATTTTATTGGGGATGTACTATAATGTTCTTACCATGGAGTTTTGGTCAATCCATAATTATGTGATTGTGTGAGTTTGACTGATACTTAAATGTGATCTTTCATTTCTTGAATGAGAAATTATGCATGTTTAAAATTATTTTCTCAAAAATTGTTTTTACCTACTTACATTGTTGAAATACTTACAACATTTTTTCTCAGTCTGATTTACAAAAATATACTAGTATTATACTTCCTCCGGTTTTTATTATTTGGCATTTTGATATCGTTCTATGTTTCACCTAAGATGTCTTTATAATTGAATAAAAACTTTAAAAATATTTCATAATAATTAGGAATACACAACAAATGTAAAATATATCTTAAAATTTTTTTTTTCAATTAAAAAGACATCTTAGGTTAACCTAGAACAAAATCAAAATGTCTTATAATAAGTACGGGAGCATATTACTATTTTCAACCCCGTGATTTTCATATTGGGCTTATATCTCACCCTATTTTTAACTTTATGTGCTTCCACAGGTGAATCAAAAGAGTGAGTTTAGCGAATTAGTGATCCTGAAGTCAGTTAAACTCCTTTAAACGATATAAGATTTATGTATTATGTTTGAGCTCAGAATTTTATGTATTATGTTTAAGCCTGAACTCGTTTTATTCTTTGTTGAAATGAATTCGTTAAAATAATAGATAATAGTTTGTACGCTTCCTCACAATTCCTTGGGTGTACTTGAGTTCTGACGCCAGTCAGGCGGACATCCAGCGTCGGACTCCCATACGGGATAGAGGGTTGAGGTGGGATGTCACAGTAGGAGAATGAAGTTTAACTAATTAAAGGGAGAGCAAAAGGATAGGTCTGGTCAGGAGCAAAAGGAAAACATGGAAAGAAAGATGAAGAGTAGAGAATCTGTTCTCGAAGAAACCGGACTACAAAGGAGCTGAATTAATATGGGTTTTAGTATTGAGATACCACTAACAGAATTGTAAAAGTTTAAATTCTTTTGCATGTAAGCCAAATGGCATGAACTGCATGAGGATAAATAGAGCACCTACATCTAAGAAAGTAGACAACAAAGCAGAAGTTGGATAGTGGATTAGACAAATCCATGCATGAATTCGGGTTTGGAAGCAAAAGATTATATTTTGGATAGTAAGTGCATGAGACACGTGATGAATTTTATAGAAGACCTTAGTTGTCAGATGAAAAAAACCTTTCTCAATGAAGTGAAAGAGAGAATTTTGTCTCACTAATGTTTTGGAGAGAAGGACAACTGCTCACTACTTCTTCTGCTGTAATGGTTAGTATGGTCGTCTTTCAGCTTTCACAACTTCAAATTCACCGTTAACCTCATTAGGGATCTGACTTTGAAGTTTTGTGGTCTTTCTTATGATCTCTCTTTTAAGTAGCAATAAAAGGAAAAGGATGTCTAACTAATTTGTAAGGTAATATAATTAGAATATCGATTTTATCAAACATTTCAATTTTTATCAATAATTGCGTACCTACACATACGATCTACCAAAAAAAGACGGAAAAAAAGAGAGGGGGGAAACCACTCCATTGTGTTTTTTAATGCCAATAACAGCTATATATACAAGTTACAGTGTGCTCTGGAGTTTGTCGGAATGTTATGAAAATAAGTGCAATAACACATTTATCCTCACTAACACATATACTCATAACAAATTTTGGAACCTTTCCAATCTATCATTTCCAACATATCTTAGTTCAAATTAAACTAATTTCCCACCTTGCACAAGACAATTGAGGTTGATTTTTTTCATTTACTTTTTAGTTCTTCCTGATATATAGAGTTTGAGAAAAGAAATGTTGGGACATAAAGTATCTAATTTATTATCCTTAATTTGAACTTATTATTGTTATAACCTTTATTATAATGTGCTAATCCAAATGAAAAATTCCCATCATGAAAGTGGCCTATTTGATTGTTTTCCTTTTCTTTTTTTTTTTCACAAATAGAATCCAAAAGTTAGGACAAAATGTACTTATCATCGTGGGTTGTTATCTAAAGAATTAGAGTACGGTTTGAACCAAGAAAAGCTGAGTAGGTAGAAGAAGTAAAGTTCATCCGTACCCACCTTCCGTACACTTTCCATTGCGTGTTTTATAATAATTCCGTGCTGCATTGGGTTCCTTGAGAATGAATTATTTTTCTCAAATTTCTCTCAATAACATGGTGACACGCCAGCAACAAAACATGGATTTCCCCTCCACCAATTGCCTAATTGCCTCCCCCTAAGAACATTAGAGTATTATTATTTCCATTTCAAAAAATAATCTTTTGTATTTTATGTTATTTTATTTTGATAGTTTAATATATTAGACTATTATTTTTCTGAAACCGATAAAGTATTTCTCGATTTCAACCAAATTAGTTGTGGTAGAGCGGAAGAGACTCCTCTACCCTCAATCATAAGTCGAGTGTTCGAACCTCACCATGAGTATGGAGCAACCTCAAATACTTTGACAGTTATCCCAGCTATTGAAGTACCTACAATTCAGTGAGGTAGATTAGTCACTTGTGGACGGTACACATCATGCAAAATATGGATGTGTAAATATGAAAAAAAAAAATAAAATTTCTCGATTTCTAGTCAATTCTTCTATTCAGTCAAAATTAATCAAACTCCCATATTAGACAAATGATGTGATCTCAGAGAAAAGGGGGCCCTTTTTCCTATACCATTTTTTAATAATAAACTTTTCATTGTCCTTGTGCCTATCCTTCCTTTTTAGCAATCAATTAAAAAAAGAAAAAAACTGATATGCTGCTTACCTTTTAGATGCTTCAGTTATTTTGGGTTCTCAATCTTTTTCATTTTATAGCCTAAAAATACTAAAAAAGGAGAGCTTTAGCTAAACAGAAAGCTGAGAAAGTGACCCTTTTGCTGTCTCTCTTTTCCCTCTTGTTCTAGCTGTGAAATCTTGTCCCAAACAATTGAAGAAAATTTTTTTTTTTTAGCTGTTCATAACTGGCATTTTTTGTTCTGTCTTGGAAATCGTTGTTACTCACCCACCAGATTGAGCATTTTCTGCTCATTTTTTTCTTCTCATTTGAAAGATTCAACAATAGAGTAAAGTAGATCATCATTTCATCTTTTTAATGACACCTTCTTTAGTGTCAGAGACAAGTAGTGTACGGCGGTTACAGAATTAAAAAAAGGTGTTGGAGTTGGAGTTTAGGAGTTTAAGGACAATATCTGAGAACTCTTTTTTATCAGTTACCCAAACAGAAAAGGGATCAATCAGTTCAATATCCAGAGGATGATGAATGGTCTTACACACCTTGAACCAGATTATTCTGAATTTGTTGAAGTAGATCCAAGTGGTAGATATGGCAGGGTATCTTCCTTTCCCTTTTCCCTGACTTCATTTCTGGGTTTTAAGGAATCTGTTGATTTTGGATTTAACTTATTTGTTTTCCCTTTTTTTTTTTGGTTGCAGTATAAAGAGATTCTTGGCAAAGGAGCTTCAAAGACAGTGTATGAAACTCAACTTCTGCTTTCTGTTTTTTGAGGTTTTAGGCTTTCTGCCGCTTTCCCCCTTTTGGAATCTCTAGATACATGGCTCCTATTTTGGGAGTTTAATTGATGCAAATGTGTCATTAATAGTTACTTCTTTTTTTAAGATGCTAAATGCTCATTTTAGATTCTCTTCAAAAGTGCAAAGCTTTTTAGGAATCTGGATAGATGGCCATAGGCTTTTGCAAATGAGTTTACTGTAAAGATTGCTCTTTTTTTTTTTGACATTTGGGAGTTAGGATAAATGAGCTAATGATGGTTGCATTGGCTTTCCTGATTTTATTTTCTTGTTGGTGGATTCAGTTACAGAGCATTTGATGAATATGAAGGGATTGAAGTTGCTTGGAACCAGGTCAAACTCTATGATTTCCTCCAAAGCCCTGAAGATCTTGAGAGGCTTTATTGTGAAATTCATCTGCTTAAAACATTGAAGCACCAGAACATTATGAAGTTTTATACATCTTGGGTAGATACTGCCAACAGGAACATCAATTTTGTGACCGAAATGTTCACTTCTGGGACTCTCAGACAGTAAGAGGAACCTTAAACCTTCAGATTTTCTGATCTATGGTTGAATTTATGCTTGCAAAAGTGATGAATTTGATCGACTTCACTCTCGTGGTTTCAATATGGCAGATATAGGATGAAGCATAAGAGAGTAAACATTAGAGCGGTGAAGCATTGGTGTAGACAGATCCTAAAAGGGCTTCACTATCTTCATACCCTTGACCCTCCTGTGATCCACAGAGATCTCAAATGTGATAACATCTTTGTAAATGGCAACCAAGGAGAAGTAAAAATTGGGGATCTTGGTCTAGCTGCAATTCTTCGGAAATCCCATGCTGAACATTGTGTTGGTAATTCTCCTTATTCAAATATCCCTTCCTATTCGAAGAAGTTTCTTTCTTTTGAAAAGTTTCTTCTTGCTGTTGTTATCTTCTGTTTACGAATCTAAAGCACCTCTATTTTTCAGTTTCATGATGCTACGCTTTTAAATTGTATTTTCTTTGTTGTTTAATGGAAGTTGAAGTAGTAAAATACTGTAACGGGATGTGATCAGGCACACCTGAATTCATGGCTCCTGAAGTTTATGCCGAGGAATATAATGAATTAGTTGACATATATGCGTTTGGGATGTGCATCTTGGAAATGGTAACCTTTGAATATCCTTATAGTGAGTGTACCCATCCTGCCCAAATTTACAAGAAAGTTACCTCTGTAAGTTTTCTGCCTCATGCTTTTCTTCTCGGGTCCGTTATTTGTGAAGTAATTTTCGTGTAACCTAATTTCCTCATGTAGGGGCAAAAGCCAGATGCTTTGTATAAAGTAAAGGATCCGGAGATACGAGAGTTTATTGAAAAGTGCTTAGCGACTGTCTCTCTAAGGCTGTCAGCGGGGGAGTTGCTAGATGATCCTTTTCTTAAAATTGATGGTTGTGAGGCAGAAGAAATAAGACAAGTTAATAATCCGAGGGATTTGGATCACATGGAGCCCGTAATGAGGCAGCCTTTTCCTGATTTTAGATATGAAGGAGAATCATTTAGTAACAGCTCCTTCAATGGATATTCCAATGGTTTTGCATTTGAAGACCAAAATGGATGGGATTGTCATCCTAATGAGTATGAGCAAAGTGGAATTCAACTTTTCAGGTATAATGAGGAAGTCCATACTGCTGAAGATTCTGCACAAGTTGATATAACTATTAAAGGAAAGAGAAGAGAAGATGGTAGCATCTTTTTAAGGCTTCGAATTTCTGACAAGGACGGTAAGCAAGTTGTAGACCACTTAATAAGGCAATCTAAATATACATTTATATGTGTGAGTTTCGTTTGTCTTAGATTAGAGCTTATTAAAGTAGTGAATTCTTCTTTCCAGGGCGCATCAGAAACATCTACTTTCCGTTTGATATTGAGCTAGACACAGCTTTGAGCGTCGCGACTGAAATGGTTGCCGAGCTGGATATGACTGACCAGGATGTCACGAACATAGCAGATATGATAGATGGAGAGATAGCTTCATTGGTGCCTGAATGGAAACCAGGGCCTGGAATACTTGACACTCCCCGTTTTGCTAATTCAAGCTTTTGCCAAAATTGTGCTTCCACTCACACATCTACCGGTTCTTTAATAAACTTGCTGTCAGGTGGCAACAATTTCCAGATCCTGCAATGTTTAGGGAATGGATGTGCCGCTACTCATGGTAGATTTGAGGAGATCACTTACCAAGTTGATACTCCTCGCGTTTTGGATAAGGGAAATAAGTCAGTTTCATCAAACCATAGAAATGGTCTTCATCACCTAGAATTTTGGAATGAACATGAAATCCATGAATGCAGTTCATTAGGATCTGTGGAGACCCCTTCGCTTGAAGAAGAAGAGGAAGAAGAAAATGTGGTTGCAGAAATCTCAAAGGAGTACGAGAAAGGGGTCCAGAAGAGTAAGTCATCAAGTTCAACCAAATTTGTCAGATCTTTTTCAGGTTTTCATACTTTAGCCTCAATTCCTTCTTTGCCTCATAACCCGCCAAACGATTGTGAAAATGAATTTCAGCAGGAATTCAGGTGGCTTAGAGCTACGTATCTAATCAAACTGAGAGAGCTTAGAGATCAAAAGCTAGGAGCTGCGAGTAGACTGCTTGGATTCCATTCCACCCAATCCCATAGTCAAAGCAGAACTAAAGGTGGTACAATATCCCAGAAAACACTCTTCAATCCTTCTAATGATGATTTTAGCTTGAACTTCAACGTCAAATTGCAGCTCAGTAGCCCGGTTCACTGTTCCAGACGGACCTGAAACGCGAGGCACTAAGGGAAATTCCTGCTAAGAGCTTCTGCAATAGTACATTACTTGCAAACTCACTTCATAGAACAATATCCTTGCCAGTTGATGCTATTTACCTGTCATAGTGATCGACTGTGCAGTTATTCTTGTCTAAATTTTTTCATATAGCTGTAGTGAAAATCATCCTCAATGGATGAATCGCTTTGACCGTTGTTGTATCCTCTATTCTTGATATCTTTACTTTTTCTGGAAAGGGGATTCACCTGTAAATTATCCTTCTCCATTGATGAGAAGTGAGTAGTATACAAATTTGAAACACATTGAACAGAAGTGTACAATTATGAGATATATATAAAAAAATTACCAAGCTTCAGATTCATCTGCTTTACTCTCTTTCTATCTGTTCTTATTCTTACCTAAAGATAGCACTGTGTCCTCTGCTGTCTTACTACTAATTTGGATACTCTTCATGATTTTGTGTTGTGATGTGTTGTGTTGAGTTGTCGGTTCCTTCTGTAATCAAATAATTGCTTCATGTTAAGAGTTACCTGAACCCAAATTAGTTGGTTTTTGTGAGTTACTTTTGATTGGTAGTTTGAGTGCAATAGGATTTGCCATTTATGGTTATTTGCCTATAATGCGCGTTAGATTACATGTCAACGTAAAACTTTTATCACACGCCGCGAATTCATCCATCATTTTAAAAGAAGTCCATATGGTCGACTCCACGTAGTTAGGTGGAAGGGTTTATAATTGATATATTGGCCTAGATAGAGCTAGCTACTTTTCCAGGGATTTGAAAGGGTGGTGGTGCTGGCTGATTTTTTGGTCTCTTTTCTCATTCCAATAATAGAGAGACTAGAGAATAGAGGGTGGTTCCCAAAATGAAATTATTGCACATGTCATCTCCAGTATTTCATGTCCAGAAGGCAGAAACAATATAACCAGATCATGTTTAGCTTGCATGCCCTGCAAAATATAGAGCCATATTATGGTCCACACTCACTCACAACCAACTTTGTCTAAAATCCAATAATTGAGTTTTGAGGCCATTTGTTCCTTCCTCTCCCATCATCCTTTCATAATTACCATTGACAAAACCAAAGCTAGTTTCATAATTGCCTCTAAAAGTTCCTCACCTAAATAAACTAAAAGCTTTTTTTTTTTTTTTAAGGAATTATCTTACGCAGTACGCAGAAAATAGGAGAGGGCTCTCATTCAGGGTATATTTGTTTCGTTTTTTTTTGTGTATTTTTAGATATTTTTTATATTGGAAATGCAAAAAAATGTATTGGAAATGTAAAAAGATATGCTGGGATGAGACAGTTATTATTTTATTATTATGAAAAAACCATCCAAAAAACAAAACAAACAAAGCCTCAGATACGTTCCCTCAGTCATTTAGCAAGAATTTATTTTTAAAAAAGTCAATTTCGAAGAAATTATAATGTGTTACAATGAATGGTACCAAAACAGTTATTGTATCGACTTAGTCAAAAGATTAATTGAGACATATATAACGAGTGTCTATCACAGTTGGTAACATCAGCTCCAACGTTAAACAGTAAAAAAGGGAAAAAAAAAAAAAACCTCCAAAATCATAAACTAAAATAGTAAATTTTGATTCATGGAAAAGACTCTAAGTCAACATCGTAGAAGTCCCATTGAAAGTGAGATGAGATGAGATTTTATGAGGCTATAAGAGAATTTTGTTACTCTACCAAAAAATAGCAAACTGTCGCACATTATTCTTTGAATTCCCACCCCCGGTTAAACTTTTCCTTCTTCAGTAATTCAAAGTCGTCAAGTCCGTGTTTTCTTATTCAATAACGAAGCACATGAACTAATTTCTTTCCTCAGGTCTTTTTTTAATTTCCAGTTTTAATTCGGGTAAACTGATTAAAGTAAGTAGAATTGATAGATGAGAATTACATAATATTGCTAATAATATGTCAAGTGTAATAATTTAGGTATCTCATGAACTTTTGCTTTCAACCTTTCTTTAATATAAGCATGCATTTTTTATTTAAAAAATGCAAAGTTGTCGGAAAAAAATATTACTCTTTCTTTTGAAAAAAATAGTACATATTTCGTTAAACTAAACAACATAATAAGATAGGTTTTTTTTTTTTTTTCAGGATAGAAGGAGTAAGATAAAGATTACATTAACCTATTCGCGTATATTTATTCAATCTTGGCTGGGTTTTATAGTGATAGGCTGCACAATAATGGCACAATGCCTAATTTTCTACTCCACCTCTCCAGGTTGTGCTACAAATCACGCAAAACTGGGCTGTTGAATCCCAGCTTGTTCGTCAAACAGGAAACATCACATCTGCTTGACTCAAGATTTTGCACAATCTGAATTAGGGAAATTGTAAATCACTTTCCCTTATTAGTAAAATTTCAACTACTTCCTTCTCCGACCCATAATGATCTACTATTCCCTCCTTCCTAAAATTATTGTCTACTTTGCAAAAAAAATTTATCCTAAAATTATTGTCCGATTTGACTTTTTATAAATTAAATTACACATATACCCTTTAATCAAGAACAATGATTTAACTGAAACTTTTCTTCTTAGGTATTCCCCATTGCACAACATACTGTATAAATGACCTACACATAAAACAAAGGCTAAACTCTGACGGCCAAGCGGTAGTGAGATAAGGTTCTCTAGTTAACGCAAAAAAATATAAAGAAGAAATTCTAACAAAGGAAACCGCAAATCTTGCCTAGACCGAAATCGCAATCGACAAGTCAAAGAACATCCCGGCGAAACAGAATAATCAGGTGGATGGGCGTCAAATTGAGGTTCACAGTATGAAGTTTCTCCAAAATAATCAGATGGATGGGCATCAAATTGAAGTTTATAGTATGAAGTTTCTCAAAATTCGAGTGAAGTCATTGAAAATTTAGATCTATAAAGCACAAGTAATGGCCTTACGGGTGGAAGCTCTATTCGATTTCTGTCGGCAAGAAACTTTTCGGGAAAAAAAAAATTATCTTCATTGAACTGCAGAGAAAAAAAATTCTCCAAACTCAAAGTTTTTCAATTGAAATTTGATTTGGTTATAGTTAGGTATCTTACTGAAGAACATATGGATGTATTGTTCTGACGTTATGAAATTGATGATGACTTCGAATTGGGGGAACCAGAGTGAAGGGAGTATAGAAAGTTCTTTCGGTGCGCCGGTATAACCAATTATGCAGGGGTACATTTGAAAACTTGTGTTAATATTTAGTTGAGTTTGACTAAAAATAAAATTTTGAATCTTAGTAAAATTGGATAATAATTTTGAGACGGAGGGAGTATTAGCTATATTGAGACAATCATTGGTATAAGAGTATGACGCAATGTAAGGAGATTATCCAGTGAATTGATATTTAATGATATAAAATGTTTTAAAAAGTAAATGAAATGAACCGAGAACAATTACAACCATTTATTCTTCCTCAATAGTCAATTATCAACAAATTTGATATTTACCGGAGTACACTTAAATTGACATTTCCTTTCTTGGTACAATGATGACAACATTTGATATGTTTAAATTCTATTGGACTCGCACACATTAAGAAGTAACGAAGTGTTTTTTTTTTTTTTGAAAAGTAGCTAAGATATTACTTTATTAGCTTGTGATTCACTTTCTCTTTTAATTTAACCAAAGGAAGAAATATGCAACCCCAAAAATTCATGGTCACGATTTAAACCAATTCACAACTATATTTTCGAAGGACAATCTACTCTCTTTTAGCCAAGCAAATGCAACATAAATGTTTCTCCATTCATTCAAAATTATTATTCAGTTTAAATTTTTAATTTTAGTACACCTTGTGTTAAAAATAAAAATATAACTTTGTGACCGGAGGAGTATATTTTATTAGCATTTAAACCTATTTCTGTAAAAACTTATAAACATCCTGACACTATTGCATTTGTCATAATATTTCATTCAAAATTTATTATCTTCCATGCTCTCTCCACCAGCCTTTGGAGGGGGTATCATGAAGCACTTTATTACATCCTGAGCTTTATAAGAAAAGGTAAACAAGATTCTTCTTACTTGTGAGGGGAAGAAAGTTAATTCAGACAGTTATGATTAAAGATAACATCTAGGAATTTAAATATCAAAACGAATGCACGGGATAAAAGAAAAAAAAAAAAAGAAAAGAAAATGGGCAGTCTTCTTTTTCTATTCTTTAACAACGAAGAAAATACATATTTTAGCGAACTTATGGACACGGTGCTTCAAAATTTACTCACAAGTTCATCCAGAAGCAGTACAAAGGTAAGAACTAGAGAAAGATCATCGTCAAAATTGTGAGAGCATCGCATTTTACTGTATTTACCTGCTATATATATATACAATATTTTGTGTGGCTATGGGGTCTATTATGGAACAACATACATTCCTGTACTTACACCTTTGCTAAAGAGCCTCTTCAAAAACCAAGTTCGAGAAAGTCCTGTTTGTTACAGAGGGTGCTGGTTTACAGAGGGCGCAAAAGGGGGTAATCTTCGAGCAACTCACGCTCAGATAATGCATCGTCTTCATTCTGGGGAGTCCACAAAACCTCAACTGCCTGCATTAGCATTATTGTGCATTAAAAAGATAAGACAAGGTGAAACAGAAACAAAAAGTGCAGACTGCAGAGCTTAACTGGAACTCTTTCCCTCACTTCCTTACCAGAGTTTTACTTGATGGAATAGACGCGAGCTTTTGTAAGGCTTCCTTCAAATCTAAGCTGCTGTTGATGGTAGGCAGCTTATGTACACCTTCGGCAGCCACCAATATTGTAACCTATTCACATAATCCCGAAAGGAATCAACATAAACGAGAACAAACGTAAATTCAATACCCAACTCAGGATTTGATTGCAAAAAATTGTTGAGGTGAGGGAAAGAAAATTAAAATGAAAATGAAACATCAATCAAAGTGGAAAAGTTCTTGTGCTGCTTAGTGTTCAACCATCGATTACGCAACAGTTCCAAATAAAACTTCAGCCAACTAGTGCAAGTATGAACACCACATACACTAACCAAATCTATTCTTCTATAACAAGTTAAAACAGGCAATTTTTGAGTGACTGGGTGCACACAACCACTGGAGCTGAAAGAAACTAATTCACAGAGAACAAACTTGGAAATCTCCAGTATTGAGTAGAAAATTTGGAGAGGAAACTATGAAATGAACAGCAGAGTGGGTTTCTCTTTACGCCAATTAATAACAGCATTTCTTATCAATGAAGGAATTACTTGAAAGTGATTAGAATTTGGAAAAAGTTATGAATTACTCACAGGCCTACAGCACACAGCCACACAGCTAAATTCTAAAACTACACTCCCTCAAAGAAGTGGAATGATCTATCTTCAGTTAAGTGGATATCTTCCAGGTGCCCAATGCAAGCATACAGCTATTCTGAAGAAATTAATCCGGCTTCACTATCTTATGGTAGTTTCCTTATATTTGGTCAGCCTAATAGACTAAGGTCAACAAACAAGAGCCAACAGACAGGAACTCTCAGAGAACTATATCTTCAAGAATCCATATTCATAGTCAATCCAAATGCCGAAAGTCTGGGGAAGGAGCGTTTGTACGCAGCCTTACCCAAGCTTTTTGCAAGAGGCATTATTAGGAAATCTTTAAGAACACAGTCAATAATACCCAATCTGAAGTATCTAAAGAAAGCATCCAACACTTTCTTGCCAATACTTGTGAGACAATACCCACAATAAGAAAAAAGATGACTTCTAGCTCCAAGTTGGACGAAGGAGTTCCACCCAATTCATGGCCCACATATAGAAAATAATATATGACAGAAAAGATTTATTGACATATCTGAATGAGAAATCATATTTGAACGCAAAAGGCTAGATGGATCAGATGCAAGGGAAATAAGAATCTCGATTAGCAACTATAAAACAACAACAACATACCCAGTATATTCCCAACTCAATTACCAACTATATAAAAGGTAATTCTTTAAGAAGATACTCTACACAAATTGAACCAAACATGTTCCAAGTTCTCATGGCCAGTTCACATAAATACTTGAAACTGTAACACATTTTCTTACCACAATGTACTCATTACTAAATCCGCTGGCTCTCTGGCTAGTTGAACTTCGCTTCTTTATATTGTTGACGTTGACAAGTGTCTCCTCATCAAACTTACCACGTTCCTCAATAGAAAGTTGATTGAAACGTTTTTCCCCTTCGTCAATGCTCCTCTTAACATCAGCCTGTGTTTGAACCAGGATACACAAGAATGGGAATCCATAAACACCAGCCCACTCAATCAAATAAGCACCATGCTCATGAATGTTCTCAAATCACTTGGGAAAATAATCAAGGTTGAATATGTGCAAAGCAGGATCAACTTGTTGACAGATGAAATATTTGGATTCAAACAACAGAACCTGAAGATGTGAATGATACTTGTACTAAGGGAATATACATGTCCTAAGCTCAATAACCCATTGGATCAATTGACCATTACACCACATCCTAGTCTCCTACAGCCTATGACATGCTCAGTCATGGCTCCATTTAGTTCCACGATTGGCCTATTTCCATAATATTGCATCTGAATCCAGAGCAGGGTTCGGAATAAAATCTGAAAAAATGGTACTTCGTGCCCATTAAAGTTATTCTGGTTGTTAATTCTATTGACTACTCATGCAGTCATGCTACACCAGAGATGTGATATCATCATTTCCACCCACTCCACTTCAATGAAATATCAAAAGAGGAAAGCGTGATAGCTATGGTTCATGCACCAAATTCATATAACTGATGCATTTAAAGATATACAATTGTATTTGACAATATGCATTTGGTTACTAATTTTTTTTTTTTTGTTTTGGTAAACAAAAGATACAGAGGCTAATGCCTACCAGTTACACTGTAGTATTACTCCTACTATCATGCTCTAACAGCATTACAATGTCATTCGGGGGAACATCAAAAGAATATAACCCCATATCTAAGTCAAGTGCCACCTTAGCAAGAGCATCAGTGCACGCATTTGGTTACTAATTTCATTGATTGAGCTTAGCAAATCCATCAGTCCTTCAGTGACAAGTTACGTGGGACAATTTGGGACCTTATAGAAATAAAAACACAGCATCATTTGCCACAAAGCATAGTGTTTTCTTGATCATGTAAATCTTATCTATTAGAAATTATATCTTTTGCAATAATTCTGCTAATTGGGCAAAGAAAGGTATACATCATAAAATATAGACTAAAGCATTTACTGAAGTCCAGATTGCAAAACAATATTTATGATATCAATAAAAGATGAAAATTTAGTTTGTACACCACCCTGCAACAACAATAAGACATGCTCAGCCACGCAAATAACATCATTTCACTTTGGCTTGTTAAACAGCAGGTAGAAAAAGGAAAGAAGCAGTACAAAGAACATTTTCAACCATGAAATACATCAAGTTTAGAAACTGAAGAAACTTTAAAGTCAACTACATACATCAAGTTTAGAAACTGAAGAAACTTTAAAGTCAAGTGCGACAACAAAGAACTGCCAGCAATGTTTACAATAAAAAATCAAGACAAATTCTATGATACTCAGTTGCGTTCAACTTACAGATGAATAAGCTGAGATGCAATAATCAGGATGCCGAAGCAAAGCTAAAGTAGTCTCTGCAACCAAAAGGAGAAGTATCATAAGTAAAAAGAATTTAAAATTCATAGCCCTTGGAAGTAAAATAGATTCGAAGAACCAAAAGACTGCAAAATTCTATGTAGGCAGGCTTAACTTCACATACAGAGACCCTCATTCATGATCAGTCCAAAACCAATGTAATACTGAACTCAAAGCAAGAAAATTTTCACTTTTCTTACTTACTTTTTTTAATACATTAAAATTAATTAAGAGGATCCGCCAAAAAGCTGTGTTCATATTAGTTCGTACACTACTTTCATCTTCTTTGAGACTCCCGTCTCACCATTTGAGCATGATAACATTGTCTCTTGGCTGACTGATAGTTTAAATTAGTCCAAACACTAAGCAATTTTAGTAGTGGAGGAACAGACCTCTTTTTGTTAAAGTATAATAAGTATTTGATAAATCAATTGAACAATGGGAACTTAACAGCAAAACTGAATTTTCTGAAGGTTCTTAGGATATAAAAAAACATAAAAATAAATCAATTTCAAGCTTTAGGGTTAGAACAAATGTTTTGAAGTGCTTGTTCAACTAGCAGAAAAGGTAACACAAAGAAAATTAAATAAAATAGAGAAATAGAACATGTCACATTGCTTTTCCTTATATATCTCCATCCTCTGCTTGTCTTGACGTTAGCCTAAATATTAAGAGAAAGCGTATCTCAACAATCATCAAAAGTATGGACACATGAGCAACTCGCAAAGCATATGACTGACATCTTTTATATTGCTATGTAGAAATCTTATACTCTCCTATCAACACCCAAAATGGCTAACACAATAATAAAAGCTTCAGAAAATATTACCAGTTAATACGTAGCTTAATCCCTGTGGGGTAGAGGTATCTGCAACTTCAGCAATTCTATCGAGATCCCTCTGTAGTGATCTCCCCAAACCTAACAAGCCAACCTGCAGAAAAACGTCATAGACTATAGATAAGAAGTTGTGGTTCTACATGCTAAAGAAGGGGTGAAACTGAATTCATAAAAAAGGTCCAATGACAGCATGGTATAAATTACTACCAAATACACCACTACTATCCATTCAGGCAAAAATGATCACAGACCTACCATTTATTATGCTGCAAGGTTCAAACGTCAAAGAATTTACATGGGGAATATCAACGTTTGAATTGTTTGTGTTTAAAAACCCCAGTAGGTGGAACTAACTGCACAAAGGCCTATAAAATGGTGTCTATGGGTGGGAATTTATGATATTGTCAATAAAATCATACAATGAAAGAGCTCATTTAATGATGCGGAGCTTATGAAGAAATATATCAAGTGATTATAAGTGAAAATATATTTTCATCATCTGTCACAATATTCCCAATGCCATTTACAGAACATTTGGCTGAGAGTATCTTAACTCGTGGATAAAGAGAAGCAGAATGACTGTTTAACATTTGCAACCTGAAATTAGTTCTACAGTATTATACTGACATATTGGAGAGCATATTTTGGAGATGACATCAACAAAAAACAGAACAGGTAACATCAAACAATAGCAGAATCCAAGAGAGATGTGTTCACCCTAAATTTCAGCACAATAATTATAAAAACAAAAGAAAATGATAGAAAATGAAATAGCTAATTATGAGAAATAAAAACTAGTCTAAATATTTGTGATCTAGAAGCATAAACAACGCAAAGTTTCCCCTTTTCTCAAACAAGTTAATGAAACAACGAGGCATTGGTTGATTGGGTAAGGAATTAAAAAAAAGGCTACAGGTAATCAGACATAAATGCAAAACTATCATGAACTGATTGAAAATTCCCAGTCAAAAGGACAGAAGTTCCTGTAGCTAATCAATGACAATCATACTCCGTCAAGGATCTTTAGGTAATTCTCAAGTGACATATGGATAATGCAATCAAAATCAAGAGCTTTTTGTGATGCAAGAGAGACAGTAAGTGAAAGACGCCAAAACAACAATCTCTGCCTCAGTTACAACCACTTCTCACAATATAAACCAATAGCCATTACAGTCTCATATCTACTGTATCAAACATCACCCTTATTACACATTTCCCACCCATACTTGCCCAAAGTGTCTTCAAACAAGTATGTGAGCTATTTATCAAATTAAACCAACACTAAGGTTAATGAATGACGGTTAGTTCTCAGAGTTTCATTTTATCAATGAGCGCCAATTTAGATCATAGAACTGAACTAAATAGGAAATGAACCCGAAAAAACATATTAGGCCACAACATACGTACCTGCAGCTTAAGAACACTAGTCTTCTCTGAAGCTGTGAGCACGCTACCCTCCGACCGATCCGATAAGAAGCCAGAGACCAACATAAACGCGGCAAAACCCATTATGATGAAGAAAAAACTTGAGCCAAAGCCCACTGCCGGACCAAAATAAACACCACCTCCACCAAATCCGAATGGCGAGGGGGCATAATACGGAGCTGAGTACGAAAAGCTCGATCCTCCAGATGTCCTGGGCACTGAGTAACTTCTTGATGAAGAAGATGAAGACGAAAATGACCGGCCACCCATCCTACCACCGGAGGCAGCCAATGCAGAATTGGGATCATACATTAACAACAATCCCACAAGAATTGCGGCCACTGCAGGTTTTTGTAGAGCTTTCAGGGAATTTAGGACAAATTTAGCTAGCTTGTCAAAAGGGTTTTGTTGGGCCTTCAATGAATGTGAGAATTTCGAGGACTTTTCATAGCTGCCATCTCCGTGGCTAGTATCTAAAGTTTTATTATGGTTGGAAAAGAAACAATTGAGAGTAAATCTCAAGGGCTTATTGCAACTAACCTTAATGGGTTGTTGGAGTTTGTGGTATTGAAATGAATGTTTAAAGGGACTCGGGGAAGGTAGCAAAGGGTTCCATTTGAGGTTAGAATCAAGCAACAAAAGGGTTGGTTTGATTGTTGATATTGAGGCCATGTAGGAATTCAATTGAGGTTTTATCTCCAGTATCCAATTGAATTGGAAATGCGTTTTGGAAGAACAGAGAACTGTATAGATTGTTCTTGTAGTTGAGATATTTCTTTTGGACGGAGCCGAGAGGGAAGGAAGAAATGAAGAGAATTTTTGAATGGAAACCAGGAAATGGGGTGGGCCAAATGTTGAAGCCGAATTGTGGCCAAAGAACAGGGAAAGAGAATCTAATCTGAAATCTTTGGTGTGTACCCTGAATCTTTTGTTTGTACTTCATTAGCCAATGGACAAAACTAATGGTTAATTGCATTTCTTACCCAATTTAACAAAGAAATTACTATTAGTTACTACTGGATTTTTAAGAATTTCGAAACAGTTGAGGTGAGTACAGTGAATTTCATACTTTCTTTGTTCCAAAATTATTATACAATTTAGATTTTCACTTTCAGTTCAATCCAAGCTAGATAATAATTTTGTAACGCAGAAACAATTAACTACTCTTAACCACAAATCTTTGATATATGATAGATGAACAACGAAATAAATACTTGGACAAAGGTGGTCTAACTCGGCTTGATTTCTCGAAGCACTAAACATTTAGCAAAAAAATTGAGTTAATCTTTCCTATTATCTCATCAAGTGATTTATAAATCGACAATGAAGAAAAGAGGGAAAAATTAGAAATTTTTGGTCAAAGGGGTCGAAAATATAAAAGAAGAAGCTTTGGGCTACTTCTTTACGTTTTTAAGCTCCAAGTTATCCTAATAAATTTGAATATACATCCCTAATTATTTGGGTTTCAAGAGACACTCAAAGTCTCAAACACTCATGTTAGATTTCTTGCAACTCAATTATATAAATCTTTATATATTGTAAAAAAATTGTTACGCAATTAGTCATATATTTCATCGTGAAAGACAACATTTCTTTAAGCAATTTGAGTAATTATACAACTTCAGGTAAAGTCTATATTCTGCAAAAATTCTTGGTACTTAATTTTCTCTCTTAGCACATGCATGGAGATGTATGCCTAAAATTGTCCAAAATTATAACTATTTGCATGAAAATCATTTCAATATTAAGGATTACAAAAAAAAGAAAAGATTTCAGTATTAATAAAATAAATTGAGCAATAAAATTCCAAAATAACCAGAAGATTGATATGACTAAATTAATTAGAAGTTGGACAATTATAACAATTTTATATTTGTATTAACTTGGTGTCACACTGAAATAGATGAACTGGATTCTGATTTCCTTTCTGACATGAGGATCTTGATTATGTTAAAGGGAGGTACATAATATTCCTTTGCAAGAAAAATAAGAAGTTTGAACATACAATGAAACATATATAAACTAGTATGCTTTGGACCTTAAAACTTTATTAATTTATAGAGTTTTAATTTATTAGTAATTAATAATTATTAATTGATAGATAAATTAATAATTTATTAATTTAAAAAGGTTCTTTAATCCTACTTATAAAAAAAGTTATAAAATCTTATCAGGTGCATCTTATCATGTGACGCCTCACAGGCACTTCTTCACCTCTTACACACCTGGGATTTTGGTCGTGTAAGAATGGGCATCTAAGCCTCATGTGATGTTATCGGCATGGGAAGGGTATCATTGGTAACAAATACAGGTCGTACTCTTGTCTTGAAGAATGTTAGACATGTTCCGGATATGCGTCTAAACCTTATTTCCATTGGCAAACTTGATGAGGGTTATCAAGCACTGAAGGTGGTGGCCATTGGACAATTACTAGAGGGAATTTTGTTATTGCTAGAGGAAAGAAGTTGAACTCTTTATATGTGCTGAATGCAAAGTTAAAGAATGGAGAGGTGAATGTAATTCACAATACCTCCATTGATCTCTGGCACAGAAGGCTTGGACCCACTAGTGTCAAGGGACTCCAGATTCTAAGTAAGAAGCAATTTCTTTCTAAGGTGAAAGGTACTGCTCTAGAACCTTGTGTTTACTGTATCTATGGTAAACAACATAGGGTTTCCTTTCAAAATTCTCCTCCATCTAGAAAGTCCAGTCCTCTAGAGTTAGTTGACACGAATGTATGTTACATGAAAGATAGGTTGTTGGGTGGTGTATTGTACTTTGTTACTTTCATTAATGACTATGCTCGGAAGGTTTGGTGTTTTTCTTTGAAATCTAAAGATCAGGTATTAGATGTGTTCAAAGAGTTTCACCTTAGAGTTGAAAGAGAGACTGACAAGAAGTTGAAGTGTGTTCGAGCAGATAATGGTGGTGAGTACAGGGGCGCGTTTGAGAAGTATTGCAAAGACCATGGCATTAAACTTTAGAAGAGTGTTCCAAAGACTCCGCAGCAAAATGACGTGGAAGAAAGAATGAACAGAACTATTACCGAAAAGGCTAGGTGTATACTCTCCACTGCAAAGCTGCCTAAATCTTTTTGGGGTGAAGTCATACATACAGAAGTTGATTTGATCAACCTATCTCCCCCAGTTCCGTTGGATGGTGATCTACCACAGTGAGTTTGGATAGGGAAAGATGTCTCATTTGGGTATTTGCGAGTTTTTAGTTGTCGTGCCTTTGTTCATATTCCCAAAGATGAAAGGTCGAAACTTGATGGAAAATCAAAACAGTGCGTATTGTTGGGGTATGGCAATGATGATTTTTGGTATAGACTTTGGGATCCTGTAGAGGAGAAAGTTTTCAGAAGCAGAGATGTAATCTTCTTTGAAGATCAGACCGTTGATGATATGGGAAAAAACGAGATGCCAGAATCTTCACCAGAGATTCCTGTTGATCTAGATCCAGTTTTTCCATAATCAGATGATTCTCTTGATGGGGGAGCTGAGACAGAGCATGATGGTAAGTTTGATGATAATCCTACTTCTGAGACATAGACACCATCAGTTTCATCACCTCCTGTTGAGCCTAGGAGGTCCACCAGAGATAAGAGACCTTCCACCAGGTACAGTGCTCATGAGTATTTATTGCTTACTGATGGAGGAGAGCCATAGTCGTATGAAGAGTTTTTTTTTATTCATGAGCAAAAAGACGAGTGGTTAACAGCCATGCAAGATGAGATCAAATCCTTGTATGAAATAACACATATGACCTGGTGAAGCTACCTAAGGGCAAGACAGCACTCAAGAATAAATGGATGTTTAGGCTGAAAACAAGTGAGAACAGCTCGCAACCAAGGTACAAAGCTAGATTGGTTATGAAGGGATTCAATCAGAAAAAGGGCGTAGACTTTGATGAGATATTCTCTCCTGTTGTAAAGATGTCTTTGATCCGAGTTGTGCTTGGGGTAGAGGCCAGTTTGAATCTTGAGATTGAATAGTGTGATGTGAAGACAACATTCTTGCATGGTGATTTGGAAGAAAAGATTTACATGGAGCAACCAGATGGGTTCTAGGAGAAAGGGAAAGAGAAGCTTGTATGCCGTCTCAACAAAAGCATGTCTGGGTTGAAGCAAGCTCTGAGGCAGTGGTACAAGAAGTTTGATGCCTTTATGATAGGGCAGGGATATCAAAGGACTACAACTGATCACTGTGTGTTTGTAAAGAGATTTACTGATGGTGATTTCATTATTCTTTTGCTTTATGTCGATGACATGTTGGTTGTTGGTCATGATACTACAAAGATTGCCAGGTTGAAAAAGGAGTTGAATAAGTACTTTGCAATGAAGGATTTGGGTCTGGCTAGACAGATCCTTGGGATGAAGATTTCTCGTGACAGACAGAATGTGAAACTTTAGGTATCTCAAGAGAAGTATATCGAGAAGGTTCTTGATAGGTTTAACATGAGCGATGCTAAGGAAGTCTCGACTCCACTTGCGGAGTATTTTAAGCTAAGCAGAACGCAGTGTCCTAAAAGTGAGAAAGGTAAGGAAGAGATGAAAAAGATTCCTTATGCTTTGGCAGTTGGCAGCCTCATGTATGCGATGGTTTGCACAAGGCCAGACATAGCTCATGCAGTTGGTGTTGTTAGTCGCTTTCTCTCCATCCTGGTAAGGAGCATTGGAATTCTATGAAGTGGATTCTCAGGTATCTAAGGGGTACTTTTCGATTGAGTCTTTGCTTTGGCAATGGGAAGACAATGTTAGATGGATATACAGATGCTGACATGGCAGATGACCTGGATGGTCAGAAGTATATTTCTAGTTACTTGATGACTTATGGAGGGGGGAGCAGTTTCATGGCAGAGTAGGTTGCAGAAGTGTGTTGATTTTGTCTACTACAGAGGCAGAGTTTATCGCAGCTACAGAATCTTGTAAGAAAGTACTTTGGTTGCAGAAGTTTCTATAAGAGTTGGCATGAAGCAAGAGAGGTATGTGGTTTAGTGTGATAGCCAGAACGCTATTCACTTAGCGAAAAATTCCACATATCATTCGCGATCGAACATATTGATGTGAGGTATCATTGGATTCGACATGTGCTGGAGTCCAAGACGTTGTTTCTTGAGAAGATCCACACGGATGACAACAGTGCCGATATGTTGACGAAGACTATGAGTAGAGACAAGCTCCTGTTTTACAGACAGGAAGCAGGCTTGGTTTTACCCCCCAATTAAGGTGAAGGGGGAGATTGTTGGGTCTGTTCCCCCCAATTGGTGGCCCAGCAGTGGTTGAAACCAAAAGCTAAATTGGCTTTGGTTTTGGACTTGAATTTGCTTTATAAAAGGCAAAGGGTTGCCTTGTTTTTGTGCATGCGTTTGGCAAAAGAAAAAGGGAGCAGCCACACAAATCCTTTGTGCGAGAGAAAGGAGAAGAGAAAAGCTAGTTCTGGGGTTTTTAGCATTGTGAGAAGAAAGGGTTTCAATTTGTGGCTTTGATCGGGTGACAAAACAGAGTCAGTTATTGGTGCAAGTTTGCATGTGTGTTCCTCTCAACAAGATCTACAAATCTTCTGGTTTAGTTTTCAGTTTAGCTTTCTTTTGGTGAGATCCTTCAAGTCCTTCTTTGTGGTAGGTGTATGTGGAAGAGTATTGTTGTAATCCACCTTTGGGTGAAGTCATGTGTATCCACCGGTTGGTGAAGAATGTTTTTCCATTATTGTGTTAGTGCAAATTTGACTGTTATTACATTCCCGTGATTTTTTTCTATTTGGATTTTTCACGTAAATTCGTGTGCCTCCTTTACTTTATCAATTCTTTGATTGTTTGCTTGTTTGGTTGTGTTGAGTTTATGCCCTTTTCCACTATGACAAATTATAATTACAATCACTACCAGTTGATGATCCAAGATTTCTTCATCTTTCAGAGTTGGAATATTTTGAAGTGCTATTAAGAAAACTTAAAAGAAAAAAAAAGCCAAGAGTAAGAGCAAAAGTTTGTTATGAATGAAACTAATCAGTGTTTGCTTACGACTGAAATTGCTCCTAATTATTACGAAATAGCTTGTCTTGTGAATATGTTTATCAGTATGAGTCCAATTTATTCATAGGAAATGTCTTCCAGTTGCAAACAAAAAGTAATAGTTTCACATTACTCCCTTGGAACCATAATTTTTTCTAGTTTAATTTCTAGTTTTAATCAATTACTAGAGGGTGGCCCTCACTTTATGCAGGTTGTCAAATTTTTTCGGCTTGATTTGTGTGAAATAAATCAAAAGTTATAGAGGTAATCACATTGAGATGTACATTTGAATGTATTTGTTCAGTCCCAAAAAAAAAATCCATATTGAATTGTCAGGTTTGTATTATTTTTAGTACAAAATAAAAAATTTAATATAGGAAAAATAGGTCTTTTCATCCCAAAGTTTAGACCACACCATCCAAAACATCCCAAAGTTTAAGAACATGCCATTTACATCCCAAACTTTTTAAAAACATGTTACATTAGGATATTCGTTAAATTTTTAACTCCAGTTAATTAATTAGTGGTGGTACTTTATTCTTTTTCTCCTCCCCCAATTCTTTTAATCATTTAACACGTTTCACTAACTCCCACCTTATAAGAAAATAGCTAAACCTAATTTGGTCTTCACATCATCCATTCTTCCCTTGCCTAGGAAAAAAAAAAAAAATCCAAGATTCACCTTCTAGATTGATAACAATCATGAGAGGTTTTGTGTGTGTCCTAATTAGAAAGTAAGCCCTATTTCATTTATTTTTTTAAATATGTAACATCATTTCAAAATTGGTATTGTAATTGATGCAGGGACATGCAACTTCTTTACTTGGCATGGACCAAATTTACCAAACGCAAGCATGAAACGTGTTTGACTAAAAAAAAAATGGGGGAAAAGAAACTAAATGAAATATCGCCGTTAATAACTAGAAAATATTAACAAATGTCCATATATTACATATTTTTGAAAAGTTTGGGATAAAAATGACATGTTTTTAAACTTTGGGATGTTTTAGATGGTGTGGCTCAAACTTTGGGATGAAAAGGCCCATTCTCCCTTTAATATATACCATTTTCTAGAAGGGAGGAAGTACTTAGGTTTTTATAAGTAAAGACTATTTCATTAGTTCAGTGCCAAAAATAAAGAAGTAATAAATGTTGATGATACATTACAAGATTATTATGACAATTAATTATCTAAAAAGTCCTTTAAATTGGTTTTACGTCCAATATCTCAAGTTTTAAACGTTCTCATGTGCCCCCCAATAAGTTGCATTTTTGTCCTTTTCCGGATTTCCATCCAGGGACCGCTAAAATTGTAATGGTCAACTTTTCAACAATTGACTTTCAAAAGGGTAATTTTGTCTTTTTATACATCCATATCATAGATTTTTTTTTCTTTTTGGATTTAAAATTCTATAAAATTTAATGAAAATTTTCCGGTATAATGAGTGTGAAATGTAGATAATGGAGAATATAACAATTAATCATGCTGAAATGAAACGGTACCTTTAAATGCATTTTGTCATTTTAAAAAAATACATTCTACAAAGGTAGTAATTTTTCAATTATACAACTTGAAATTAAGAAACTGGCTATACCGATTAACGTTTGGTACCCTACCTCTCTTCTCCCTACTATTCAAAAGCCCAAGCTTTGACGGCTTTCTTTTCCGGCCATCATGGCCGGAATACCACGAAACAATGATACCGCGCCAGTCCCCACTGGACAATGTCGCACATTCACAAGTCTTTTTGCAAAAGCAGCTACTGTAAACCCGAATATGGTGGATTTCCAATCCCTCAAAAACCCAAAGAAGGTCACTTTCTTCAATGGAACTCCGGAGCTTGAATATGAAGATGATGAGTTCGAAGATTTGATCGCTCCACACAAGATGAACCTGGTTGGCAAATTCTCATATGGTCGACCAAAAATGGAGATCTTGCGGGAAGACTTTAAGAAAATTGGATTCAAAGGCGGCTATGACCTTGGTCTTATGAATCCGAGACATGTGTTGATTTGGTTCGAATTGGAGGAGGACTATCAACGATGTTGGATCACATCTATATGGAATATTGGCAAATTTCAAATGCGCATTATGAAATGGCAACCGGGGTTTAAGTTCGAGGAAGATCCTCCGATCGTTCTAATTTGGGTTTCGCTTCATGAGCTGCCTTTGGAATGGACACACCCTATGGTGCTCTACTCCATTGCCTCTGCTGTTGGGAAGCCTTTGCAAGTGGATACACCAACCCTTAATTTGACAAGGCCTTCCGTAGCGCGATTCTGCGTTGAGGTTGATCTAATGAAGGATTTGCCAAAATCAATCAGAATTGGGAAAAAAGGGAAGAAGTACGAGCAGCATTATACCTATGAATATGTTCCGTCTTATTGTCCAGCGTGCTGCAAAATTGGACATAAAGAAGTGGACTGTAAGAAAGGAAAAGGAGTGATAAAAGAAGATCTGAAAACAGCAGAACACGTCGCTGCGGAGAGAATTTCGACTGGGGCTAAGGGTGGCTTGCGGTTGCAGCAGAAAAAGGTTACTTGGGGTTCCAAACAAAAAGGTAAAAAGGATGAATTACAGGTCACTATCATTCAAGAAAACCCTCTTATAGTAAAGGGTGTACAGACTGCTGTTGAAAAATCGCAGCCTGCGGGAACTTTGAAGCTGGCGGCAACCCTAATTTTCAAGCCTGCGAAAACTCATGCCGGGGAATCAACTTCGGGCTTGTCGGCATTGGAGAAAAGAGCTATTCCTGTTGATATTATTGATAGTCAACCTCTGGATTCTGGTTGTCATAAGGTGGGAAATGTTGATGGTGTGCAAAAGAAAGTCATCGCGCAAGGGAATGATGGCTCTTTCGATCCTGAGAAACGAGCTGTAGATGGTTCGAAGAAGGACGTCATCGCGCAAGGGGATGATGGGTTCTCTTTGCAATCAAACCAGCTTGATCAGGATTCAGCAGCAGATGAAGCTCTATTGAATATTGACGCTCCATTAATTCAATCCAATAAGTTCGCGCCTCTTGAAGCCTTGGATGATGATAGGGACGCGGCTAAAACTTTGGATAATGAGGAGGATGAAGTAGAAGAAGAGATTGAGCATACAGAAGCGAAGCATCATGCCAACTGGTTCATGATGATCAAACAAAGAGCAATAACCAAGATGAAGGTTTTGCAAAGCTTGCTTACCCGGATGATTCTTTGGTAATGGATTTGAATGAAACGGATGATGATGATATTGCGCAAGGGGAGTGTTGGTTTGAAGGCGATAAGGATGAGGCTGTTTTGGGTGGAAAAGCGCAAGGGGTTTTTTCTACCAAGAAGAAAAGAGGCCGCAAATCGAAGGAGGAGCGAGGCAGGTTGCTGGATGGCCAAGAGCTTCGGCGATCACACCGGTTACAATAATCTCTACTATTTTCAATGGTAACTATTATTATTTGGAATATTAGACGAATAAGGAAGGAAGCCTCTCAGCGACGTTTGAGAGCTCTTGTTCGGATTTATAGAGTTGGTTTTTTGGTGATCTTGGAACCAATGTTAACCATAGATAAATTGGATGCAATAAGGCGTGAGCTGTTTTCTGATTTTGCGTTCTCCTCAAGTACTAGTAAAATTTGGGTTTTTCATAATAAATTCTACACCGTTAACCGGTTGCAAGTTCGTGAGCAAGCAATGCATTTTGAGGTTGGATATGTGCCTCTTCAAACGAATTTTCTAGTCACTGCAGTATATGCAATGTCACAAAAAGTGGAGAGAAGATCCCTATGGTCAGATTTGGAAACTTTTAGAAATTTGCATCAATCTCAGCCTTTGGTTGTTGGGGGACTTTAACGTTATAAGGTCTTTGGAAGAGTATTCGGGAAACTCAATTCAGGATTATGATGCTATTGATGAGTTTAACCAGTGTATAGAAGCTAATAATCTGATGGAAGCTCATTATGTTGGTGATGAATTCACTTGGGGTGGGACGCGTACTACAGGTTGGGTTAGTAAGAAGTTGGATCATATCCTCTTTTCTCAAGAGTGGATGGAAATATTTCCCCGTGTTTCCATTGAGCTCTTAAGTCGCACTATCTCGGATCACTCCCCTTTGTTGCTTCGGTTTGATACTCAACTTGAGACTAGACCAAGATGTTTCAGGTTTCAGAAAATGTGGCTTAGAAGAGGTGACTTCAAGAACATTGTAAAAGCTAGTTGGTTGCAGCCGGCAAATAGATTTGGCATGATGGCTTTCTCGATCAAATTGTGTAGACTGAAGCTAGTGCTAAAGGAATGGAATAAAACACATTTTGGTGATGTTTTTGAGAATTTGAGAAATGCGGAGGAACGAGTGAAGGAGTTGGAAGTGCTGTATGATCATTCTGGTCACGAAAATGATAGGTAAAACCTACACTCGGCTAGGGTATTTTTTCTTCAAAAACTCAAGGAGCATGAAGATTTTTGGCAACAAAAAATGCGTTTAATATGGCTAAAGGAAGGTGGTAGTAATTCTGCCTATTTTCATGCTTCTCTTGTTGAAAAGAAGATGAGAATGGGGATACATAAGATACAAACGGATGATGGCCGGACCTTTAACAGAATTGGGAGAAATAGAAAAAGAGGCGGTGGAATTTTTTCAGCATCTCCTTACTGAGGACTCACCTCATTTGCAGCAGAATGAAAAGCAACAAATTTTCCTTGATCAGCTAAATGATGACTTCTGCTTAGAGGAGAAGGAAACGTTAATTGGCTCGGTTACAATGGAAGAAGTCAAGTCAGCGGTCTTCAATCTTGATGAAGAAAGTGCGCCTGGAATAGATGGGTTTGGAGGGAGCTTCTATAAGTCATGTTGGGACATAATAGCTGATGATCTTAAAGCTGTGTGTGAAGATTTTATGAACGGTTCTCCAATCCCGAGGGCAGTGGCAAGTACTGTGATTACTTTAATTCCGAAGAAGATTTCGATTAGTACATTTTCTGATTTCCGGCCAATCAGTTTATGCAACTTTCTTAATAAGATTTTCACAAAAATTCTTACTGAAAGATTGAAGTTGGTAATGCCAAAAATTATTTCTGAGGAGCAATCTGCTTTTCTATCGGGGAGAGATATAATTGACGATGTTGTCTTGGCTCAAGACCTTTGTCAATTCATAAACCATAAGGCAGTTGGGAACAATGTTGTTATCAAAATTAATATGATGAAGGCATTTGATAGGGTCTCTTGGAGCTTCTTGGAAAAAGTAATGGAGAAGTTAGGGTTTCCGAGTCACTTCATTCTTTTGGTTACGAATAACCTTAAGAACAGCTGGTTTTAGGTAATGGTGAATGGAGCCCCAACAGGTTTCTTTCAATCGTCTCACGGAATAAAGCAAGGAGATCCACTATCACCTTACTTATTTATCTTGATTGTAGAGGCAATGTCTAGGAAGCTGAATGATCTTGTTAGGAGGAATAAGGTTACTGCATATGGAACACCGGCGGGCTCTATGAGGGTTTCACATTTAAGCTTCGCGGATGACCTCATTATTTTTAGAAGGGGAGAAGCAAGGCAATTGAAGGAGTTGACTAAATTTTTCAAAGCATATGAAGTAGCTTCTGGTCAAAGAATGAATAGGAGTAAAAGTTTCTTTTTGGTGGCTGAGTCTTGTAGTGTTCATCGGGTGGAAATCATAAAGCGAATTTTGTCTATGTCTAAGGGTTCTTTTCCATTTAAGTACCTTGGCTGCAACTTATTCTATGGAAAGAGTAGAGTAAGTTCATTTCAATTCGTTTTGGATTCTTTAGACTCAAAAATTGCTTGCTAGAAAAATAAGTTCTTGTCACCATGTGGGAGATTAATTCTTTTGCGACACGTTTTATCAGCAGTGCCGATTCATGTGTTGGCAGCTATTCCTCCCCCAGTAAATGTGTTGAAGGAAATGGAGAGAAAATGTCAATGGTTTCTATGGCATGGGGGGAACAAAGAAAAGAGGAGGCATTGGAGAGTTTGGGACCGGCTGACCTTTCCTACTTCTAAAGATGGATTTGGATTGCGGAAATTTGATGATGTGTTGCGTGCCTTTTCATGTAAATTATGGTGGAAGTTCAAGCAGCAGAGTGGATTATGGAGTAAATTTATTTCTTCTCTCTCGATTTCAGCAAGAGAGAGAACATCTTGGAGTAGAATCATGAAAGTTGATGAGGAAGCGTCGCAAGGTTCAAAGGTTCTAGTTCGCGGAGGAGATCGGTCTTTCTGGTTTGAAAACTAGACATCTACGGGGGTGATATGGAATGATTTGAATGAGAATCCCCCTATTCCGGACTTGACCATTAAAGATTTCATAAATAAAAAATCTTTATATTTGCATGAATTGCAGGACTTGTTACCCTTGGACGTGTTGCGGACTTTGGAGCATTCTGATGAAACACTTGTACCAGGCTCTGACTTGTTAATATGGCAGCATTCTTCTTCCGGATCTTTCACCATTAAATCTGCCTATCTGAGCCTAAGGAAGAGAGGGTTGGAGGATAACTTCTCTAAGAACTATTGGCATAAATTGATTCCTTTGCAAATCTCCTATTTTATGTGGAAGTTGCGGAATTTGCTTGTGCCATTTCCAGAAATCTTGAGTAAGTTTGGAATACAAGTTTTGCCATCTATGTGTCTTTTTTATAAGGTCAGAAGTAACTCAATGGTGCATTGTCTTTTTGAGTGTTTGGAGGTCAAGGAAATTTGGAAATTCTTTTCTCATTTGTTTGGCATGCCGTGGAGGGAGGAAGTTAACTTGCTTGTGGTTTTATATGAGTGGTAGAATCGTGGTAGTTTCTCTTCAGCTTTGAAAGCTCTTATCAAGATTATTCCGTCATTAATTCTTTGGGAGATTTGGAAAATGAGGAATAAAATGCTTTTTGAAGGAGAGAAATTCAATAGGGAGAAGGTTATTTTGGCAACTAAGGTAGACATAAGGAATGTTTTAATGACTCATGATTTGAAGGCGCGGAATGTAGAAGAGAGGAATTGGATTGAAAATAATTTTGGCTTTCAGCTTCAAAAGGTGCGGATGAGAACTTGTATGGCAGTTAGTTGGAAGGCTTCAGAGGGTAGTGATTATGTTCTTAACACTGATGGCTCACTTATTAATTCGGATTCTAGATATGACTTTTGCATCAGGAAAAGGATAGCTTTGTATATGGTGAAAGTGGTTAGTTAGAAGGAGGTGATAGTTTTGATGCGGAGGTTTATGGAGTCCTGTTTGGGGTAAGGAAGTGTTGTCAGCTTGGCTTAGAGAAGGTGGATAGTCAAACAGACAATAAAGGTTTGGCTAGCCTTTTACTGTCTATGAAGAATGTTCCATGGAAGCTTTCTTTCCACTTGATGGAAATTTGTCATATTATGGAGATGCGGGCCTATACCGTTCAACATATATTTAGAGAGGTAAATTCAGTGGCAGATGGATTAGCAGGTGAAGCTTCTCTTGGAATATCAACCAGATACAATACTATGAGTAGTCTACCTAGACATGTTAGGGGACTTGTACATCTAGATCAGGTTGCCTTTCCATATATCCGGTCGCGATACAAATAGCTTTTTGTATACTGGTAAGTCTTATGCACTGCCAAGTTTCTGGTTGATATTTAATAAAATAAGGGAGGGAGGAATCTAAGGAACTAAATGATATGTATGTCCATCCCTAGGGTATACCCCTTGGGTGCTTCATATCATTTGGCTATAACAGCCTTAAAAATTCATCTCTTGGGTAGACCCCTTGAGTGTTTTTAAGTCAGTTAGAACCTGAACTTCTTTCCAATCTTCCTATTTATTTAAAAAAAAAAACAGTAGTTTCATTCATTCAAATTATGTTAATTAAAGTGGAAAATTATTTTCAAATTTTAGCAAATTATTGAACGAACCTTTGTTTTTTAATATAGTTAGTAAAAGTATGTTCCCCTTTCATACTATCTAGCCTTGCAATGTTGAAGAAAGATGTGCATAAGCTTTTATTCTTTTTGTCTTTGTAATAATTTTTCAAAAATATAAAATTGCCTTCTTTTCTTTTTTTTCGCAAAAGACCTAGCAATTTTACTCAATTGAAGCAATTCAGCATCTTTATTGGTTTTAAAAACTTTTGGATGTAAATGTTTGGGTAATGGTAATAAGTTCAGGGAATACTAAGCACCAGTAACCCTTTTGGATCTCTTAATAACTACATACATAATTATCAATTTTAGAAGTACCTATATATCTTGATAAATTTAGGCATATGGTGGCTAGAGATTAGTTTTTCCAAATCTTTTATTGGTTACATACTATAATTACTCCTTATCTGAAATAATATATGTCTTTCTAGTAATTTGATCAATAGAATGAAACATTAAATAATTTATTTGAATACAAAATTACCCTTATTATTAACCATACAACTCATTACTAGTCAATATCGTTTTATTTTATATTATTCTTTTATTTTCAATGCAATGGTAATAATGAAAAAATGTGACAAAAGTAATCTTGATTTTGTAAAATGACATATATTTTAAAATATTTTGTAAACACTAAAACGACATATTGTATATTTTATAATGAAGGAAGTACATGAATTTTATGTTCAAAATTAGTTATATGTATATAATTATAATTGGTAATATATTAGATGTTAAACCTATCCATTGGACGGGCATATAAACTTAAATAAAAATTACAAAATAGAAAAAATAAAATGTGGTATTAAATTTTGAGTGAAAAAAATGTTTGGTATAAATATTAAACTACTTTTTTAGACATCAATATAGGATATAAAAAAGCAAAAAAATTATTTTATTAAAATATCATGATGTTTTATTCAAACATCAAATAGAAATTAGGAAAAGAAAAGAAAAATTAAATTCATTCGACCACGAATGACATGATCAAATTACATTTGTGGTCTTGTTGCGGATATTATTATTATGATTGCAAATTATAATCTTGATTTCTTGTCTCGAAGTAACCTTCGATAAGGAAACATATTGTTAACTATTACTGAAATTTGAACATTTGAAAGAGAGTTTGCTCCTGTCTTTTATTGGTTGTCCTTGCAAAATAAGTGGCCATAGAGAATCATCTTCTTTTTATTTTAAAAATAGATATTTGGTATCAGGTGGACAAAGTGATATGTGGATTATGCATATATATAATATCACGCACATTACTGCCTGTGATCACATTAGCTTGAATAATACATTTTTTCTAAGATCGAAACCTTGTACTTTTATATAGTCCAACTCCTTGGTCTATATTCTCAATAACTTACCTCAATTATACCATCAATGTACTCGTGATCATCATCCAATAGACCTAATGCATAGCAAGATTTCTTGAAAGTATTGTAAATTGTCTCCTTGGCTGTTTTGATGTCTTTCTAACATGCTGACAAACTTTCACTAATATTCTTTAAATAAGATTGGATAATTAGATGGGTAATTGTAATTAACTGAAATTAAAAAATTACATGATAAAATCTACTAGACCTAATTGATTCAATCTTTTCAATAAATTGGTTCTTTAAATAAAATGGCCTTTACTAATGAATGTGACATCCTCACTTGGCAGCACACTTCGCAAAGAGCCTTTACAGTTAAATCGGTTTATGAAGCTCTTCGAAGAAGAAAAGAGGAGGAAGTGTTGATGAAGAGTGTATGGCATAAGTTAATCCCATTGAGGATTTCTTTTTTTTTTTTTTTAATTTATGTGGAAATTGTGCAACAAGTTACTTCCTTTCCTTGAGGTTCTTTGTGCATTTGGTATTTAACTTAAACTCATCAATTTGCTCGTTATGCTTCAAGAAGAGTGATAGTATGATTCATTGCTTTAAAAAATGTGAATTTACAAGGACAATATGGAGTCATTTTGCTTCTCTCCTTGATATTGAAGTGAATGATGTCTCCACCTTTTTGGGACTTTGCGAAAATGGTGGTGTAAGGGAAGCTTTACTACAACACGAAGATCACTCATCAAATTAATTCCTTCAATTGTGATTTGGAGGTTTGGAAATTAAGGAATAAGGTGTTATTTGAGGGCATTACCTTTGACCTAAACTATGTGATCAACACTATCAAAGCTCATGGACGAGACTTGGTAAATGTGCATGATCTCAAAGTTCAAAATGATGCTGAGAGGAATTTTTCTCAAAGTGCATTTGGAATAAAGCTTTCCATATTTGTTCAACATAGATATTCTAAGGTGAGATGGATCCCGCCTAGCTATAATTCATATATTTTGAATTTTGATGGACAGTCTGCGAATATTGAAGTTGGTTATGGGTTTGTTTTGACAGGGGATGGAGGCATTTTCGATATGGAGAAAATGGATATTTGGGCTGTGAAGATAGCTTATTAGCTAAAAATATATGGAATTCTGTATGGGTTATGAAGATGTGAGTTGATGAATTTAACTAATGTCCTAGTACAGACTGATAACAAGATGCTTGCCGAAACTCTGAGTAAGAGGGATGGCTTTCCATGAGAGTATTATCTATAATTGTTGGAGATGAGCTTGATTTTGTAGAGAAAGGATTTTTCCATCACAAATATATACAGAGAGGCAAATTCGGTAGCAGATAGATTTGCAAAGGAGGCGTCCCTTGGTTCTTCAAATATTTATCTTTCTTTCTCTATCTTGCCACAATATGTAAAAATACTTTTGATCCTTGATCAATCTTTCTTCCCATATGTGCATAGCCAGAACTGCTAGACTGATAGTGGGTAAGTTTTATGCACTACCCTTGTAACTTTTGTTTTTGTTCTACGACAGTATATCGGAGGGGGCCCGCGAGAAACTACCGATGTTATTAAAAAAAAATGTTACAACACCAAAAAAATAATAAATAAATAAATACCACTGAAATTGGCTCTCATTTTTCAAGTTATTGAAAATCCAGTGTATAGATCATTAATTTGATCTCTATTGTTAAACTTAATTTCTTTGACAATTATTATCTTGATCATATATATATATGAGAGTGTGTGTGTGTCGATATAATATATATATATATATATATA